AAAAAAACCCCCCAAAAAAAAGGGCTGACCGGGGGGGAAACCCGCATCATATATGGACGAGGGTTGTAGACGAGGGATACAACAACTTTGTGCATTGAAGGATGAAAAAGGATGCACTTCCCATGAAGTTCCGAGTAATGCCTTTCGTAAAAGGCTGGGTAAGGTAACGGACGTGAGGTTCAGGATCAAGGTATTGATCCAGCGCCCCCGCCCCCTCGGGCGTGGATGCATCGGTGAGTTGGGTCGACGAAGAGTGGAAGCATTCCGTAGGTACGTACGAATAGTAGGTTGGCCCAAGCAGTTGAGCCTGAGGTAAGGAGTAAGGACAGGCGGGATGGCGTGTGACAGTGACAATGACAGAATGAGGATAGCAGATGGCATGTTTCTCATAGGTACCTAATTCGGTAATTCCATCAGTTCCCCCACGCCTGCTAGTCAGCCACTGCAGCCAGCCACCACACATGTCTATCCGTACGTCGACCTAGACACCTTATGTGTTATCTTTCGACAAGGTGTACAGGATGCCCACCTATCTCCTAGAAAGTCAGGTAGAACAATACAACAATCCGGAATATATTCGTAGGCGCTGAGATATGTAACCTACCTATCCAGGTAAGAAGGTCATGGATGTACACACATTCCGATGAATTGCGTGATGTCAGCACGAATGCGCAAATATGCGAATAGCAGACCTACAACGTACCTACAACGTACCTCACTTATTAATAAGGTACTCACTTGTCCCCGCACTTGCCCTTGTGACATTATTGTCGGTGTGTGCCAAATTTCCGTGATGGATGAAAGGGCCCCTTTTTGCCTCCCCTCCCGCCTGCCAAGTCTCTAGCTTACTAACAAGATTTCTTACTCACCTAAGGTAGGAGACTATATATAAACTGATATCTAAGCGCGAGGCTAAGCTAAGGGTAGGTATAGGGGGGTGGCTGGGAAACGTTAAGCTAAGGGTAGGTGTGGGGCTACGTGTTAATTAGTCGAATAGTGGAATAGTGGAATACCGGAATAACGGTATAGGGGAAACGTTTCTCTAGCTATTATAAATCGCGTTATAACACGTTAACGTGTTATTCCCCTCTTTTTCGTAGCGTTAACATTAGTGTATCTCTTTCCTTTCACCACTACTCTATATTTTTATAGAGAGTGTTTTTATACAATTACTATTACCTTCTATTAATACTTTTTTATTTAACTATATTAATTTAGTTATCTTCCATATTAACTTTAGGTATATTTTCCTATTAGAATCGATTCTTTAGTGTTTTATATTTCCGACCGCGTCGGAAATAATTAGGAAACGTTTTAGAAATATTTCTAACCCTCTTTAAGATTTCTCCTATAGGCGTCGCGATAATACCCTTTAACTATAGAAATATAGAAGTATACTAGTAGTATACTAATAGGGAAGATAGTAATAAACGGGATACAAACCTACTAGAATTTAAGACGGACGGTATAAGTGTACTAGTTAATCTAATATATAATAGTTTGCTAATACTTTTATAAGACTAGTAAGGTTATCCTAATAGCGGGAGAGGTATACTACCGCTTTATAGAAGAAGGCGGCGAGCTATACTTTAATATAAGTATTTTCCTATTCACGAAATAGCTATAAGGCTTTAACTAATTTATTCTATATAACGCTCTAAATTTTCCTTAATTAGTGTACTAAAGAAATATATCTATAAGATATACTACACGTAAGCCGCGCTAAGTGCTTCGGGCTCCCTTAACGCTTATAATAATACCCGTACCGCTTAATATTACTGATCGATATGGAACCTCGCCCTTAGTATTAACGCTTAGCTTAATATACCTTATAAGGCTAAAGCGGTGGCTAAAAATATATATCTTCGTAATATTCCGCGAAATAATAAAGGAAATATAAGAAATATTTTAGAAACGATTCCGAACCTATTTAGAAACGCGTGCTAATATATCTATTTTACTAGCCCGATATCCTTTATATAAAAATAGATCTTTTCGGCTAGCGGGCGGAGGAATATTATAAGGCGTATATAGAGTAAAACTCTATTAGTCGTAGTATATTCTATTTTATTTTTCTATTAGTATCTTTCGCTAATAGTATTTATTTTATAGGCTGCCCCCTCCCTTACTACGACTATCTTTATACTATCTAGGCTAAGTATCGCTATAATAATATAGCGGATAGTAAACTAGTCTCGGGTAAGTTTACTACTATTTATAAAATAAGAACTAATAGACTAATATTTATTTTGCTAGATTTCCCGGACGCTATTTACCCCCCTCCCCGTAACTATTAGGTCTTATAGGCCCGTAATACTACTCCTAATAATAAGGAGTAAGTAGTTATTTAGGAAACGTTTTAGAAACGTTTCCGTTACGCCGGGGTTTCGGTATTTCGGATTTCACAATAATAATTAAGCGTCTATAAAGGCGTTTTTTTATAAGATATAGCTTTTTTTTCTGTAAATACCCTATAATAATAAGAAGAATAATACCGATAACTAAAGTCTTCTTACCTATCTAACCCTATTATCCTAAACGAAATAAGAACTCTTTTTCTAGTTCGATCCGTTTTAGCTTAAGCGTGAAACGCCGCTTATCTTTAAGCCTTCGCCTCTTAACTTTAGCCTCTAATTCACGATCTTTTTAAGCTATCTCGCGTTTACGCTCCTTTATACTAAAAGACCTCTTTTTAAAAGATAAGGAAGCTTATAAAGCTTAGATCTAATCTAGGGTAGCCTATTAATAAAGATTACGTGGATTTAGGCGTTAACTTCGCGAGTATCTTAGAGGGACCCCGCTTAACGATATACTCCTTATACTACGTGCTAGAGAACTTTAAGAATCCGACTCTATATTGTTTTAATCGAATACGCTAAAATCTTTAGGAGGGTTAAGCGGTGACCTCGAAATTAATCGGCTATTTAATATGATACGGCTTCGCGACCGATCACGAAATTCCTCCTTTTATTTAGTATTAGTCTTACGTAGTTTTTTTTCTAGAATACTATAAGGTTAGTAACTCTTCTACTATATACTATATAATAGTAAAGCTTACTTTTATAACCTAAGTAGTTATCTACCCGGCCTCTTATACTAGTATTCCGCTATAATCCTAGGACTTAAAGTAAACGCATCGTAAAATCTCTTAAGATAAGATTCTAATTATAATCGCGATATCTATTAGACTTAGTAAGTAAGTTTAGTAGAACTTAATCTAGACTTACCTATTAATTACTTTAAGGATACAGATATTTCGCCTAGTCTATAAGTATAAGGCTTAATATATAACCTCGACTATATTTAAATTATCAGTAATTAGTGCCTAATCTTTAATAGGAATACTTAAGGTAGCTCGGTAAAATCCTATAACGATATATAGAAAACGTTTATATATCGCCTAGTTATAATATTAGGGAAATCTCCTTAATAAATCGGTTAGTTTTAGTTACCTTACTAGAAACGTTTCCTAATTATTTCCGAATTATTTCCGAATTATTTCTAAATAGTTCTAATTCATTCTAAATCATTCAGAACTATTCAGGATCGTTCCCGAATTATTTTTAGATAATTTCGGGGTAAAACTCACGGCTAATCTGATTATATAGGTTATTATAATCCTCTCGAGTCTAGTATTCTAGTAAACTTATAAGGATTCGGTAGTATAATCCTTCCCCTTATTTTAGGTTACCTCCTAAAATACTTTTAACACCGCGCCGAAAATAAACTATATAGAGTCGTATATAGCGAGTTACCTAAGTTTCCTAAGGCTACTTAAGCTAATACCTCTCCTAAAGGTATTTTCTAAAGCCTTAAATCGCTAGTAAAGCTTAGTCTAAAGTTACCCTAAAAAGACCCGTGCTATAGAGGTATTTTTACTAAATTAGGATAGTATACTTATCCTTAAGGATCCGGAAGACTTACCGAAATATATAGAGATATATCTCTATTATCTCCGAGTTTATATAGCACCTTATTAAAGGGAGTACTAAAATATATTAGAAACGATTCGGAAACGATTTAGAATTATTTAGAATAATTCAGAAACGTTTCGGGAACGATTCGGGAATATACCTCTTTCTAAGTTTTAACTATACTATACCTAAATAATTTCTTTTTACTCTCTACCGCCGATATATTTATAGTTAGTATTAACGAAAAAGGAAGTTATATTAGGGAACTTCTACTATTTTGCCTATTCCTTAAAGAAGTAGATTACTATATAGTTATATCGTGATTAGTATAAGTCCTGGATATACTAAGATATATTATTAGAATCTTTTTAGTAACTATAGGTAATAAGGTAGTATACTTATATATATTCGTTAATTTGCCTCTTTTATCTATTCTAGAGTTAAAGCGAGACCTCGACCACCTTAAAGAAAGAGGATAATTTATTACTTATAAATAATATACTGAAGGTAATCGGTATTCGTAAGGCTAGTATAAATATCTATAATCGTCTTCCTTTTAAATTCTACCACGAATTCTCTTAGTTTAATCGATTTAGAGAATATATTTAGTATAGTAGTTAGTTTATTAATTTTCGCAAGCACTTAAGTAATACTATTAACCACTAATAGGGGGGCTTTTAAAGGCGGTAGGGGAGGGTAAACGTATATTTTATATAAGGTTATAATAATCCACGGCGTTATATTAAAATCGTATAGCACGAAAAATCGAAATTCAACGTTATATTTTCGCCGTTGATTTTTTTTAGGTCCCGCGATATATACCTTATCTATATAAAAGAGTTAGGGTATAAGTGGATAGTAGGTTTTAAATCGTTTCTAAATTATTTCTAATTTATTTCTAAATGATTTCGGGATAATTTCGGGAATTATATACTATATATCCTTTATTTTCTGCGGTTTATCGTGAAAAAATAGTAGTTCTTATTAGGATTAGCTAGTATTCTGTACACTATTACATTAAAAGTCTATCTAATAAGGTCTATTTAAGGGTAAAAGACTAAAGAGATAATCGCGAGAAAGTAATAACGCGTTACTTCGCCTAGTAACTAAGACTAATAACGTATGCGATATTATTAAAAGTCTATAAGATACTATAATTAATTAGAAATAATTCGAGATAAGGTAAATACCGAAAATATAATACTTATATAGTAGATACTAGAGTCCACGACTAGAATATGTATTTCTTCCCGGTCTATATAAGTAGTCTTTTTACTAAATCTTCCTTTTACTGCCTAAGCCTATCTATAATAATATTAATACCTCTAATTCTTAATTCTAAACGCGTTTTATTTACCCTAAAGCCTTTTTGTATATAGTAAGCTCTATAACTTCGGATCTTCGGGCACTAATTTAATTAAGGAGCTATAGTGTTATACTCTCGTGATAGAAATCTAATTCTAAAAGATATTAGTAAGCTTTACCGCCTTAATAGGTATAAGTATAGCGGAAAATAGGTATATCTTTAAGTATAGTATTAGTAGCCCGAAAACCTAGTTATTTTCGAGCTATTTTATACTGGATCTAAAAGAGGTTAGTAATTAAGAAAATAAATAAAGGCATAATATACGATTTTCTATAAAGACCTTTTCTCCTTATTATTTAAATTTTCTACTAGGATAATAACGGCTACCCTAGTAGGTGATATTTAAGGTATCTTAGGAATTCCGGCGGTATATAGGATATTATCAACTTATATAGCGCGAGAGCCTAGGGTAAGTCTTCCGTTACTATATATAGCGGTAGAGATTAAAATTAGGATATTTTCCTCCTTTAATAGAATCTAATCTTTATAAGTAATACGTAATATAAAATAGTAGTTAGTAAATACTTACTTATTTAACTTAATTCCTTTAAATAACGTCTTATAGTAGTCGGCGACTTAGATAAAGTCTATAAAGATATAGTCTTTAATTCTTATTTTTAATAAATCCAAGATTATAAAAGTCGTCTTCCTATTCTTCTAGGTCTTTAACCTATTCTCGCGGCTAAATCTTATTATTAGAATCTAATTCCGTGTACGAAGTTATCTCGAATCGTTCCTAAATCGTTCCTAAATCGTTCCTAAATCGTTCCTAAATCGTTTCTGGCCCGTTTCCGGCCTATTTCCCTTCTCTTCATCTATTTATCACCACCTCCTACTCTACTTATTACCCCTTACTTATTTACCCCTTATATTAATACCCGATACTTTAGGCGTATACGTATATTATATAACCCAGTATAGACCTTACCCTATAATAACCCTTAGCTTAACTATCTGCCCCACCGCGCCCTATACCTACCCTTAGCTTAGCCTCACGCTTAGATATCAGTTTACCTATAACCTCTAAGGTAGGCAGTGGTCATTATTTGACGATTCGATACCCGCCATGATAACATCGAGATGCAAGAGAGACGGGTATTTTTCGAGGTGGGAGATCTAAACCTAATTAGCGGGACGGGGTTAAACTTGAACATTGAGCCTACCTATGGAATATGCATAAGATGGAGATACTGGCATTACAAATACGTATTAGATGCTGCTCGCTGTCCATATAATTGTTACATGTATTGGGATCCGTTCGTCTTCGAATTGCCCTTCAAAGGGCACAAGTTCAGGTAGGTCCCTAGGTACGTCCTTACTCCTGCATGCATACATATGTAAGGTGTGCTCGTCCATTGCGCCTATTCGCCTAATAATCGTACTTTGATAGATAATGACCCAACAAACAGCGTACGTTGTATGTATGTAGCTATGGTGCTTGCAACCAGGGGGTCCCCAGGTTGAGGTATCCTAGCACCCCATAGCGCCGAAACCCATAGCGCCGAAACCTGGCCGATGCCCGGGCTACTCCTCCCGCCACCCGCAATATGCACCCCGATGAGCAATTTCCCTTTGCACCCCCTACCCCACTCCATAAAGCAAACGGTTGATGACTGTGTTTTTCGGAGATCAGATCGCATCCGCGAAGGCCGTTACCTCACCCCCTCGTCCAATGAACAACTAACTCGTACTGCTTACAGCGTACAAGTGCATGCATTGTGACGCCTTTTCTTCTTACCTAATTAACCCACCCACCAACGATTCGTACCCAGTCACACCTCACTCGGGTATATCCAATCCACCTCCCACCACAACTCGACGCGGCGCCCTCTCCGACCCGACTGACCGTTGAGTGTTTTCCCAGCGTTCCCACCTTGCTCCGCGTGGCTTTTTGGCCGTATGTCCTGTTGGGCCGCCTCCTCTTCGCCCTCCCCTTCGCCCTCTCCGAAAAACCCACCCAGCACCCTGCTCTTGGTCTTTTTTTTTTTTGTCCTTCGACTTGACCCTGTCTAGACCCGGCTCCACGACTTGACCGGAGCCAACTCGCATTCACACGCAACTTTTGCGCATCTGTGCAGAGTACTCCGTACAACCCAACGTACTTCGTAGATACGCTACGGTACCTCTATACCTTAGTATCTGCCGTATTTTCGTTACCTACCGGTACCCTACCTTAAACCTCCTGCAGCCTCACATTTCTCTATCAGCTATTTTCTATCTCCATTATTAGGTATCCTTTTACATTTTTACATTTTTTTCTTTCTTTCTCAATTTACGTCTAATTTTGTCTTGTTATCTCCGCCCCCTCCTTCTTCCCCCCTGTCCCTTCCTCCTTGCTGCTTCTCCCCCGTTTTGGACCCGAGGCTAGCTTATCAAGGTACCTTACCTTATCTGTCTGTTCATCCTGGTCGGTACCTCCTTCCCGCCAACCTTGGCCTACGAGCCTTGCATTACCCTCAACAAACCATCTATCAAACCTCCTCTCCTCTCTTGCCACCCCCCTTTCTCTTCGGCCATGGGGTCTTAACTGAACTCGGAACTAACAATTCCAAAAGGCATCGCGACCTCATCTGATCCTCCACGCATTGCACAGGATACCCTTCCTTGTTCGAAAGTCACAAGGGGCGAAACAAGCCCCGGCAAACCCAGAAATTGCTTCAGGCTGCCATTCTCGCGAGCCCCAACCAAACGAGAATCCATCATATCTGCGACTCGAAGAGAACCGAGTCGCCTATCTTTTTTTTTCTTTTTTTTTCTTCTTTCTTCTTTTCTGTTTTTCTGTGTAGAGCCGCGGCTATCGGCTTGCTCCAAGAAAACACTTGATGTTGGCCAGTGTTCCTCCTTATTACGCCCACTAGAAAACAGAATGTCGCCGCCACCGAGCGCATCCTAGCTATGACCTCTCGGACCCCGATGGGCGTCCAGCCGCGACCGCCTCAGCGAACTTTGAGCAGCTCGGGCTTGACGGTCCAACGGCCTACGCAGCAGCGCGCCCTGTCCGCCCAGTACCTTCCCCAATCGCCCGCCCGCAAGGATAATTTTATCGACCTGACTACCGACGCCAACGATGCTGCCGTGGCCCAGAACCGCTACGGGACCGCCCCCCGAAGGGGAGGTTCCCGCCTCAAGCTCGAGCTCTCCTCGAACAACGCGCTCGCCACTTCTTCCCAGCCTATCCTGGCCGAGTCACCCCAGTCTCTCACGCCTTCACGGTCTCTGTCTGTCAGGAACGACTCCTCCAGCCTCACCGACATGAACTCCCCGGCCTCGTCCAAGTCCCAGCCCATCGACATCGAGAACCTCCCGATGCCTATGCCGAAACGTCGCCCCAGGTTCGTCGTACCCGCTGCGCCCCAGGTACCCCCGACCACAACGGCCGCCACAGCCCCGACTCCTAAAAAGGACGCTCGGCCGAAGCCCTATACCATGGAGGTTCCGCCCGCCGCTCCCCGGTACCTGTCCTTGCACCGACCGAAATCTGACGCGACCAAGGCGGCATATGGAGGTGGACTCTCCGCCACCAAGGACACGCGTGAAGGGGGAGCGGCCGACTTTTTCCCCTGGAAGGGGAACCACCCTGAAGACCGGCTCTCCGATTCTGTCATCAAGCAGGGCTACTTCGATAAGGCACCTGTTTCCCAGGCCGAGACCACGTCCGCGAAGAGCGCCATCTTCCCGGCCTTGAAGAACAAGAACGGCCTCAACTTGCTGTCGAGCATTTTCGTACACGTCATGAACCAGCGCAAGTATAACGGACAGATCACCACCCCGTCTACCTTTAAACCACCGCCCCGCGTCACCCTGACCGATACTAAGAGGGAGATTTGGATGCGCGACCTGGCCAATCCGGCCATATCTCTCCGTCGCCTCAGCCGCACCATTCCCCACGGAATTCGAGGGAAAGGCCTCCTCGACCATTGTTTGAACAAGAAGGTCCCCACTGAGCGAGCCGTCTGGCTCGTCCGCTGCGTGGGCGCCAATGATCTTAGGACCGTCAAGCGGAAAGGGGTCAATGGCGCCGTCGTCACCGGTGGCGAGATGAAATGGCTTCGGGACTGGACCTTCTTCGTAGAACAATTTGTTGAGAGTGTTGTCGCCGCGTTTGGGGACCCGGACTGGAAAGCCAAGGTTCAATATGCGTGAGTGATGAGCTGCTAGCGCCCTTTTCCTTTTCCTTTCTTTTTTCCCTTTTTGTTGCCATCTTTTCCTTTCCCTTTTCCTGCACTAACTCCTTCTCGTCGTAACCACAGCATCCGACTCGCCACTCATCTATACGCCGAACACCTTGTGGATCAGGATCATTACATGGACTGGCTCGTATCGGGTCTCGAGAATAGCACCCATGCCAGGTTGCCCATGTGGATATTGATCACTCAAATCTACTGGAAGGACCTGCTCCAACTGCGGAAATACGGCCGCCGACTAGCCACCGCTCTCTTGAATCACCTTAACACTGTACGTGGCTCTCGGTCAACATCGACTCTTCATGGGGAGGCCCGAACTAACCAACCGACACCATAGATACATAACGATCCCGATCGCGACATCCTCGCTTCGTTGTCCACGAAGCTCTCATCCTTAGTGATCCCTCTCATCTCATCTTATCCCCATAACTTCTTATCCCCCGCTGCGTGGCTCAAATGTCGGGACGTCCTATTCGCATCTCTCCCTATCGACAGTGATGCAGCCCAAACCGCCTACAAAAACTTGAACTTACGAAATGAGAGGCTGGTGGCATCGACAAGCAAGTCGGAACCGGCGAAAAGACAAATACTGATCAAGCACCTGGACTCGACCTACCACTCCTTTCACGCGCCAGAACTTGCCGCCACTTGTTGGGCTGTCGGCGAAGACAAAGCCATGGTCGTGCGGACGGTTCTCGAGTGGTCGACCTCTTTCCACCGACCGGGCTTGGCCAAGGTCTATGTGGCTGCGAATCTACTACGTACATGGGCCGCTCTCGATTTGGACGTCACCTCGTCTGTCCTCGACTTCCTCGATACAGCTCCTCCCCAGGCATCGTGTTCAAAGCGGCTCTTCTACCAGCTCGTTGGCGAGTTGGTCCGGAGTAGCGTCTTCAACGTCCATCGTTATGTCGTTTGGACTATGACTCGCGGGATCTTAAGGCAAGCGTCCGATACAGAACCCGACGCGTCCTGCCCCTCTCGCTTACTAGTCGACCTCCCGCTACATGCCCTGAACTCTCAGTCGAGACGAACACGCGCAGACCTGCTGCGCCGCGCCGGATATGACGTGGCCGGAGAGGCAGACGATATAGGGGCCGCCTTGAAGCATATTCAGCACGCAATTGGGATACCCCTAGATCCGCAAGATCCCTTGGCACAGCGAAAACCTCTAGCCTTGGGCAAAATTTGTCGCGCTGTCAGCAACAGTAGCCGAGCATTGCAAGCCGAGGTTGGGGCGAGGATGGCCCAGCTGTCGAGTTCCAATCACGTCAGTTTTCACATGTCTCTGGCCGCCTTCAACGCCATCCGCTCTATTCTCGAGGCCGCCCAGGATTTCGCGATGTTGGCCACAGTTGTAAAATCAACGATCGGGAGAGCTTCTGACCCTGACTTATTGGCCTCCTGTGCGGACACGGTTAACTTGCATCTCCCTGTTTTTCTGGCCCTGGGCGTGGCAAGGGACTTGTGCGACCTCCTTGTGGGAAAGATGCGCCTGTTGGCCAGCGACGACCATGCCATTCCTCCTCGCGTTATTCTAATGTCTCTGGTGAACTTGACGGCGAGGATTCCGGGATTTTCGAGCACCGCTGTTCAGTTGCGCCAAGAGCTCCAACAACGAGATCGCGGGATAGCGATCGATGCCTGCTCTCCGGTGTCCGATACGACGGCCGCCGCCCGGCTGCAGGATTCGGAAGGCGAGCTGCACGACGAGATCGAGAAGCTTCTGTCAAGCGGCACTAGCGTTGACCGACCGACTATGGATCGACTTTTCCACACGGTCGTCAGCCGGCTTGAGAGGTGCTGGGGAAAAGATGTCGACAAAACTCGCGCCTACAGTACGCTGCTTGCGAGACTCCGGGTCTTCGATCCCTCCCACTTCGACGTGCGCATGACGGACTGGGTACATCATGTTAGCACGCTGCGGTCTCGACCGGTGCTTGCAGACATATACCCGTTCCTCATTAGCTTGGGCTGCTTATCGTTCTCCATACTTATCACTACCACCTCAGTTGATGCGAACAAGCTGGTGGGAAGCACCGCACGACAAACCGGCTGCACCTCGACGTACATGCAGGAGGCACTGCTGTTAGCCATGAATCCTCTATCTCCCAAGGCTCCGATGACGCCGGAGGAGGCGTACCGGTTCTATATTCAGCAAGGGGCTGTGCCGCAACAGCACCCGAAAGAAGTGACTGTGCTGGTCAGGAATGCTCTGATCGAGTACTCATTACTGCTCCAGCCAAACGCAGAGACATCTTCTCAGCGCCTCCTGGCCGACCCGAAAGTCCAGGACCGGCTTCTCGACTTGCTTCGACTGCTCGTCTTGAGCGACTCTCCTGCTACGGCGCAGATTCTCGGCGCCAAAGTGGCGGACGCTCCCCACAGCAGCCTGCTCGCCAACATTACGACCAGGCTTCTCGCCGGGGGTCAAGACCCGGATGCCCCAATGAGCTTCGAGACGGTTCTGGAGATGGCGAACGATTTTTCACTTCCTTTTTGCCAGCTCAAACTATCCATCGGACTGACATCGAACAAGGCGACAGGGGGGAACGGCGAGAATCAGGCACCGTCTCGCATCGACATGCTCTCCAAAGCCTTGGATCAAGCGGTCGACACCAAGAACATGATGTGGACGAGTGTGCTCCCTTACCTCAGCGAGGAAATCACCGAACATCTCCGGAGACAAGCCCAGGCGCGCTTTCTTTCCCTGTTCCCTTCTCCCAGGACGCCATCTTCGTCGGACACGGCTCCAACCTCAACGTCGGGTCCCGATGTCCTGTCGACGGAGACGGTTCGCCTTTCGGAAAGTTTTCTGTCCGTGGTAGAGTCGATCATCCGTGGTCGACCTGCGCTGAGGGTGTCGCTTCTCAATCACCCCATGGTGGAGAAGCTAACAGAGCTTTGGGAGCTGCTGTTCACAGGTGGCGAAAACAGAGAGCTCCGAGCGGCGATTCTCTGCCATTGGCTCCCTGCGCTGGTCAAGTTCATTGCGCTGCATACGGCGACAAACGAGTCGGCACCAGCAGCTAATTCGACTGCCGCTTCTAACGCCGCCAACAATGCCAATACGGTAAAACCACCGACGACCGCGCCCGCTAGCGATGTGCGGGCGCGCATGGTCGTGGCTCTCGCGGGCGTGACGCTCGAACTCGACAACCTGAGTGCCGAAGAAGACCCGAAGACAGAAGGCCTTCGCGAGTCCGTTCTCGACTTGGCCCTCGTCCTAGTCGACAACCTACCCGAAGAAGGCCGGCAAAAATGCATCCGGGCCGTGCTGACCGGTGGAAGTCTGCAGAGCCCGGTGACGTCGGATGCGCGGCTGCGGTACCTCTTCAGTTACACGCGACGTTGGATGGAGCAGTTTGTGCTGGCTCATCGCCTACCGTCCAGCGGCGGCGGCACGGGGACGACGCAGGTGGCTACCCGGCCCAAAGTGCCGATTAGTCTTCAAGGCTCGGAGAAGCTGACGCCATACGTGTTTCGACGGTGGGAAATGCTCAGCGAGCCAACGCCGATTGTTGGCGAGAACGACACGGCGCTCAGCCTGTCGTTGTTCGAGGCCATCAAACTGCAATGATGAAGTGATTATGGGGGGGAAACATCATCTCATACAACTACCCTTTGGCTGTAAGATGAGTGTAGAAGAGCAGGAAGAGAGCAACCCATTGAGTACCTCACGAGCGGCGGAAAGCGGCATTATGATTTAGGAAGCGATGGATGCATGCGGTAGTGGTATTCGGCAAGGGACTTTTGTCGATCCGGGCCTCCTCTTCAAGGCAATTTTATCAGGGGGGAGGGGGATAGACCATGTTTACAGGGTTTCGGCGTAATATATTTGTAACTACTCGATGACGACAGGCTTCTCGCCCTACATTTTTTTCTACGGCGTGGGTATGGGTTTCGCGGGAAACATTTCACGAGGATTCCCAAAATACGATCACGATGGCTCTTTTTCACGGCTTCACACTAGACACAACGAAACCTCGACATGGCACCATACGATTGAACGACGGTGCACCTCCAGACGGGAATACATACTTGATCGATGAGGACGCCTGTCCTTTTTACACCGGATCCCAGCCAGACCACGGATGATTCAAGAAGCACGAAGGTTCGTTATCTTTAGAGATATTTGAAGACAATATCTTCGCATCGCGCGGCACAAGGTCGCATCAGACACGGAAAACGGGAACCCAAAAGTCGGAAAGCGCAGCAACACGCAATGGGGCGTCAGCAGCGACTTGGAAGACGTAGGTGCCATCATAACTGGGGACCCCCTTTTCTTGGTTGTTTTTGTTTTGCTCCCCGAACCAGCAAAAGAGAAGACTGAGAAGTGGTCCTTAACTACGCTGCCAAGGTAACCGAACGCCCTCGCAAGAAAATTCGCGTACAGGGCTTTTCCGCAGAGAGAGCGCCGTCGCCCTGCTTTCCACTCTCCCGACTCCATGCGAAGAGGACGGAGAGAATTAGAAAACACCAGACGAAAGAAAATGAAGAAACAAGAGCACAAAGCACAAAGCCGCGCAAAGGAGACAGAGCAGGCTAGTATACAAAGAAAACGCAGTATTCAGACGTATGACAGTCAGTCCGTCGCCAATAGGTTTCAAACCTCGAACGAAAAAGAAGAAAAAAATACTCGCAGTCCCTCATTACCGGCCAAGCGTCATTTCAGATTTGAGCGATTTCCCCCCCCCCCCAAGCGGGGGGCTCTCGGATCCCTCGGCGGGAGGGAGGGAAACATACCACTAGTCGTCGTCGAAAATCTGGAAGGTGTTCTGTAGAATGGTGTCGATGGCCTTGATCTGCCAGCCGGCGTCGGCAATGCTCGTGCTCGGATCGCTTCCCATGAGTGTGGGGCCGAGGATCACTGCCAGGTTATGGCTGTTCATGCGGTTGATGTGCGAATTGTCCATGACCCTGTGGAGGTGCAGGGTCAGGGCACGCATGGTGGCGTAGTTGGGATCGGGGAGGCCGTTGATGATGGCGTGTAGCGAGTCGCGGCGCACAATGTCATCTTCGTGTTCTATGGCAGTGTCAGCAGAGACGAAGAAGAAGAAGAAGAAGAAGAAGAAGAAGAAGAAGAAGAAACAGGGAAAGGAGAAGAAACGTACTGGCTGCCTCGATCAAGGCGGCATGTTGCTCCAATGTGAGCAGAGGGTCGGGGAGATCGCGGAAAAACTGCTTCAACAGGCCCGTAACGCTGTTGACATCGTGGTAGAAGTTCTCCGGATTCCTAAAGTCGAGGGCGGGATTGCTCGAATCGGTGTCGAACATGTTCTTGAGCTTGTTGATGTGGTTCATGGACCCGGACTGGCGATAGATGCCCTCGAGGCCGAGGCCGAACAGGTCGACGGCCTGGATGCACTGATAGACCACCATGGGCACGGCCAACCCGTCGCGCTCGTACAGCTTATTTAGGGGCATGCCGAACACTGGCCTAGAGGGTACCGGCGAGCCCGAGGGAGGCGGCGACGGACGGCTCTGCTGCGCTTGCGGTGACGCCTGAGACCCGGCACCGGCCGGAACGACCGGGGCTTGTGCCGGCCTAGGCGATCCCGCTGGGGGGTGCTGCTGCAAAGGATTGGCTCCTCCCTGCCACGCCTGGTACTGTCCTTGGGACGGTGGTCCCTGGGCCTGCTGCGGATGTGGGGGTTGGGGTTGGGGTTGGGGTTGGGGTTGGGCGAGGGGAGGCGGCGGACCTTGTGTCGACTGTGGGGATGGGGCCTGCTGGAAAGGAAGCGCCCCGAGTTGCGGGGGTCCTTGGGAGCTCGCCGAGTTTGAGTACGTGGCCGACGGGAGAGCAGAGTTGCGAGACGGCGGCCCCTGCTGCCGACGGAGAGAGGGATCCCCTGCCGGGGGCATGCTGTTGCCGTAGCTGACGCTCCTGCTGTGGGGGGAAGACGGCGGGTAGTTCTGGTGCGCAGGGTGGGGGCCCGGAGGCGGCATTGGACCGGGGGGTTGGAATCCTTGGCCCTGAGGAGGACCACCCTGGGGAAAGCCGCCATGGGGTCCGCCATGAGGTCCGCCATATGGCCCGCCGGGAGGGCCACCCTGAGGTCCGCCCATGGGATTCTGGAACGTGCTAGATCGGTTAGGAGGGGGCATCTGCTGTGGTGGACCTTGTCCCTGACCCCCAGGCTGTACAGGAAATTGGCCACGGGGCGGTCCCCCCCTGGGCGACATTTGCGAATGTTGAGCCATCTGGGGGGGCTGCTGACTGTAAGGTTGCTGCTGACCCAGGGGTGCTGGCTGTGGCTGTGAAAGGACCGGGTGCCGCTCATACTTGAGCTCTCCCTGTTTAGGGGGAAGCCTGGTGTGGTGGCTCGCGACGAAGTCGTTCAGATCCCTCTCGTTGTTAACAGCGAGTGCAGCGTCCCGCAAGCTGCGGGTGGCAGGCGGCTCTCCACTCTTGCCCCTGATCGGGCTGATGGTCAAACCGTTGCTGAGGAGCAGCTTCTCACTGAACGAAGCTGTGTAGATTATTAGCAAGTCTGAGAGGACCATCCGGAGGGGAACGGGGAACGGGGAACGGGGACCTATACCGAACTTTTGGAGCTGCAGCGTCACTCCAGAATCCGTCTCCTTAACCAACTCCTGGAGAGCCTTGATGGCCTCGGGTCTCGTCCGGGTGATGAGCTCAGACCGCTCGGCCTGGAGATGCTGGACCTTTCCGTGATAATCCTGGTCGGCGCCCTGTACTTTTCGCAGTAGATCCTCCTCGAGGGCCGGACCGGATTTGGACTTCAGGCTGAACATCTTTCCGCCCTGGCGGCTGGTGTCTCCGGTACGGACCCGGTCGTACTCCTCGGCCAGGGAGTCGTATTTGGTCTTGGCCTTGCGCAGCACGGCCTCGAGGTCGGCGACGCGCTGCTCGGGGGCGAGGCCGTTGGCCTTCCACCCTTTCCTGCTCCGCTCGGCGACGGCGGCCAGTTCCATCAGGTCGTCGTGCATGGCGTGCAGGGAGGCGGCGAATTGCATGCCGTTCTCGGCCATCCGCTCGTGGATGTACATCATCTCGGCGTAGGACTGGGCAAAGGTTCCCTGCCTGTGGTCTGGTTGGGACATGACGTCGTGGCTCAGGCGCGCGAGCTTCTTGAGGGAGGTAGCGTGGGATTCTTCGATGGAGGAACGTTTCTTGAGGAAAAGGGCGAATTCCTGTACGGCAGCAAGCAACGGCAAAGAGGCGTCAGCAATCGGGGCCTGCCTGCGCAGGAAGAAATGGGAGAGCCATCACAGGCGGGGGTTGTCGGGCACGTACCTTTGCGGAAGCTATACTGGCTTTCAACTGATTGAGCATGGTAGAGATACCGATCTAGGCTTCTGTCAGCGTGCCTGGCGCCTGTCATGGCCTCAAGTAAAGTTCGAGTTGGGATTTACCTCTGAGGAGAGGACCTCTTGCACATATGCAGGCGCATCGTTGTTGTCCTTTGCCGGAACGGGAACGGGGGCGGGAGAGGGAGAGGGAGAGGGAGCGGGAGCGGCGGCAGCAGAGGGGGCGACTGTAGAAAGCGGCGGCTGTACTGGGCCACCAGAGCCCTCATTACCAGGCGCTGTATCTGGTATCCCATTCTGGGGAGAAGTCGCCGGAGGAGGAGCAGAAACAGAGCTGGTTGGATTCGTTACGGACATGCTGCCGGTTCTGTCGTGTGTGGGTTGACTTGAAGCGAGCTGCTCCTGGGGGGCAGACGTCTGAAGGTCGGGCATGGCGAGTGAGGAAGCGAGACGGATCAGGGGTCAAATCTCTTTCTCTCTATCTACTTATTTCGTCGCTGGCAGTGAAAAGAAGAAAAAAGAAGGTGATAGCGACACAGGTGAAAATCGGGTTGTAGGAAGCCGGCACCGTTGCGCAATTGTGTATGGCGCTTCAGGGTTTGTTCGTACGACGTGGTACCGGGAGGAATCATGCAAGGACGCGATCAACGAGAGAGCCGACGCAACGAGGTCGGGAATAGGAATAGGAGGGGAAGCGAGTGTCGTCCAGTCTTGGGGGTTTGTTCGACCGCCAACGTTTTGCGGGAGTTGTTTCCTGCCGGGCGTTGGCGAATATCAGGGGTAGGCCGTTGTTCAAAGACCGAGATGCCCGAGCTTCGCACGTAAACAAGAATGAATGGTATCGGATGCGAGGAGGCCGAGGAGGTAAAACGCAGCTAGGTAAGTTACGGGCGGGCGAGACCTTGCGCCGGTCGACTGTAAAGGCTGTGATAAAAAGAGCAATTGAAGGGGGGGGTATTTTTATTTGCCCGAAGAAAGGCAATAATGTGTTGAAGGATTGTTGGCAGTGCTGCGTGTTGCGTTAAGTTGGATTGAGGGTTGGTTGCGTATTGTGTTGCGTGGTCGTTGCTGGGGCGGGCTGTGATTAGGTAACGTGTACATCATAATGTTCACACCAAATTGAAGAACTTCGAGACATCGCGGGCCGGTAATAAAAACTCCGCAATTCGCCCATTCCACGTCGAATCCCTCTGGACGGATGTACAGACAGACGTAGCTACGGAGTACCTAAGGTAAGGTACCTTGTCGTCGAGACGGGGTCGGCAATAGATGTAATTTAAGGCAATTCTCGAGATATTTTTTATTCTCGAGATATTTTTCATGATATAAACCCTTACCACACTCTCTATTCTCTCCACACATTTGTCGTCTTGTCGTCTTGAGACTTGACAGACATGGATGGAAGAATCAAGATGCCTTTAATACTTCGTCCCTCGCAAAGATTAAGCTAAGTACACTACAAGTACAGGTAATTAAGACCCACGTGCCGTCGATCACGCACTTCGGTGTGTCAGAATCCTACTACGACCCTCCGCATTCTGTGTTCCAGGTCCGTCTCAGTTTCAAAAATTTCGTCCTCGTTACGCCCTCGCTCTCCAGGCTGTTCCGTCCTTTGTAGCTCGAGTGTCCTTGACGGGAATGGTGGAGTCACCAACTACCGAGTACAATGCAACCTCATCCTGTCTGTCCCGAGTCCCCGACTTCTCTGCCTTCATGAACCGATCGATTATGGGGCTTTCATATTCAGCTTTGACGGCGAATCCTCAAGTACCTTAGGTATGACAACGGTCTACGTATATTCTAAACTTCTTAAGGCCTTTTCACTTTGCCAGACGCCGAGAAAAAAACCAAGCCATACACAGTGAAAGATCACTCGGCATTAAGAAGAAAAAAAGGAAGAAGAAAAAAAAGAAGAAGAAAAAAACCTCGCTTTTCTCAGTAAAACAACAACGCCAACGGCTTCTTCTCCGCTGCGTACCTCTCCTTAAACTCCTTCCGTGTCAACCAACGAGCCAGTGGCAGCATCGTGTCTTTCATGTCCATGACTCCGCGTTTCTTCCCATCAATGTGCGACACATCCACCACGATGCGTTCCAACTTGGCCACCGAAAGGGCTCCTGAGAGGAATATATATCAGCCATGCCTTTTCCGTTGCCACTGAATGGAGCATATAGCACATACCGTTGTCCACCAGGTCCATTAACCGGGCAGGTGTGCCCACCGCGATGCCAGTCCGATGCGTTTGCAGAAACTTGGTCTGCTCCTCAATTTTCATGTGCTTGGCAAACTGTAGAGGCCGTCAGCAAGACAGACAGCATTATAACATTACACCATTGGGCCTCTCTAAAGACTCTGGAACTTACCAGCTTCGCCACCTTGCTTTTCTCGCCTTGAAACTTCCTCGCCGCTCTGTTTTCATGTCAGCCTCTCCTTTTCACCTTTCACCTTTCACCTTTCCCACCGGCGAATTGGACCACACAAGTGGGCTTTTCTCCATCTCATACCTCACTAGATCGGCAGCTCGCAGGCCGGCCCCCGTCACAATAATGGTATGGGGGCTCCCCTTCACCTCAGGCGCGGTGCTTAACCTCTCAGGCCTCTCCGCGAACTTTTCGAGAAACGCCGCCAAGTTCTCCATGGTCCTAGGACTCTGCCAGGATGTCGTGTCCATAATGGCGTTCGCTACGATACCTTTGTCAGCCAAAAAAAAACAAAAAAAAAATGTATAGGTAGGGGTTAACTCTGGATAGACGCGATGAGACGTACCGGATATTGTGAGATCAGCCACTTCGATCGAGCTAAGATCCGAGCCAAATCTGGTGATCTTCTGCGCCGTATAGTCGGCAAGCAGCTGACTGTCCATGACCGCGAAGGACTCGTTGATTCCCGCCTCGACGTTCAGAAGGCTCTCGTCCACCTGATACGGAGACTTCTTCTGTTTCTTGGGCTTCCGTGAGCCCTCTTCGCTGGGCGCAGCTCTCTTCTTTGACTTTGACATCTTTAGACCGACTGGACGTAAAGCGAGCCTCTTCTTCCTGTCCTCAGTCTAAGTGATTGGATATATCGTAGTAGGCGTCGAGCTGTATCCGTCGTGTTTTACACGTGTAGTTCAGGTATATCCGTATTTCGTCCTCGACTTGAGATGGAGGAAAGTCCAAGTGCAAAAAGTTGAAATGTTCAGTCCAGGATAATGAGACACCCTGGGTACACCGTACATTTGACTTCGCCCTCGTAACCGTAGACGTTGCATGTACTCCGTACATGGTACGTCTCAAGGCACGCTAGAGGCGGGGCATAGCGGAGACTGGTCAAGGAAAAGGGTCTTGCTAGCGCCAGTTGAAAAGGTTCTGCCGCTAGTCACCGCTCACAGCATGCTCAATTTTCTCTTTTTCTCTTTACGCTGTCCCCGACACTCTCGAGGTATCTCCACTGTGAAACGAGTGAGGTCTGGACTGAGCTGCGTCTCCTCCCAATTCAACTTACTTTCACCAATCTCACTTTGAGAACACAACTCAATTACGTCCCCGCCATGGCAGAAAAAAGGAAACGGTCCGAGGCCGCCGAAGGCGTCAAGTCCAAAAAGGCCAAAGCAGCCAAAAAGCGGCCGGAGCCCAACCCGCTCCCAGAGGGAATAGAAGTCGTAGACGACGCAGTCACGCAGCCCGAAGAACCAAGCAAAGAGTCGTCAAAGAAGAAGAGCTCGAAGAAGGACAATAAGTCGCCCAAAAAGCCCAAGACCGCGGATGAAACAAAGGCCGGAGCGGAAGCCGTCAACGGCGCAAACGGCGAGGCAGAACAATCCGGGACGAAGAAGAAGACAAAGAAGTCGAAGAGCAAGAAGAGCGACAAGAGCGAACCGAACGGCGACGCCCCAGCCGAGGCCGAGGCCGATTCCGAGTCGAAGCCGGATACCACTGGAGAAGAAGACGGCGACGCCTCGTCAAAACCACTCTCCAAACGCGCCCTGAAGAAAGCCAGGAAAGAGAGCGCTGCTGCTGGCGGTGAAGCCGACGAGAACACCACCACCGCCACCGCCAACGGCAAAGCCCCGCGCCACATCGTCTTCGTCGGCAACCTCCCCTTCACCGCCAACGACTCCACGATCCGCCAGCACTTCGCCGCCTTCAAGCCTACCTCCGTCCGGTGCCTGACCAAGGACGGCGTGGAGGGTACGTGTCGCGGTTTCGCCTTTGTCGAGTTTGGCAACCCGGCCCACATGAGCACATGTCTCGACAAGATGCACCATACTTCTTTCAACGATGGCGTGTCCCCGGCTAGGAAGATCAATGTTGAGCTGACGTACGTTTTTTCTTCTTTTTTCTTCTTCTTTTTTTCTTTTCTTTTCTTTGCGGTCTTTTCTCATCCTTCTTTCCCTTCCGAGAGTAAACAACGAGTGGCTAATGATTCCTTTTTGTATAGTGCTGGCGGAGGTGGCAGCAAACCGGGCCGCAAGGAGAAGATCAAGCAGCGGAACGAGAAACTGGCAGAGAACCGCACCAAGCGCATTGAGAAGGAGAAGGACGGCAAGAAGGCAAATGCCACAGGAGAGGATCAGCATACTGGCATGCATCCTAGTCGCCTTGCCATGATCTCATGATAAACGAGGGACATTTCCCAAACTGGCAAGAATTGAGTTGGCGTTCGAGGGATCTATTATTGTATTTTGTGACCGTCATGCAGTAAAAGTTCTTGGAATTCAGCTAGACATGGGATTTCGACCTTTCCCATGGACCATGAATGGATTTTTTTCCTTATGTCTCAAGGTCAGAGATACCCTTAATGACACACATTTGGAGAGACAAAACATAAACCAAATCAAGTTCCCGAAGACCTAACTAGAAAGACGAGAATTTAAAACAAGGCCGGTAACCCTTTCCCCTAAACCCGTTATAAAGTCCCCTGGGGAAAGCAAGCAGGACAAGCAGAGCAAGGAGACAAGCAAAAGACATGTGCTACCTACAGAAAGAAAAAGCAACGTAGCTTGGGATATCCTTATAATAGTGGGTTTTGCGCGCGATCCGTTTAACGTGCTGCCTCCAAACCTTCCACCTATCCCTCTGTTTATGCTCCTATCATCTCCTCTCCTATGCAACCGGAGAAAATCAGAACCACGGTTGTTGCTATCGTATCTTCCAATCACGAATTGCGCGCGCGCATAAGATCAGGGGAGCCTAAGCAGGGCTGCCTTTTGCACACATCTCCACCGAATAGAGTCGGTCGTCTACTAAGCCAAGATGTTGCCACCAAGCAAATCTAGAGTTCTTCCGTTCCTAGCACATGGTTGCGGCAGGTTTGGGGGTATGGTGCAGACAGGTTTGTACCTGCCAGTTATGTGGCGCGCGTAGGATATTGTGCAAAAAAAACAAAAAAGTGAAGACGGAAAAAAGACCAAACATGGGTTCTTTACAGAATGCTGCACTTGGCCTTTTTCGTCTTCTGGACCTGTGGGCGGGGATTCAGGACAGCACTATACATGGTCGTTAGTAGTAGAACGCTTAGAAACAAGACAAAGGGAGCAAAGAAAAGAAAGGCAGTTGTCAAAAAGTGAGACAAGAAAACCTACCGAATCGCCTCGTCAAAGACGCTCTTGAGGTTCCGCTGTGTGAGTGCAGAGCACTCAAGATATTTGTGTGCCCGAATCTCCTTAGCACAGATGAGGGCTTGGTCGTACGACACAGGCTCCATGCGCTTCTGTCGCAGAGCCTCCAGGGTGCCGGGGTCTTCTCGGAGGTCGAGCTTGGTGCCGACGAGGATGATGGGAATGTTCGGCGCATGGTGGTCGATTTCGGGATACCACTGTTTTCGTACCAGTCAGTATTACACGTCGTCTCCTGTCAGCCGGGGGAAGTCGTCCAGCGCCTGAATCATACCTTGGCTTTGACGTTGTCGAATGAGGGAGGGCTGACGATGGAGAAGCAGATGAGGAAAACGTCGGTCTGGGGATAAGAGAGGGGTCGCAATCTGTCGTAATCCTCCTGACCGGCAGTATCCCAGAGACCCAGGCTGATCGGCTTCCCGTCGACCATAACGCTCGCGGAATAGTTATCGAACCTGTAGGCGACGGACGCGGTCAGACAAGATTCATGTCGGAGATCGGGGGATATTTTTTAAAACTGACACCGTGGGAATATATTCGCCCGGGAAGGCGTTCGTTGTGTAGGAAATGAGAAGGCATGTCTGAGGTATTCGGGTTAGCGACGAACGTAGGGACCAGAGAGTCGATGGTAGATGGAATGCGAGCGTTGGGCTACCTTTCCGACGGCACCGTCACCGGTCACGACGCACTGTAGGGAGAGGAAAAAGAGTCAGCTTGGAACGTTTGCCAGAAAATGACCACCCAGCCGATGGTTGGCCTCACGGTCCCCCGGGGGAAGGTAACGAACCTTAAGGGACTGAACCCCCGGTTGAGCCATTTCGTCTACTTCGGTCAGATGCGACTTTGATGTCCTTCAGCAACAGGAGCGATATTTTGTGCGGGGCGGCGGTTATGTTCGTTACAACGTTTCGTCCTGGTCAAGGATCGATTGTCGGGAATCAGGCGATGGTGGAATTAGACGATGGTGGAATTAGACGAGGAAACCTGCCAGTTGATGCGGAAACTTGCAGCGCCGGCGGTGGTGGTGGGGGGAGGCAAAAATTGCGGCAAAGTGCTTGATTCGCGAGGTTCCTCTCAGAGGAGGTTGGGCTATCGAGCAAAGCCGCCAAGACAAGGGGGTTAGGGACCGGGGGATAGCAGCTGGTGCTTGATTAGCCGAAAGAGGAGGGGGTTAGTGAGTTGCCCGAGTAAGTTGCTTGGGCGAGTTATCGACGTGGGAACAGGGGAGGAAGAAAAGAAGAAAAAAAGAAAAAGAAAAAATAATAGAAGAGACGGAAATTCTTGAGATAATCGCTGCGAGAATCAATGGTGTGGAGGACGAAAATGAAGCAGCCAAAGTACGAAGTAATAATGCAGAAACAAGCCCAGGAGTTAGGAAAGGAAGGAGTCCGGCTGGCCAGGTTGGGTTGTGGAGGTGGAGGTAACTGTACGTATCAAGAGGCGCCCTCGGGGGCCCCCTGGGCGAAGTGGGGATGGGAAAATGGGAAACGGATGGTTCGCTGGTGCTGGAGGAGGTGATGGTGTGTGGTGGTGGTGGTCTGCAACGGGACGGGGTTGGCCAAGCCGCAAGGGGAAAGGGCCCGTGTTGCCCCATGGGAGGTACGGTGTAAGTCGAACGAAGTACAGGTACTTCGTACCCTCAGGACAGGACGGAGTACGGATCATGGTGAACGGGAACGCCGCTGGGCCCCATGATTGAAGGAAACACACACACACACCGGCCGAGCAATGGGCCGCCAACTTTCGGGCCAATCCACGCCGTAGCGAGGACCTCTGGCGGGGGGAGGACGCCGACAAGGCGGATGGTAAGCACACCGACTGGGTGAGAGGGAACGATGGGAGGGAAAATGCAGGGAAAGACGACACAGTGCATCGGATGGGGCTGGCGATGGCATCGGATTGGGCCATGGTGAGAGATGAGGAGGGGCTCAAGAAACCTACCATTCGTGTGTACGAAGTACGTAGTGGCAACGGGGGTGGTCGGCGACGGTAAGGAGAAGGAGACAAGAGAAATGGAGACGAAAGGGAAGCCCAAGACAGAGGCCGAAATATCGTCAAGGTATGTGACTACACGTAGATAGGATGAATATATATTCGTACAATACCTACCATACCTCACATACCTACACGGCAAAGGCACCAAGACTACCAAGGGATCAGCTAAGTACCTTAGAGAGCGGTTAGACGAGTATAGTCGCTCATTGGGTTCTCGGCTGAATTGAGTTGGCGTACGTACGTACGGAGTGCCGACTTAGCTCTGTCTTCTGGTGGTGATTACAGCGAGAACAAACTGGAGATATACATAATCAGGAGATGCATCACAACCCTCATTCAGTGGTATTATTCCGCCTAGCTGAGGTCAGCGGTTGGGATGATAAGATGGGCACGGTGAAAAGAGTTAATAATAAGGTGAAGTGAGTTAAGGTGAAGTAAGTTAAGGTACGCTACGAGTTAACTAACCCTTAAAGATAGAGGACATGATACGGACTCTTCTGCATCCAACATATTCGTAATTACCCTAAACCCAAGGGTAAGAGAAGTAAGTAATTAATTACTATCCTGACCACTACCACGCGTGTCTCAGTCACAATAGGCAAGAGACAGAGAGGCAAGGGGATAAGCGCGTCGTTGCTTGTTTTTTTGATCCAATCCATCCAACTGTGAAAGAACGAGGGGGATGGATGAAGTATCCAAAAGAGGGATAGTCTGAAAATGCGATAACAGACTGAAACTCGGTAAGGTACAGATAGGGTACAGATAACGGATTGGCCCCACTCGACATTGATGGTCCGAGCTTGGGCTCTGAGCTCTGAGCTTTGATGGTCCAAACGTGTGTCGTATATAAGGTACTCGTCTTGTAACAAGTCCAATATATTATCCGCATCTACCATCCATATTACATCCCATGTTCAAGGATTCACGTTTAAATATTTACTCTTCAGCAGCCAGTATCAGACTCCGGTCTCCCGCCACCGGACGGAACCGCAGACAATATGACAGTAGCCAGCCGGATATGAAGCCGAATAGGCAACTCTCTCTTGCCTTCAGAGACCATCGTTCGAACTTGTCAACTTGTCACTCTGGGACGTGAGCCCATTGTGCGGACCAAACACGTCTAGAGAAGGAAGAAGAAGAAAAAACTTATATTCCCTCTCGGGCATCTACGAAGACAGGGCAAAGAAGCGAAAGGTCGCCAATGAAGGAAAGCTAGGCTGTCTATGTAATGATGATATAGGCCCTTCTCCATGAGTCCATCCAACGCCGTATCAACAACTGGCTGCCTATGTCGACCATCACCATCTCTGGTGGTTGCTGCGGAAAGCCAAGCAAAGAACACAGGATACAGCGAGCGTGCTCCCGGTGCATTGAACGAGAGAAGTAGTCAACCAATATCTGACCCTCTTCCCTGTTCTCTTCTCACTCGCCTCCGATCTTTCCCATTCCCGTGAGGAAGCCGTGCAAGTGCTCCCCTCTCTTTCATGCTCCCTAGCGATTCAACACATCATACCATCTTACTATCATAATTCGTTGTTTTCCATTATTCTCTGTTGCTCACTCTTCATTCGGACACTTCTTCTGGTCGGTCGATGTAGCGGCGGTATCCACACATTCTTTCTGATCGCCACCTGTTTTCTGTGTCATCGAGCGTTGGGCGCGGCGATTCTGTCTTTCCTGGCACAGCTGCGCGTACCCAGGCTCGTTGGCCTTACGCCACTCAATGTGAGCCTCGTATTCCAGTTGCCTTTGAGCATCGGGGGCACGAGGCTTGCGCACCGGCTTGCTTCCAATTCCACCTGGGCCCGGGACGCCGACGCTGCCGGGCGGGCTCGTGGACGTCTGTGGCATTAAAGGGGGAGGTACAAAGCCATCATGACTCAATCGAGGTACAAAAGGCCCAGGTCCGAACCTCAAACCAGGGCCACATCCAGGGGGAGGGTGGGCAAAGGGTCCCCAGTAGCTGGGAGGTGGCGGCAGAGATGCCATAGGTCCCAGAAGACCAGGAGGGAGCATGGGCCCGGTGCCCGGAGGACAAGGAGGCGGCATGAGGCCATTAGGGGTCATAAATTGACCACCAGGATACCCTGTGGCGCCAGGGAACGCGGGATTCATGGGAAGTGGGACTGGACCGTCTCGTCCTACCATTTGGGGAGGCAGCATGGGACCTCTGAGGCCAGGGGGCAGCGGCGGGAGGCCGTTCAGACCTGCGAAGGAGGGGTCGCCGGGGCCGCATGAAGGCGTGAACGGCGGACTCGGGTATCCCTGGAAGGGCACTGGCGATATGGCCGGACCGGCCCTGCTAGGTACCATAGTGCCCATAGGGAGTGGAAAGGTCGCTGGGGAAGGGGGGGCGGTGACCTCTTGGGCAACAAGACCGGGGAAGCCGAATTTCTGGATGGTGTTCTTCACCACCTCCTGGAGTTTCTCATAGCTCTTGGTGTACTCGGCGATCATATCCATAGCATCTACCACGGCCTTTTGCGTCGTCGTCGTCGTCGTCGCGGTCGCCTCGGGCTCTTGTTTTTCGCCGGCCGGCTTGCCTATGCCGACAATAGCGGGGTCCGCAAGATCGGTGGTCGAACGGGCAACGAATTCTTTGGCTGCCGGGTTGAGGCCCGTCGGAGATGGTCGAGGACTAGACGGTCTGTCCATGTCCAGCACAACGGCCGAGTCATCTGATTTGGGGTGGTTTCGGCGGGAAACCGTTTGCCCGGTCGGTGTTGGTCGAATGTCTGAGGAAGCGCTCAACACAGATGCCCCGATGCCGAGCATGTCTTGGATCTTCTTCTCCTTGGTGGCTTTGCTCAACTTCTCGATGAGACAGTTGTATCGGTGTCTCTTCTGCTCGGGATCGGTTATGGGATCGCTTTTAGGGCGTGTCCTGACCCCGCCGACGTTCACAACGGCCGAGTCTGACATGATGGCCTGGGCTGTGGAGTCTGCATCCACCGCACTGCCGGTCGAGCTTCTGTGCCGCTCCTGGGAACGAATATTGGGCTTGCGGGGAGCCAAGAACAACGGCTGCTTGTCGGTCGAGCCGATGGCATTTTGGCCACAGCAGTTTTGGCTGCGCACAGATTCTTTCCGAGGGGTGGTTCGAGTTTGATGGACCTGCTCGGTATATTGGAGCTTGGCCTCCTCCTCGCGCTCCTGCTTCTCCTGTTCATACATCTTAGCCGCGGCCCTTGTTGCCTTGAAGCGCTTCGAGCCTCTGATGCTTTCGATCTCTGCAATGGGAAAATCACCATCGTGGGTGCGACACATCTTTTCCTGGCAATAGTCGTCGACCATGACGACATCGATTACATGAACCCTGGGGTGGGCGTGGTCGGCAAAAGCCCGCGAGGCGCGCTCAGTTGAAGATCTAAAGCGGCTGGCGGCGGTGGCAGCTGTAACGGGGATGCTACTGATGATACCGACGTTGCTGTGGAAAAGACTACAGTCAGAGAGGTCGGAATCATTCGCATCCTCGGAGATGTCGAAGAAGGAATCAGCAGAGAAGCCGATACTACTAGCACTGCGTTGAGGGGAAGCTCCAGGTTCCGGGGAGCGCAGATGGGTAGACGGATCCTCAAGGTTAAAATCAGAGGAGATCGCTTGTCTGTGACGCTTCTTGTGAACCTTGAAGCCTCTGCTTCCCTCGTAGGAGGGCTTGGCGGGCTGGCGCCAGTTGGTGCTCGTCATGGCCTCGGCGAACTTGGGGGATTCCTTGACAGACGAAGACGTGGGCATTTGGGCGATGGTTATTGTGTTTATCGTGATGCTTGGGAGGTCGTTAGCATATATACAGGTTGGGTGATGGATAGCAAGTGAGCGAGGACCGCGCAAACAGACTGACTGACCTTGATGAAGAAATTACTGGATGGATAGTCGTATTACACTGATGCTTGGAGATAGCACGACAGTCCTCTGACGGCCTCCTGGGGCAAGAAATCGTAGTAAGAGGTGCTGGCAAGGTGAAGGTTCTCCTTTCAATCGAAAGATGGTTGATTAGTTGTAATGCTGATGGCTTCCGGAGGAAGATCTTGTGGGATATGCTTTAAGGAGAGAACGTGAAGAAAAGGGGAACAATTTGCGTACCCTTCCTTGTTGACTGATGGCGAAAAGCGCGATTGCCCTGCCTGGCTGGTCCAAGTCGACGCCCCTTTTCCTCTTTCCTTCCTCAGGAGTTATACAACAAAGCTTTTGTCAGTATGAAATCAACCTCGTTCCTCGTCGTGCTGCCGCACCAGGCTGAAGACTTATACTAGAGCTGCACGTCATAGTGTGCTGCTCTGTACAGATGCCGGTTTAAATAATATCGTGGCTGGATCCAGTGACCACGGACAAGTTTTCAACGAAGAACTGATTCACAAGAGGGAATCGGTTTGACTCTTTGCTCTGTCTGGTCTGCTATTGTCATGGGACTGAGTGAATCGCTGGTTTGGAACAAGGTCGAGGATATTCGGTTGAGGGGGGTAAAGAACAAAAGAAACGCTTTGCTCTATTAAGGCTTAGATGGATATGAGTCCAAGAAAACAAACAAGGACGGTGTCGTGCTACCGGTTGTCGTTTTGGTTGAAAATCGGGAGCGAGAACGCGAGGGGGGATATGTTTGGGGATTGCCGGTGATGTAGAATGTAGGTAGGTCTAAACAACAACAGCAACAAGAACAACAACCTAAAGTACTGTCTACCTGCCCAGTGTTCCACGGTCGTGACTGCTCCCCCATTTCCTCCTTCCTGTTGTCGGCACAAGATACAAGACACTGGTGTGGCCTGTCCTTCGGGCTACATCGTCCCAGCCCATCGTGACTGCCTCGTTGGGAACAGGCATGGCTGGACGCGGCTCAGACAAGCGACGTACGCCTGAACGGGTAGTAGATACGTACTGCTTCGTAGTTCCTACCTCAGGTTGACATGCCTCTTAGCCTCCGACTCCGACTCGTCAACGTGTCCCCAGTTTGCTCAACATTCTGGGCAACCGCGAGTCTGCGGGCCATGACGTCCAGAATGGCATGAGCAAAGTAGACCAGCCTGATAAACTCATTACCGCTGTCAAAACGGCAGACATTGATTGTGACCAATGAGTTGCACAAGAGCCACCCCGAGAAAGTTTATGGCTTTAGGTAAGGTACCTTAAGGTAGGTAGTCATCTTCAACCACAACTACCAGTAGGCGTTGCGTCAAACAAAGTCAATCACCAACCACACGCAAGGACTGATATCCGCAGCATGCCGCTCAACTGAGTAGGTTCCTGGAATGAACCCTGTTTTGAATTGTGCTTGCTTTTTCTTTTACTAATTTCCGGGTTTCTTCAAAGCTCTGCCTTTCCATTTCAAAAAGGGAAACAAAAAGAGGTGCCCGTGCCCATCATCATAATACAATCGGTCGTATCGCGTCACTCTCCCATCCTTTATGACAACTCGCAAGAGAAGAAAAATATCCTCGCTTTTGAACTCGACTAGGCTTGGCTTGACAATAGAATCTGACAAAGTGCTCGCATTCCAACCTGGAACGGCACTCAGATGCTTTGATTGGTGTTGCCACTCAGATAGGCCTGGAACCGTTTCTATTACGACCGTATATCAGCATTTCTGCGCTCACTTGCAATTCGCCGTTGTGCACGCGGGGAGATGTGTAACGTACCACATTGCGTGTCTGCATATAGACGGTGCCTGGACCAGTAAACTTGCACACGAGACCTTCTCCGGAGGAGAGGCCGGAGATGATACCGCCCGATGCAACTCGCTCGATCACGTATTTTGTGTTCCACGCCACCAAGTGACCGTTATCGACGATATATTTCTCACCGTCGATGAGCTGTTTCGATCCAGTCAGAAACATCAGAAACATGTCTATGGAGCAGCGAGATAAATAAATAAAAAAAGGCGAGAAGGGAAATTGATGGGGGAGAACACACATCTTTCCGAATGATGGCGCCAAAGCTCGTGATCCAGAGGAGACCAACGCCGGTAATCTTGTACACGAACCAGCCCTCACCGCTGAACATGGCCTTGCCGATGCCTTGGCGCTTGTAGTCGGTGTTGACGCCCTGGGTGTTGGCAATGTAGGCGTCCTGGCCCACCGACCACGTCTCTTTGCCCGTCAACCGGAGGCTGGTCATGTCACCGAGCATGGCGGGCGCGAGGAGCACCTCCCCGGGACCCGTGAAGGTGGACTGGGCGAGCTCGGCACCGGCGACGAGCTTTTTCATGCTGAACTTGACGGCACCTCGCAGTATGACCGTCGGAGACATGGCGAGAAGGGTGCCTGTGCGACGGAATATTGTTAGCAAGAAAAGAAAAAAAAAAAGGCCCGGGCGGGGGGGGCTTTGATTTGGTTTTCTTCTGGGGTGGCTTGCCTGGCTTGGCCTTAATGGGACACCCGAAGGCCAGTTGGATGGTCAAGATGGTGTTGCTGTCCCGGTGGCTGATTCGGTAACTTCCACCGTTGAAAGTACCAACGTCGTCAACGGACGGGGTCCCCTGGGCACCCACAAACAGTTCGGGAGGCGGAGCTCCGGAGATGAACTTGACCGGGGCTTTGGATGAAGAGGCGTCATCGTCATCGTCATCGTCCTCCTCCTCGGCCGAAGCCAGAGACTGGCTTTTCTCGGGAGGGTACGGGGCATCGGGAGGACCGTCAAACGTGGGAGGAGGAGGAGTAGTACCGTAGCTGGCCTGCTGCCCGGAATCGGGACTGGCTACCGTACGCAGGGGGATCTGACTTGAGCTTTGTTGTGACGGGTCGATCGGCGGAGGAGGGAACTGCTGATACTGATGGGGTGGTGACTGTGAGGGCGGCGGCGGCGGATAATGAGTCTTGGTGGTGCCGGGACTAGAATTCTGTGGAGGGGGCGGGAATGTCCTTGTCTGTGTCTGAGGCGGAGGTGGCGGCGGGTAGGCGATGCTACTCTGAGGGGATTGACTGGCGGGTGGAGGAGGGTACGCATTCGTGCGAGCAGATGGAGGCGTAGACGTAACTTGTTGAGGAGGTGGGGGGTAGTTTGTAGCTATTCCCGGTTGGCTTCCTGAGGGTGCTGGTGGAGGCGGATAGGAGAACGTGGTTTGGCGGGCGGGCGGAGACGTTGGTGGTGATGAAGGCGGCGCTGGGTACGTCTCGCGAGGCGCTGAACGGTTGGATTACATTTCGAGTTAGCGGGAGCCAGACAATGTCACCGAAAGAAGGTTATATGCATATGTTCACGAACCTGAAGGCGCCGGGTTTGGCGGGGCTTTTCGCGGCAAATGATGCGTCAGTTATTGTGCTTTTGCAGCGAGAATGGTATGCAAAAAGAAAAGAAAAAGAAACAAAAGCCAAGAAGAAGGGAGTGGGAAAAGAGAGCAACACTTACGAGGATCAAACCGCTGAGCCATGTTGTCTAGATGAAGACGGCGATGTAGAGGAATCCGGTATCAGGGAAAGAATTTCCTGCAGTCCGTGACTTCGACTCGGGTGTTTGTTCAATGTCGATGAGAGGCGATAATGAGGAGAATGTGGAAGTTGAGAAACGTTTACAATTGGGGTGAATGAAGCTTCTTCTGGACACGTCTGGTTTTTGGTCTCTGGTCAGCATTGGCCTTATGACTCCCAGAGTGACACACACTGCTTCTGCACCGAAGAGGCTGCATCCATTGACCGTCTTCCCGTTGCATTCTGTTGCTTGTTACTTTGCCCCGCATTTGGTCCCAGGGCCAACAGCAGAACAGATAGGGGGATCCTCTTCACTGCCTGCCCCTCTTTCATTCTCCTTCCCACTACTCCCAAGAGACATCACTCACCTTCTACCTGGTCTTCAGATGAAAGCCAATGCCCGAGTAAGCACAAGCACAGTCTTCAGTCTCGGGGGGACAAAGAGGTCGTTGAACGCCCCGGATTCCTGTCAATTACTGCGAAATCAGGGTGAAACTTCTTTATGTTTGCGAGGTGTTAGAAAGCGATGGACGTGTTCAGCGAAGGTGAAGCTATTTCCAGCAGCAGAGATTCGACAAAGAAGTCGGCCCAGGAGGCTAGAGGGACACGGGCGATATCCCTTTTATGAAGGGTTCCAGAGCTCAATCAGTGCTGCAGGAATTGGCTCTGAATTCGGTCCTGTAGCTGTCTGCAGCTGTCAGGACAGAATGCTGCAAGACAAGCTGCCGGGCGGTCCTGGAGGCCACACAACTGGCCGCCGCTTGCATGTAGGCCCGCAACGTTCCCCCGCTGACTTACATCTTGCACCGCGATTCTCCAGAGCAAGCCCCCAATAATTTCCTACCTACTGTCTGCTTGGTGTGGGCTCGCGGCGTAGCCGCCGACACTTGTCAAGTCGGCGCTTGCAGGTATTGGCAGCGACAACGCTTTTGATTGGACCATCCATCTTGACTCTCCCCTTGGTCACCGAGCAGACCTCTCTCAGTCTCTCTCTCTCTCTTTACAACGTCAGTTGGTTGGGATGTAGGAGAAGTCTGACACTGAAAGCAACCCAAGCGGTGGAATTAAACATCGGTTGGTTCGCGCCGGCCAATCTCCCGGTCCCGGTTCCGGTTCATTGGCGTCGGCTGAGATACCGGAGCGGGAGTGGGATCGGACCCTTACAAAATAGATCGATAGGTGCGGATAATGATATTGCATCCAGAAAAGACGGTTCATTTCATTTTTAGGAGTATTATTATAGGGAGCCGGTTGTAACGGAAGGTACCTGCCTTAGCTAATAATTAACCCACATGGACCAGTTCCACAGTCAGTCCCATGGTGCTGAAAGTTGGTACCAGCCAGTGAGCCTCATGGAAGGAGCACTCTCAGAAAGCACCCTGCCCTGCCTCCACCCACGAAGTACGGATACCAGTTTATTAAGGACTGGGGGTGCTCGACTCATGTCCCCTAATCATTTACCATTGATCTCAAGGATCTATCTCCACCATTGTCTTTGAAATCTGAGTTCTGACTACCGCGTGTCTATGTTTCGGAGGTTGCCATTCCATCCCAATTCCCCAAGGGGGGAAAGGACCTGTGTCTCATTCTTCTCGTTCGCAGGATAAATGCCGGAGTGCATTTTACAGCTAGCTACGTTGTATGTTGTCCGGGGATGCCGTCCTTATGTGAACATCACCACTGTTTCGTACCGAAATGTCCACACTTCGTATGTCCGCGGTACGCAGTCCGAACTCCGCACTCCGCACTCCACACTCCGCAGTACAGATACTTTGTACGGCTACGTCCGTCTATCTCTCCCGGGGTGTCGCGTGTAGAACACGGCAAGGACGACGCGTCAAGGCAGGCGCTCACTCCATGGCTGGCCTGCCCCATTGAGCACTGGTCGGGCGAGACAGGGACAGGGAAGGGCAGCGCAGTGCAGTGCAGGGCAGGACAGGACAGGACAGGACAGGACAGGCAAGACGGCTGGTGGAGAGACCAGCTGACTGGGTATTTCTAGCAACCATGGTCATGTTATTACCTTTGGAAAAATGCGATCTAGCATATGGCAGCTCTTGTCGAACTCGCTCACGAACTAGATATTACGGACGGATTGGATAGATGCCTTCGCTTCGCTTCGGGATATCGTAAGCCGGGGGGTGGACTGGAGACTGGGAGGAAACGCACACCAGCACGGTCAGCTTAATGGGATGCACGGCTTGCTTGACTATTGGGGCGGCACGGAAGTAATGCCTACATCGTACGAATAAATAGTGTACAACGGACCTAAAAGCCAAGGCTGCTTCCCGAGAAGGGTTAAGAGGGTGGCGGTTCGGGGGCATGTCTGTGCCACGGAAAATACCGTTCGCTCGGATGTACGATTGCAGTTACCCAGGGTTCCGATGGAAAGTTTCAGTACGAAATCGTAGTACCCTCCTGCATGGCTGACCTGTCACTGCTAGCACAGGTGCATGAAGGTGACGGCGATGCTTGCTTTCAAGGTACGGGGAAGTACTTTAAGGCTTCCGCAAATCATGTACCTTATCTAGCATAAGAGGAGCGTTGTTTTCCCCATTCGCACTAAGGTAGGTAGGTACCTTAATAAAGGTAACGCCGAACTCGTACACCACATGTAGCCGTACGAAATACTTCGTAAGGTACTCAGCCGTACAACGTGCTTTTTAACTCACGGAACGGTTACACCCAGCTTTTTTGCCCGAGTAACTACCTTAGTCTGTACCTTATAAGGTAAGGTAGCGTCGATTCAAAGTCAACGGCATGGGCACTTTGGAAATGGAACTCCTGCTGGATTATATATCCATAAGGGTTGAATGACTCTTCAACGAAGTTTGGGCTGCACTGTGTTTCGTACAGTCAAGGTCTCCGTTATCAGTCGCTCCTTTTTTCTCTTTTTTTTTTTTTTGCTTCTTCTTTCCCTTCTCTCTCTCTCCCCCTTCGCATCCCACGCCCAGCGACCCAGCTGACTCGGCAGGTATCTGATTGGATTGTGGCAACGAATCAGAGTCGAGGTGTGACCAAAGTTTGCCTGGAAAACTGCAGTGAAGGAGTGATGGAGGGTGCGTGTTCCCAAGGGATTGGGACAACAAGCACGGCTCTCATTGGTAGGATGCATCGTCTCCCTCCACTCTGTACTTTGGACAAATTCACTAATTACCTACCAAAGTAGGTAGGAAGTTGCGTATCCGTACAAAAGCTCGGAGTAACATTACGGATACTAGTACTGGTACGTCCTCGTTCCTTTCGTCCGTCTATTTCTGACGACGAGCTGTCGACTAGGAATTTCGTTAGTTCATGGTCTTCGTATGAACTTTGACCCTCATAGGTCGTCCTGTAGAAAGTATTTCCTTGACGTCGATTCACGGCGCTTAGTCGTACTGAGTAAATGTTGCCATTCCGACTTTCGGCTCTGGAAAGAAACGTTGTGTTGCTTGTGTTTCCCCTCATAAATGTCCCAGCACCATGGCTCGACCGTCTCTGATTCATAGGTAAGGTACCTACCTACGAATACATGCATACTGGGTACAAACTACTTCACGCGATAGAGCACAAACGGTCCGGTAACCCATGTTACAACGTACAACGTGTACATGTAGCAGAGAACTTCGTACATAAGGTAGGTAGTCATACTGCTGCACCAGTACCAGTACCAGTGCTGGGTGCGTCTGTCATTCTTGTAGAAAGTATTCGTACTTGCGCACCTTGTACATTGGGCCGCGTCGAATCCTTGGGATGCGGGGCGCTTCTCGACCCCGGCTCCCGGCTCGAAATGGCGAACCGTTCGCTTTCTCGCTTTCACCGTTCAACGATAGCTTGCGAGGATGGCCTGCCCGATAAAGGGACCGGTCACCCACAACCCGACCACGCGGCCAGGGGCGCATGGGGCTAATTAGTACATACCTTACGTATACTTCGGACGAAGTATTCATACGCTTTCTCGTCGAGTCGGCGCCAGGTTCCCGGTTACCTAGTAGTGTACTGTGTTGGTAAATGGGAAATACCCATCCCACACGCGCACACAGCAACAGGAGTACATACTTGGTAGAGGTCCGTTCCTCAACCCCCCTCTTGGTACCGACCAGTATATCCCCGTCTATTCGTGGTTGTGGCTGCGGTTGCGGTTGTGGTTGCGGTTGTCGTCGAGTACTTCGTACGGAGAATCGGCGTTAATACCTGATTTTTCCATCACCATTCAACATAACTCCGGGGGTTTCCTCCTCTCCTATCCCATTCCTCTGGGTTTTCCAACCTGCCGTCGTTGTTGTTTTTTTCCCTTCTTTTTTCTTCCCTTTTTTTTCTTCTTCTTTCGAATTCAGGATTCGAGGTCGAAGCGGACCCAGTAACCAAGAGAACGGCGGCATCGACTGCAAATCCCCGAGTCCCCTTCATTCGGCTGGCTCCATCCATCACACGATTCTGCTTCGTCTCTTGACCGGTTCAGTGCCATATAGCTGTCGGACTTTAAAAAAATCTCACTCATATTTACCAATCATTCACGCTCGCCCGACGAACCTGAACCGACCATCGGCTTCGCTGCACCTGCTGCAACCATAGATAGGATTTTTTTTCGTTGCTTCCCCTCGGATTTCGATGCGGCGGCTTCTTTCCTGGTAATCCAGCAGAGTCCGTCTAAGGACTGAATGGCTGGCCGGCTATTGGCAACAACAAACCACAACATGTCCTTAGATGTCGACTTTTATCGACCGGATCCTTTTCTCTCTCGCACCTACCCACCATCACAGGCGGTCTCGGACGTCCAAGACAATGCACACGTGCCGTTATTTCTCCGATTAGCACTACCACCAATTACTGTCGTGCTCGATGGCTCCATGTCTCAACACCAGAGTGGCACCAGCACCAGCACCAGCACCAGCACCAGCACCACGCCCGTGCCGTCACAACGCCGCGCCGCGCCGCCGCTGGACAAGTCGCCCGTGTCTCAGGGAAAGCCGGACCCCCCAACCGCCGCCCAAGCGCCCGTGAGGACATGGCCTGGCCGAGGGGGTCCTTTCGCGACGAAATATGCGTGTACGGCTTTACCGCCTCGCTACATGGACGGGCCGTGCTCGAGTTCCATTACGGCCCGGAACGACAAATATAACCCGGCAAGGTTTTCGCATGTGACTTGCACGGTGACGCCCGTGCTGGAGGTGGACGACGAGGCGGCTGACGGCAAGGCCGAAGCGGAGGCCGAAGCGGCGATGAAAGATCGCATTGCGCAGTGGAGGAGGCGGAGGCGGCAGCGGAACGTTGTCCTGCAATATAAACGGGCGATTGTTCGAAGGCGGGGGCAAGTGCCGGAGGACGTCGGTTCGGGAGGGATTCCAGGTCAGAAGAAAAGCGATCGGAAAGGCGATACGGCGTTGCCTGATGGTTCGCCGACACCGTCATCGGCGAAGTCGGGGGCTGCCCCGGTCATGACTGCCGACCCGAACCCGTACCACCACCACCACCACCGTCACCACCGTCACGACGTAGACGAGGGATTCTGCGAGGAAAGTGAGGATGCGCATCCGATGTTGCCCTCGCTGGAGGAAATATACCAGGCTACCGGGGCGTCGAGGTCTCGTTATCCTGCACTGCCCAGACATCGGGATCGGGTGCTTGGTCAGACACTCGCGACTCCGCCTCGTGTTTTCAAGAAGATAGGTCGACGACGGAGGAAAAGGCCGGGTCCAGACCATGGATGCGGTGCACCATTGGGTTAAATGAGAGCGGTGTTTGTATTCGGATATGGTACCTTTTTCTTTCTTTCTTTTTTTTTCTTTTTTTCTTTTTTCCCCCTCTTCCTTGTTGTTCCAATATCCACCATTCCCATTCCCCTTGGGTTTGTCAGGGGACGGGAAGTTTCCAGCGGCGTGCGAAGCAAAGCGACATTTCACAGCGACATTTCACGGCGACATTGATGGGCATTTCTATTCCCTGAACGACAGACTGGTGTTGTTGTCCTTACCATCCCATTGCAGAGTTCTTTACGGTCTTTGGTGGTCACGGAGTCTTGGATTCGATACACACGCAAAATCAATTTTTTTTTTCCGGCGAAATTGCAGTTCTTTTTCTTTCGATTTTTTCATTTTGTTCTTGATTTTGTTTTTATTTTCTCTCCCGGTTGGGCCGGTCATGTGATTCATCGAGAGCAGATGGCGAGCGAGAATGGTGATATCTCCCGCTTTAACTGGGCCGAGGTTAGTTAGACGACGGCTCCTGTGAAGAGGGTGTTATTTCTTCGACAATAGAAACAAATGAGTCGACTTGGAACCGTTCCACAGTTTTCTTCGTGATACAACATCAGCTTGGGATGTCTGCTCTGTAAGTCGGCTGATGGCCACATCGCTCAGTCTTGATCATGACTTGTGTCTCCAAGAACCGGCCGGATCCGAAGAGCAGCTATGGGAGCAAAAGGCTACTTCTTTCTTCGCTCTTGATGAAATCCCGTCGCAACTCACAAGATACAGCTTGCTCGTGAAGAGGGATTCGATCAGTCTTGAAGTAGAGTAATCTGGAGAAACGAAACTGCTGCAGGCACAGGCGCGGACGCGGGCGCGGGCGCATTGCTTCTTTCTCGTGCATGGTGGGCGGCGGGTGCAACGCTACAGTCCATGTCGTGTAGGGCAGGCCACCTAAAACGCAGGGGACCAAACGATGATCCCTGCATAGACCAGTGACAGACCAGTCTGACAGTCTGAAGTCTGACAGGTCAGCAATTTGGTCCCAGGCCTCTCTCTCACCTCAAACTCCTCCAAGTCTGCGCCGTTGATCTCCCGCATTGTAATCCTCCGGATTTCGAATTCATGAACCACAGTCAAGGCCTCCTCGATCTTTCTCATGTCGTCGTGGGTTGGTCAACTACAAGACAGGGGATCCCGACAGTCAGGACAAAGGAAGCGAGTGAGTCTTTGGTCACACCGCACACAAAAGCAGCTTTTCCCCCCTACATATGTAAGTTGTTTCTTTGTTGGGGAGCACCTTGATCTGTTTTGCATTAGCTATTTGGGGAATCGGCTTCTACCATGCATCCCTGTGCCTGCGTCTGTCAGATGGCACAGCCATTGACGCAGCGCTGAAAGAGGGAAAGAGCCGAAGGACCTTGTTGACCTTGTTGACCTTGTTATTATTTTTATTTTTAATTCCATTGTCAGATGATGGCCGTCTCACACCCTCGATCCTTTGACAGGGTGTTGCCACTCTCGACGGGATCTCGGGTTCAGGTCTGTTGGGCTGGAGAGTTTCCGACACGTACACAGATAATAATAATAATAATAATAATAATAATAATAGGGACAAAAGCAGACGGGTGCTGCCCCGGGCGACTGGCCAAGTGGAATGCATAACGGCTTCACCTCTGGGCCTCTGAGCCCCTGGGCAGCCAACTCGGCAGCGAACATTCCTCACACCACGTTGTCGTTTCCGCAGAGTCTTGATCCCCCGCCGTTGGTTCGAAGATTCTATTTACATTCCATGTTGCTAGCTGTGCTTCCATTTTTGTGTCCTGTCGCCCTGGCAGGTTGCCCTGGGAAATCCAGGGGTCATCGACATGAAATTCCGTCAACAAGATATCTGTTATTAACCGTCCTCCCTCGTCCCTCTCCAAATGCGGTTGCCGGGACAAACCCATTCATTCTTTCTGCTGTTCTTCTCCCAAAGAAGTCCTTCTCTTCTTTTTCCGTACAAGAAGTCTTCAATCCCATTCTTCAGTGCTTAAATCCGTCGCTGAAAACGTCCTTGGTCTGCTTCATCTTCATCATCACCATCACATCTTACCTCTCCATTCCACTTCTTCCACCGCTTCTAGCTTCCCTCGCGTTTTCTGTTTATCTACTCGGATCTCCGGTCCCGTCTTCGTCGGTTTGCGTCAAGGCATGACGGCGGCTGTCTCACACCCGGGACAGCCTCCCTCTGGAGATAGCCCCCCCGATTCTCGCCTTAACGACCTCGACTTGGACGACATGGCACTGACTGCGATGCATATGCAACGCGGCGCTGATTCACCAGACGTGAGGAAGGAGGGAGTCGCCCTCATGGGGGACACCGCAGCTTGGGGGGGTAGTGGAATCGCAGGATCGGCACCAGCGAGCACCATACCCGGTACCTCGGGAGAACTGGACATGTCCCTGGACGAATTCCTAGACTTCAATAGCTTTCCCTATCATCACGGGGGTGACGAGCTGGGGGGTGTGCCGGATTCTCTCTTCTTCGACATGGGCTCTGCCGATGGGTACACCTCGACGACGACGACGGTGGACCTCCAGCGCAAGGGGCACCAGTTCCAGGACAACTACCATGATTACGACAGCCACCGAGAGTTGCGGCACCTCATCATGGCTCGTACAGATCAGACAGATCATACAGACCATACAGACCATACAGATACGGCGGCGGCGGCTAGTGAGGGTAGTAATCGCGGTGGTGGCGTGATGAGCTGCTGGGGTCGTCCCGCCAATCCCGGTAGCCACAATGACAAGACAGCCGTTGGTGCTGCTGGTGCTGGTGCTGATGCCCGCCGCCCCCCTTCCAGGCCCTGCTATCCCCGTAATGGCCTAGCCAGAAGAGCCCGGTCCCAATTCCAGGCCGAAGATCGACCCTTCGCCTCGGCCGTGGCTAGCGAGGAGGAGAGGGAGGGGGAGAGGGTAGGGAAAGGGGAACAAAGAAACCGCCACAACACCTCGACCTATCCTGGACCCGCTCTGAGCATTGGGGGGTCTGGAGGGTCTGGAGGGTCTGGAGGGTCCGGAGAGTCTGACTCGATTTCCGACTCTGAGCTTTTGCGCCTGGAGGGCATCTCGTTGAAAACGTCACCCTCGCGCGTTCCGCCCCTGGGGCATGTCTCACATTCGCATCCTCCCAGACCCCGCCTCCACCCGGGTTTCCTCTCAGGCCCAGCACCCCCATGCCCAAGCTCAGGCTTGGACTTGAACTTGGACTTGGACTTAGCTCTAGGTCCAGGTCCAGGTCCGGCTCTGGGTACTTCAGATCTTGCCAAAGGCCAAGGTCAAGAAGAGCAAGAGGGCGTCCGAGTCCAGTCCCCGTCCCCGTCCCCGTCCCGACGTCAACCTCGTCAACCCCCAGGCCAAACTACGGTCAAACAGAACCCACCGAGCTCCAGTCGCAACTTTTTCAAGACCGTTGCGTCTAAGATCCAAAAGGCTGCCGCTCTCCGGTCCAAGCCTTCAACGTCGTCCTCCTCCACCTCTTCCTCTTCCTCTTCCTTATCCTCATCGTCATCTTCATCTATCCCCTCCCACACCCACCTCATCAAGCAGTGCAGCGGACCTGCCCCCGTTCACACCACCGCCATCAACAAGAACAAGAACAACAACAAGAAGAAGAAGAACACCATGACTTCTGTTGCCGCCCATCCACCCATCTCCCCGGCTGTGTCTCCTCGACAGGGCTTTCAGCCCTTCCCCAAGCAGGACGAGCAACAGATGCAGCAAGTTGGCATGGGCGACTCTCGCCTTCCCATCTCACCTCCTAACAGCGCTACCATCCCCCAGGGTGTCTCCTCTCACACAAACCCCTTCTGTACCGGCTTTGTAGAAGACCCGTTCGGCTTTGGGCCGACTACTACTGCTGCTGCTACTACTACTACTACTACTACTACTACTAATACGGCCACTCCCATGGATACTCCCCTCCTAGGCGGCGACAGAACCGCTCAGTGTTTCCAACAACCGACCGGTCCACATCCTCATGGCGTCGCTCAGACAAGTAAAGCCGCCTGGCCCTTACCCACGGCGTCGTCGTCGCCCCCAGGCGACAGGCAGGCCACCGAATGGTCCAATTCGTTTATTCCACCGGACGGCTTTGACGGAACTCAGTGGTGGACAGGATCTCTTGTCGACCTTAGTGCGGGCGCGCAATCTCACCCTCACTTCCAAACCCCCAACACACGTGCTGCCAGCTTCGGTCTAGCCCTTCCCCCGCATCAGCAGCAACATCAACAGCAAGCACATCATCAGGGGCACCAGCAGCACCAGCACCAGCACCAGCACCAGCAGCACTCGATGGGAGGCCAGGAGATGGAGATGGAGATGGCTTACGAGTACCACGACACCCCGCACATGCCCACCACCCCTGCCGGCAACCACATGCCTGGCCTCATGGTTCAGATCCCCCCCCAGAGTGCCAGTAGCCGCGGCTCCTTATCCCCTACCACGCAAGTCGGCGCCTCTTCCTACACACACATGCCTGCCCAGCAGCATCACCAGCAGCATCACCAGCAGCATCACCAGCAGCAGCAGCCGCAACAGCACCACTACCATCATCCCGGCGCCCCAACAGAACGTCGTCCACGGATGCCTCGCGCCCCGTCGGCCGGTGCCCGCCACATCTCCACGCCCCTACGACGCACCCGAGCCCCCTCCGCCAACCGCGCCCGCGACTCCTCCTCCGCCAGCCCAACCCCGACCGCCCGGTCCCGCCGCTCGTCCGGCTCCTCCATCAGTGTCGCTGCCGCCGCTGCCGCTACCGCCGCCGCCGCCGGTCCCGTCCTGTCGGCGAGCGTCAAGAAGCGGCGCTCATGGCAAGGTCGCGGCGCCTCGGGTCACCACGCCCGCACGCCCAGTGGGGGGAGCACGAGCGGGCCGGGTCCCGGTATAGGGCTGGGCATCGGGATGGATGAGTCGGGCGGCGATGTAGGGTTCGTCAACTATACGCCCAACGACAAGACCATTCTCATGACTGGCGTGGCGCCGTCGGGGAGCAGTAAGACGAAGGCCCGGAGGGAGAGGGAGGCTATGGAGAAGAGGAGGCGGTTGAGCGAGGCTGCTCTCAAGGCGGTTAGGGATGCGGGTGGCGATGTTGAGAAGCTTGTTCAGGAGGGGTTTGTCTTTTGACTCCCTCCCCCCCAGAACAGAGCTTCATCCTCCTCCTGCTGAAGATCTACGTGGGCTTTATGTTCCATGTTCCAAGTTTCTAACATTCTATTGTACTACCATGTTGTTTCTTGGTCTCTTGTTCCTTTTATCCTGCCACTTGAAGGCTCGGACGAGTCGAATCTCCTTACAGAATCCAGCGCGAGCTACTCTTGTAATTTACTACGCCATGCTTTTGCTCTCTTCCTCCAACCCCCTTTTTTTTTCTCTTTTCTCTTTTTTCTTTTCCCCCTTTTCCATCCTTCTTGACGGTCCTCGCGACCCTTGCAGCCAACAGCTTCTCATATGAAACTGGCTGTTTTATACAGGTATAAGGCACAAGGGGTGTTGCTTTTACTATGAGCTTCTACTTTCGAGTCTCAGGGCATTTGAGATAGTTTAGACGTAGAGAATTCACAAGAGCCCCTTAATCATCAATGGTCTCTTTTCTTCATCCTCTCTCTTCTGTGTCTCTGTCTTCTGATTCCTTCTTCCGGGATGGCTACAGACAGCATTGGCCTCTATGATGCCCGGCCGGCTAGGCACTCCCAATAGAGGTCTAGGTAGACGTACGTGTAAATCTAGCCAAGGTAATAGGGGGGGGGTTTCTGGGTCTGCAACAATGAGCCTCATACCTCAGACAGTCGATAAGACTGGAACGCAGTCCCTAGATCTCCCTGACAACGCGTCACGTTTCGTGTCTCGCCTCTTTCTTTCCGCAAACAGCGTTGAAAGGGGGCGTCACGTCACGGGTCGTCCCTGAGGCCCCCGGGGCGCCGTCATTCAACCCGGCCCGTTTCCGGTCCACCTGCGGCCCTACTTTTCAACAACACTCTCGAGACAACAGCTCAGGCTCGATTTTTGCCGGTCTCTTTGGTCCGGCCTGATACTTTAGTTGGAACCCTTTCCCTTTCTCCCCGACATGGCAGGTTTCTGCAAGCAGGCGGACAACCCCACGTCTCCCCCTTTGGGAATGTAGGCATGTCCGTGTGTCTTTGACTCTTATGCATGTCTTAGAAACGGGTAGAGAAAATAAAATGCCCGATAAGAATAAGGCGGGCCATGCCATCTTGATGCCATGCTAAGTGGCACCCTCGTTGGCTTCCCGGCCTCTGGTGCATGAGAATCTCGAGGGCACCGGATCTGAACCTGTCAACGAGTCCCCGTCGCTCTAATTCCGATCTGAACGAGTCGGCACATCAAGGCCGAGAAATAAAAAGAGACTATTGTCGAGACGGGAAGACAGATCCAAGACAAGTGGACAAGATATCCGACGCATTTCCGCAAACAGACATATGTCCACTGTTCCCCTTTAAAAAAGGCCAAACTCGGAACACAGAGTCCCTAATGCGGTAGCTTTTGTGATGATCACTCCCGAAGACCAGGGACAACAGGGCCCACCGAAAGCGTGGAAGGTCAAGAGGGTATGAGGAGGAGGACGACTTAAGACAGGGCCGCAAACAGACTGAAGGTACTCCATAGAAAAGACCTCTGAATCGAGCGAGACGCAAAATGTCTCACATCCTCTTCTATCGCCAGAGTAGCCAGGGGCAGCCAGTCACAGACGCCAAAATACCACTTTCGCCTCTTCCAAATCAGAGTATTGCTCTTCCTCCACCTTACACCCCAGAAGACTCCTCGGCGGGAAAAGGGGGACCCAGACCCTTCAATCATTTGTCCGACCCAAACGCCGGGCTGACAAGTCTGGACAGCGCTTTCCGAACCACCCAGATCTCGTCGGGATGGCACCGGTGGCAGCTGCGGTGATCGTCGCCTCTCTCGGCCAAGCTCGAGGGAGGGTGGTCTACCCTTTCACGGAGCCGAAACAAGACGAGGACGACATCGATACGGGAGACCTCCCACATCAGCTCGGACGGAAATGGTATCGCCTGAACGCCTCGACGCCTCAACGCCTCCACCCAGCGGAGTCGCCGGCCGGGTCGTTACGCTGTAGTTGGGTGGACGGTTGTGGATCGCCCGTCGTCTACATCCGATCATCTTCGCCTCAGCCCGTCGCAGTCATCAGCAAAGCCCACCTCCTTCTCCCTCTTTTTTTGCCTCCCCTTCTTATCTTTCTCAAGCCTGTCCTGGTTTTGGAGCTGAATTGGCCAACCACATGCTTCTGCGCCCCCCCTCCTAAGAGGCCCCTCCTTTACTCGGCATGCAAGTACCGACGTCGTCCTGACCAGGGGTACAGGCAGTTTCTCCCAAGGGGGCTTTTGAATGGAGTTGAGGACGGCACTTGCTTCCCAGGCCAGCAAAGAGCGATGCAGACCCTGACTGGTGACCAACTTTTGGGGCGAATGACGTGGAAACAGACTCCTCCTTACCGTCATGGTTGGAGCAGGAAAGAGAGATATAGGTCGTAACGTACAGGTCGTAACGTACACGTGCGCTGGGGAAGATTATCGTCTGATAGATGCCGACGGATTACCTTTCCGGATCTTCACACTCACACCCCTTTACCCCTTGATATGCATCTCTCGATCGAGAGGGGGTAAATCTGCAACACGACCGCAACCCACCTAGGACAGTATTACGGCCAAGTCGTGTGTCTCGCGCTGATGGTAATAGCCTTGCGGTGCTCCTAGTTGGCTGTCCCTGTCTCGAGTCCCTAGAGATCGATGAGTTGAGTGGGGTATTGTTGTTCTTGGGCCCCATGGCCGGTTGACGACCCGTTAGCTTCCAAGTAAGACGGGAGGGCCCAAAGGGCAACCGTAGTAGTGAGGAGGGCGAGAACTGCCTCAGAGGGCATTACGCGGCGGAGGTCGCCTGGATATCCACCAGTGACGGGTTGTCCGAGTCTCTTCACACATCCTTCGCTTAACACTGTGAAGGAGTCGTGAAAAGCCCACCAACCAGGACACCCCCCTCAACGGCCGGCCTGTGAGCCCATTATCTGACCGTCCATCCAACTCAGTATCAGTGCCAGCTAAGCGTCCTGGCCGACGAGAGGGAACGGGAGCCGGTAGCGGGGAGATCCCGTAGGCCCAGATAGCGCGGCGAGCGTTGCCAAGGTCGTTCAAAGGTCGTTGAAGCCAGCTGTCATAGCCTGCCACAACTTCATTATCAACTTTTTTGTTTTTTATTTTGTTTTTATGGGGTCATCGTCCCACGCCACCGCCACCAGCTGCGGGTCCGGCTGGTAGGGTCGGCGACCCGAGTTCGATTTGCTCGGTCAGCAGCCGCGAGGGATCCACGAACTGGTGGGGGGCTCGAGTTGCGCGGGTGACACATCATCTTGTTCTCCTCCCTTCTTCTCCTCTGGCTTTGGTATCCCCGAGGTGCCCACAGAGCACAGACTTCACACCCCAGACACCCAATACGATGCAAGGGTAGCTTTCCCCGAACTGGTCCCCCTCGTTTCTCCACCCCCCTTCACGAGAAGCCTGAGGTCCCCACGTCTATGGCTCGAAGTGATCGGATCTGACCGAGATCGGCGTCGGCGTAAGAAATCGTCGGGTGTGGACTGGCCTCTCGTACTCTCGTGATTTCATTCTCTTGGAGGGAGCGGCTGGCTACTCGGCATCCAAACCTGTAATGAGTTGCACATCGTCAGCCACAGTTGTTCGCTCTGGAGGCAGGTCGCCTAACCCCCTACCTCCTCCCACTTCACCTCCCGTCCTCTAGGACCACCGACATCCGGATTCGTACTAGACTTCTGGGCATGGTCTCACCACACCCCCTTCCGTATGAGTTAGCCAGAGCGTGTACGTAGTAAAAACCGAGGTCGACATCCGCATTACGGGGCAAAGAATTCCACCATGTCGTCTTTATGACGTGACGTAACAAGAAGAGTCCATTAGCTAAAGAGGCTTTCAACAACGACCACACCCCAACCGCATTTGCATATCCAAAGCCCTTGACCAGGTGGACTGATGGCTTAGGCTTCCCCGTATAGTGACAGCTCTTTGTCGGCTAATGTTTCTGCTCCTTCCCAGGGACCAATCGTATGTACAGAGCAAACTCGTAAAGGCATAGCCGTGCCTCGCACTACCAGCGTGGCAATTCAACAAGAAACTCCAGGTTCTCAAGACGCCGTATTCATGCGTGCGCGGGGGGCAAGCGGAACAAGAGAAATTTTGAGTATAAAAAGGAAAAAGGGGGGCAAAAAGAGAGAGAGAAAAAAAAAAGGGACAGTGGAATGCAAGTTATGCCTGCGCCTTCCAGGGAAGGACTTAATGTTCGTATCCGGCACCACGCTGCCAGGGGCTTGGGCTTTTACAATGAATCGAGTCAGTTTTGATGGATAAAACCAAGGAAAATGACCTCGAACTGAACAACTCACCTCGCATTGTTTTGTGATCGATGTCCGGCCGGGCTAGCGTTGTTCTGAGCCCGCATGTTGGCAGCTTGATTGGCACCAAACGGGCTGGGCGACCGCAAACTGGGACTATAGGGTCTCCGAGGGCCGTCGGCCGGGAAGAGCGGCACTGACGGATCCGCGGGCGAGCGACCTGGGCCCCCGCGGTGCATCGACGTCTGTGAATGCGCGGCAGCAGGATGGCCATACATCGGGGCCTGGAGATTGGGGTCTGTCCGGCGGCGCATCGACTCGGACGAGATGGACTCATTGTCGTCGTCCAGGTCCAGGGTCGACCTGTAGCCGGCCTTATCACCGCGCGCGGTCGCGGCCAGAGCGTCCAGCTCGGTGGTGGTGTTGAGGTGCGTCTGCGACTTCATAAACGAGACGCGGTCGTCGGCCATGAACTGGTAGCGAGCATCCGGATTCTTGCGCCAGAAGACGATGGAGCTCGAGACGATGACCATGATGAGAAGGATCAGGGAGAAGGCCGCGTTCACGACGAAGAAGCCGACGCCGACGGCGGCGGCCACAACGCCCGGGGCGCCGAACACGTTGGTCATGATGAAGAGGAAGATGGAGTTGACGAGGTTCACGGCGCAAATGGCAATGTTGAACGAATTGGTGCTCTTATCCATCCAGGGCCGGAGCACGCTGGCGCCGATGAGGGCGGCGGCCTCGATGATGATGAAGGCCACGGCCTGGACAACGCCGACGTGCTGGCCAAAGGCGACGAACATGGACTTGACCAGCGTGTAGCAGAGCACCGGGACGATGAAGTAGTAGGCCGAGGCGCGGAACTGGACGTACAGGAACCCCCACTTGTTGAGGGTCTGCGGGTCGGAGAAGAGGATGTAGGCCGGGTTCCGGTGCATGGACACAGAGCGGCGAGCGATGCGGATGACTTTGAAGGAAGCCCAGCCGAGGCTGATCAGCATGCCGAAGAAGAAGAAGACGGCGAGGACGACCTGGGCGGGCGAGTCGACCTGGGTGAACTCCCAAAGACACAGAATACACATCTGAGGGAAACCGACGAGCGTGACGCGGAAGAGGATGCCCTTCAGGACGGTGAGCCAGCCGTTGCGGAACTCGAGGAAGCGATCGCTCTTCATCCATTTCTGCCTGACGGACAGCTCGCAAATGCCCTTGAAGGCGGCCACGAGGAGGACGGTGACGACGACGAAGATGCAGTAAAAGGTCAGGCCGGTCATGAAGAGGTTCGTGGACTCGATCCTGGCACGGAAGGCGACCCGCTGAATGCCGTAGACGATGTAAGAGCCGGAGCTCAGCTGGATGTTGGCACGCTTGGCGATGAGGCCGAGACCGCGTCTCGCAGTCCCTGCGGCGCCTTCGGCCAAGTCGAGGGATCGCTTCTGCACCTGAACGGAAGCGGTGCGGAGGGTGTCGAAGAGGGTGGCAGGCTCGCCGCCGGTGGCGCGCTGGTACCAGGTGAAGACGTCCTGCATCCAGCCTACCCGGATAATGCCCATGGACCACATGAAGTTCTGGGTCCAGGCGCGGACGATGGGAGGCATGCGGATGCCGGTAAGACCGATGATGGCCTGGGCCTGGAAGAAACCAAAGAGCGACAGGGTGTTGGCGGCCAGATGGGCGGCGGCATTGGTGTGACCGAGGCCGGAGACAATGGCGGCAGACATCAGGCCGAGAACGGCGATAATTGCGGTGGCCCACTTGACGCCGAGCAGGTCAACCGTCTTGCCATTGGAGAAGTCAGCTTCGACACAGGCGACGCTTTGGCCGGTGTCGCTCATATTGAGGTAGGCGCGGACGGTGGCGTCGAGGTCCGGGATGGTGTAGGCGATTCCGGGAACCTCGGCGGCGGCGTCGCCAATGTTGACGTTAAATTCAATATCCAGCTTTCCGGCATTCATGGGGCAGAGACCGTGGAGATCGATATCGCAGGGGTTGATGACGGTGCGGAGGAATTCGTAGCCGTACACCTGAAGGGCAACGTCGAAGACGATGTCTCCTTGGACGGAAGAGATGGCGACGACCTTGATGGTTGCAGAGTTGTTGTTTGGTGTGAAGACGACGTTGAACAGACTAGCCGAGAAACTCGAACCCTCCTGACACTCGTTGAGGGACATGGACTCGAGCCTCCGCTCCGCCATAACAGGCGAAAGAACGGAGGCGAAGAGAAGAAGGGGTTGAAAGATTGACCACCTCATCATGCCTGTGTGTTGATGGTAATCTTCGGGCGGTTTACGGAGTGGTTCGCAGTGGACTTGTTGAGTATGTCAATCCACCCACGCAAGGAGGACGACGTCCGAGGCAAATTATCGAGGAGCAGTCTCTTTCAAAGAAGACGGTTGGAGGATATTAAACTGACGGCGCTACGAGGTGACGGCGGACAGGATCGAAGAACCGAAGGGACGCGGTCGTCGGGCTGATGGTCGGACGCGGTAAGAGCGGTCTAGGCCAGGTGAAGAGAAAATAAAGCCAAGGTGGTGGAAGGTAGGAGGTTCGAATCGTCGAGAACAGTAGAAGGGCGGAATGGTATAATCTCGATGCCAGCAATTCGAATCCTATCCAATAAGCCCCAGTCCGAATGAAAATTCTCTCCGGTTTCGTCGTCGGAATATTGGTTGGATTAACAAATATCCTAGAGGCGAAACGTAAAAGAGGCCGAAGGAGAAAGCGGGTGAAATCCCGATAAAGAACAGAGAAGAATGAAGACGAAAGGGTGCAGAAAAGAAACGCGAGTTCGGTACGAGACACGCCCTCGTTTGAGTTGTTTTTCCTCTCGCCTTTCTCTATTCCTACTGCCTTTTCGTCATAAAAAGAAACGAATGGTATGTCGGGAATGTGGTTGACTCGAGTTTGACGAGAAAATCACCCGTTGGAATGAGGAGGAGGGGTTTTGAGGCGGTGGGTGTCGGCGATGGTGATGATGGTGGAAGTGGACAGGAATCTCAAGAAAGGGAAGGGGGAAGGGGAGATTACGATACGGGGAAGGAGGCGCAGCATCTCCAGCGTAACACGCCGAGCACATTGTCAGGGGTGACATGGGTCCTTGGCAGGAAATCTAACGCACCTTCCCGGCTCACTGTTCTACGAGGAGGTACTTGGTACAGTGGTTCTCGTTCCGAAATGCGCATTAAAGGGCGTATATTCGACTTCGGTAGTTAGAACCTGGCTGACGCGGCTGTCATCGAGTCGAGAACCTCGCCAAGAAATGGGATAGGGAATACATTTTAATCAACAGTTTGATAGCAGGAATAAAGGTAGCTCCTAACAGTTCTTTTCTACACTCACACGTACCTTAGGGTAATTACTCCATATCCGCTGGCTGGGTTCCGGCCGATGAGACTCGCTCGCAAAACAGTCAGGATCGACCCGTCATCTCTGCTCTGAGTCTCCTCTGCTCTGTCAGATGTTTTCCCTTCCTATATCCGTACAAACAAAGTATTGCTCTATTACCTTAGTCTCTGCATTCTACCGGCGATGTATATACGGATACGGAGTGAAGTAAAAACACCAAATCTTCTGAACAGACGACCAACTGGTTTGCCTCGTAATTCTTCCATGCCGAGTGTTTCGTGGCGTTATACGTTACGCCGGCAGCCCACTTTGGACGCACCTGCTGATGTCATCATCGCCGTACACTCTTCTCCGTTTTCATGGAGTATCTTCGCGACTGTCAGGGTCGCCCTCATTCCAGTCCCTCCCTGGACTCCTTGTCAGACGTCATTAAGGACCATTCACTAGCTGGGCGATATTGTGTCTTGTGCTTGGTCCTTTCGATCTCCGTGGACCGGACAACGTATCCGTGGATTGATCGTGTTCCGTACACGTACTTGGATTTTCCTTGGATTTTACAGCCCAAGGACATGACATGGTGGCAGCGAAGCCACACCCCAAACGCGACGCCATGTCATCCCATCCAGGTAGCTCCAATGCTAGGGCTCTACTGTTTGCTTCATTCATAGCGTTCGGTTCCTTCGTGCTTATATATGCTTACCTTGCCCACCTTGTCTTGGCTCATGCTCACCGCGGGTCAAGTTGGTCAACCGTTCGAATGAGGAGCCAATACCACTTCACATCCCAATGCAATGCTAAGAAGGTATGAAGCCGTAGTCACGAGATTGGTGTCAGCAATACGCAGGATTCTTATTCGTATACATCTGTCTGTAATTATCCCCCATAATGTCTTCCCCGGTCCGTAAGCATGTACGGGTACGGCGGTAGACACCGCGATGCCGCCCGAGAACCGGAACCGAGAGCTTAGGTAGTCATGACAGTCATGACGGAGCCGAAGCAAACGACAAGAGTGAGTGCTCGCCTGGTCGGGTAGTGGATTTCTTCACTCCCTTTGCTGACCGTGCTCCTCTCCTGACTCGATGGAGTGCTCATTGGTGGTGGACTTCCACCCCCGAGTAGAGCGACGACCTCGCGTGCCCGGGAAGAGCAGTCTCATTTCGGGCGTACGAAGTATGTAATAACAGATAGTGGGGTGGTGGCCTCCTAGACTGCCTGGCAAGAGGACGGGTGGGAGAGCAGGTGCGGAAGATTGATACCAAGGACCTCTCACTCACGCTTCTAGAATACAAGCTACAGATTCTTCGCCAGCAGCATAGAATCTCCCTGCCTGCTCCCTGCCTTACTCGTTTTTTTGGTAACCACGAATTACGCTCCGTCTTTGTCTGGCATTCTCCCTGCACACACTGCCTAACAGGACAAGGTCGTAACTTCTGGTTTCTAATTAAAACAACTTTATACTCGTTTATGCGTGACATGGGATAACAGTGGTGGGTTTCACATGTCTCCTAGTCCTTGATAATACGTATCAGAGATCAGAACCACAAAGTGTAAATTGCCAGAGTGATCAACAGGATACCTTACACCTTGACACTTGACACGTTGCCTGACTTGGGTATAAGCCATGGAACACGGTGTATTTAAGGTACTCTGTACGACGTACTGCCTGTGACTGTGACTGTGACGAGTGCCCGGTTGGAGAAACTTATTATTAACAGTCAGCAACAGCTGTGCAGCTAGCTGTCCACGCGATTTGATTCATCCGACATTAACATTATTATTAGCATTGTTAGCTCCCTCTAATTTTGCCGACGCGTTCCCCAACGGAGCATCACCGCCGACCCCCTGACACGCCGAAGGACTTGCCCCCCTTGGATCCCAACGAATCAGGAGCCGAACCCGACCGTTAGGATACCCCTATCGTTATTAAGGCACCTTACTCATCCGTAACATCGTATATTGTACCCGACCCGTTCAACGCCTTCCTTGCCTTACGCTGTACTTAATTACAACTTCGAGGTACCTCAAGGGGTGGATTTGGGTGAAACGAAACAAAAACACACGCTGTCTTTGACTCGAGCCTCCTTTCTGTAGTCATATCACTCCCATCATTTTGATCCATCTTCTTTCAGCCCTTCTCTTCAATTGTTGCTTTTCCTTGAACCCATTATACCACTGTGCATTCCTCGCTCCCCGCGCAATCGAGTCCCGAGTTCCGTTTGACCGCCTTTGTTGTGCCACTATAGAACCAGCACCTCCTGGCCACCCAAAACCAACAAATCCTCCTCTCACTCACCAGGGCCCTCTCTCGACAAGCCGACCCGAACCATCGCATCAAAAGATTTTTATTTTTATTCAAAACCCGAAACGTGCGAAGGTAACATGTCCGCTGCCACAAAAAAGCCGCCTGCTGCCACCGGCGGCCGAACATCCCTCGAACCTGGCTCCTCACCCAGCCCGACGCCATCCCGGCCTCTACACCGTCATTCCGCCTCCGTCTCCAGTCCGGGTGCCCTTGCTCGCTCGAGGTCCCTTCGCACCGGCACACCAGTCTCCGCCCGTGCCGCCGCCGCCGCCACCGCCGGCCGCAGAGAGTCCATGCTGGGGAGTAACAGCACCTCCTCCTCCCTCCCTTCGCCCGACTTCGACGAAGACACCCGCGCCGCCCTCGTCGCCCAGCTCGACGACGTCAAGGACCGCCTATCCAAGGCCGAGCTTGCCTCGGAACAATACCGCCGGCAGGCCGAGGTGCTGCAGTCCCGCTTCGACGATGCCAGGGAGGAGTCGGCCAAGCTGGAAGAGAAGGTCCACGAACACGAGGAGCTGATCGAGACGCTGCGCAACGAGAAGAGAGAGATTTCCCGCCAGGTGCGCGAGATGGAGGCCATCTACGAGGCCGAGCGCAGCGCCATGACCCGCGAGAAGGAGGATATGGCCAACCGTGAGGAGGAGATGCAGATGGTTATCCAACGACTCAAGGATAGTCTCGCCCAGAAGGCCAACAGTGACGAAGAGGGCAGGCCCTCCAGGCAGAGTGCGTGTTTGTTCCCTTCTCTAAAACTCCATCCTCTTTCTTTATTGGTTTATTCTCTTTTTTTGTTCTTCATTCGTTTCCCTCTTGATTCATTTTCAACCTTGCCATATAAAGTACTAACATTTCGGCCCCACGATTTAGCACAATCGCCCTCCGTCGATGGAGGTTTCGCCCCGCCCTCCTCCCTCCACCGCAGCGATTCCCGCAGCAGCTCTAAACTCGTCCTGCAAAAAGACAAGCTCATCGAATCCCTTCGACTGGAGCTGGCCGAGGCTCAGATTAAGCTCGTCGAGGCGCAGAATTCGGGCGGCGGCCGTGTCCACGAGGTCGAGAAGCAGCTGATGGAGGCTCGCATGGCCAATGCCCGCCTCATGGAGGACAACGAGAGCTACCAGCTTCTCCTGCAAGAGAAGACCCTCAACGGCGATTTCTCCAAGAACGATTTCAGCTACATGGGGAGCGCCGCCGCGAACCAGGATGCCCTGAACGCCCTCGAAGGCCGCCAGGGCGGCACCAGCCTCGCCGACGAGCTGTCCGACTCGGAAGCGGCCGACAACACCAACAACGAGGAGTACCGCCGCCTCGAGACCGAGCTCAAAACCGCCAAGGACCAGAACAAGGCCCTGACCCTCTACATCAACAAGATCATCGAGCGCCTGCTCCAGCATCAGGACTTTGAGCACATCCTGGACCAGACCGCCGACGTGAAGCCCGCCGCGCCGGCGAACACGAATAAGGACCTCCCGCCTCCGCCGTCGGAAAAGCCCTCGGCCGCCGGCCCTTCCGTCCTGCAACGTGTCAAGTCCATTGCTATCGGCACCGGAAAGCCACGCCCGAGACCCATGTCCATCAATCCCACCGCCGCCGCCCCATCCTCTTCCGCCCACGAGGATCCCGACACAGCCCCACGCATCCCCATCGGCAACCTGACCCGCAACACCAGCACCCGCCGCGCCAGCCGGCCGATGAGCGAACAGTTCGGCCCCGTAGCCGCCAGCCTCGTGAACCAGATGTACCGAGGCCCGCTCGAGAGCCCCACGTCCCCAACCCTCGGGACCCCACGCCACTCGCAGACCTTCTTCATGGGCGCCAGCGCCAGCGCCAACCCCCGCCAATCGATCGGCAGCACGGTGGGAACCCCGCACCACCACCAGTCCACCGGGAACTACCCCGGCATGCGGAGCGAAACGAGCAGCACCAGCGGCGACTCGGCCTCCGTCGTCGGCGCGGGGGATGCATCCACCCCCCCTCCCCAGGTCAGCCCGCCGCGGAGCCACCACGATAAGCAGACGACGTTGGCCGGTAACAAGCCGCGTCCGCTGCGCCTGGTGCAGGAGGCCGAGACGAAGACCGAGCCGGCGAACAAGCGGTCCAGCTGGATGGGCTGGGCCAGCGGATGGGCCGCACAAAAGAAGGAACCCGAAGCTGGGACCTCGGGTGTGGGTCAAGCTTTGCCGGAGTAGCTGTTGAGAAGTGGTGATGGCACTCATATTCTCCCTCCGCCTTTGGCTTGTTCTTTTTCTCATATATACCCCCCCATTGCATCGAAGCCTTGTGTTTTCTTTACCCGTTTGTTCTCACGCATTTTTGGGAGGCATTGGGGGAGCAGGGAGTACGTGAAATCAAGCTGGCGCAATCGGGAGGGGAGGGGACGGGAAAGAAACTTGTCATATGCGCCCGGTCGCGCGGTTTGGTGGGCTTGGATGGACTATTCTTCCAAATCACGGCTCGTCTTTTCCTCTTCCATGGCCCCCCCGCCCCCCTTTTTTTGTATTTCTATTTTTCTTTCTTTCTTTTTCTCCTTCGGAAGTGGATGAGCAAGAGATAATGCCGGGAAATTGTTGCAACCCTCTGTATCAAAGCCTGTCTTCAAAGTCTTCCGTTGTCTTCTCTCCTATTATGTAGACTCACGAGCATTCGGGGCTTCTTTATTTTTTGTTCTGGGCTTTTCTTTTTGGTCGATACGCAGTTGGATGATTAATGGTGTCACGCTGTTCTGAGGTGCGTCTTCCCGGCCGCCTCTAATATGATCAAGAGTACCATAGAATGCACATGAGGCACGTCCTGAGCTTTGCGTCTTCTCTTCGGGTCTGAGTATTGCACTTCGTAGTTGTCTAGCTAAGGCTATATATATAGCCTTGTTCCTGTGGCCGTATTCCCCTGTCCAGTTGACCACTCATCACAGGATGTCAGCAACAGGAGATATTGGAGGATAAATAAATATAATACCCCATTGCGGAGAAATAAAGTATATACAGCATCATTTCCCCCGAGTTGATTCCATATCTCTGATTTCAATATTCGTTGGCAAGCCTTCACGGCCCGCCCCCCTCTCTCCTCCTCCAAGGGTTTCCTTTTGTTTCTTGACCACCAAGGCCATCTTCTCTGCGTTGTCGTGTCATTAGAGGTCGTTACAATTACACTGTAGTTGCCACTTTTGTCCATCTAGCAAAGAGCAAAAAAGAGATGAAGTGAGAAAAGCAAAGGGGAAAACGAAAAAAAAAAAAAAAACAAAGGTCGACGGGCCAGAAGGCGACAAGGCAAACCAGTAGCCATGCCACGAATGAAAACAATGCCACGCTGCCGATTGCTCCCGAGCTTCGCCACTTGAAACATCTGATACGTTGTGTGGTTCCGAATATTGCCCCTCCTCTTCTCTTCGGGGATTTGAAGCTCGTGGAGCGCCTCATCGTCTGCCCATCCCATACGTGCGCCAAATGCGCCCAATGTTGAAAAGTTTTGCCGCAAAACGCCTCGATTGCTCGGGTATGCCGTGTCATACAACGCTCAGTATGCAAGCAATACATAGAAAAATTGAAGTAAAAAAGAAAGAGACAAAAGAAAAGAACAAAGGAAAATGTTTTCGAGATAGGCTAGCTGCTCAGAGCAACTGTCACGGGTCGCTCCCGTTCCAGGGTAGCGTCGTGTTGAGGGATGGATTGCTGGCCGAGTTTGGCTTGACCGTCGTCCGTCCAGTTATAGATGCGCTCCTTACTCGTTGACTCAAGGGAAGAGTGTATCGCACGACGCCCTTGAGAACGAGTACGAAATCATCCTGTATGATGCGTCCCCAACGTTCCGAGCCACCCGCCGAGTGATTACCGGGCAAGGAAAGCCTCATACCACCGGTAGAGGTGGACACGCCCTTATTAAAGAAAGAACCCTCGAACGAAAGAGGGCTGTCGAACTCGGTAATGGTGCCGAGATGCATGTTCGGAGCCGCCTCGTCATCGGGTGGTTCATAAGGTGGATCGTCCTCGATGTGGATATCGGAGTCCGTGCCGTCGTGGTCATTAGGACCGTGTGGGGACTTCCACCAGTCCATGTCGGTTCCGGCACGGGGGGATTTGGCGAACACCTCGATATTGGCTTGGTCGACAGCAATGACGACGATGTTCGGGTTGTGCGCTTTGACCGCTATATCGAACATGAGTTCCGGATCGCTGGCGACGACGTTCTTAATCGATACAAGCTCGATATCCGTGAGCGGCTGTGATGTGGCGAACATGAACCCGATGGCCCCGGTGATGACCAGCAGGAGCATCATCGTGACCACCAAACATGCGGCAAAGCGGTTGAGGTACGAAGGTTTTTGCCTGTATGTCTGGCATTCGAGGTGGCGCAGGTCCACATAGTTGCGCCTATTCCGTCCCCGCCGCACCGTGGGGGAGATCAACGGAGTCCGTTCGTCATCGGCCCCGGTGGTATCGTCCAGATCGTAAGACTGCCCGGGCATGAGCGACCGTTTTGCCGAACTGATGCCTCCACGGGTCGAGGAGGTTTGATGAGTCATCCGAGGGCTCGGAGGGTTCGACGAGTGGCGAGACTGGTTACCCGAAAGCTTGGATCGCGCCGCGTTGGGGAAAGGAGATTCATTGTCGAACAGAGACGTGTGAGAGTTGGCGCCGTTACGGCCCCAACGGCCAATGTGCGTGTGGTTATGATGGCGACGGGTGGTGCCTCGACCGGACCCAGGGCCCGTCGTGCTCCGCGCGCTGCCGTCGCCATCCTCTTCGCCGATCATGGGAGCTTCACCGCCGGCGAAGGTGTTGACGAATTTCATCCCCTTCCTCAAGGGCGGGGCCTGGTTGGCGCCACTCTCCATGACAGCATGGATGGATCGCATGGCCGAGCGGTCGACCTGGCTAGCCATGGAGGCGGCGCTCGGAGTCCGCGAATGGTGAAATCGGCGCGGCCGGTCTCCCCCGTCGGGTGGATTGGAGTCGTAGACAAATGTCTCTTCCGAGTCGGACGAGTCGGCTTCGTCGACGGCACTCGCAACCTTGGCTTCGAAAATGTCGGCCTTGGAGGATGCTGGACGTGGCTTAGTCAGTAAACTGCTAATATGGTATGAACTAACGACGTTGGGCAATCGACCGTGCGGGGAGATTGCCTCGTCCTGCAACGACTTTGTCGGGGACACGCTAACATCAGTCGCTACAGACACTGATCGCATCGACTGATGATGGCGCAGCTTGTACTGAACGACATTCGACAAGAGGTGTGGTGTCTCACCAGTACCAGCAGGCACAGCCGGCTGTTTGCGGCTGTTCTTCTTCTTTTCCTTCTTGGGTTTAATGGTCTCCGTACTCGGCTTTGCCCGGAGAGTGCCAGTGCCACCGTTCTCCATTTTGGACCCTGGCCCCAAAGCCATTTGGGGAATGGACGTTACCGTCTCGGTTTCCACGATCATGGTCTGGGCCGGTCCGTCTCCCGGGGGCTTGTTCTTGCCTTGCTTTGCCGATACAGCGCTGGACTGCCGGGATGTTGTTGGGGGAGGGGCAGAGCTTCGAGACCTCCTCGAATCCGCCCTGGTGCTGGCGCTGTCAATTCCGCTCTCGGTACCCCGTGCAAGCCTCAGATGATTCTTGTTCTCTGCGAGTACAGGGTAGGCGGGCATGGTCAAAGCTTCGTCGGCCAGCTTCTCGTTGATCTTCTCCAAGTCTGCATCGAGTGGACCGGGTGAATTCGGCTGGCTGACTTCTTGGACCGTCTCGAGAGTTGAGCTGTTCGCCACGGCTGGAGTACGCACGCCGGAGTGCGTCTGAGAGTCTTCCGTCTCGCTCTCGGACATGGTCGGGGCATTATCTATGGAGGGAGTCGGGCGCTGCAGGCTGATTCCCGGCGGGTCGGTTTCGTTACGTCGCAGAGAAGCAACGACGGGTCTGTTGAGCTGAGGAGGAGGCGAGCGCAAGCGAGGAGAGACGGGCCAGCGAGGGTTTTCTCTCGCCCGGCCGTGATCGGATGCCTTCTGCGGGGCTGCAGCAGGCCGGTTTCTGCTGTCCTGTGAGACTGGGAGGAGGGTGGGCGTCGTGGCTGGGGAAAGGGTCCTTGAGCCCAGAGGTGGCGCTGAGATGGTAGGCTTAGGAGTGCGGGTCGGACTCGTGTCGTTTTGACTGTTCCTCCTAGACCTGGATGTGTTGGCGGTAGCAGATGACCAAGGCTGTAGTCGAGATGGGGAAGGATCTCGAGATGGAAGCGGAGACCGGTTCAGCGAGTTGCTGTTAGAGGAATCTTTGGAGTATCGGCTCCGAAGAGTGGACGACGAAGGAACGCGCGACGCGTCAGGCAGCCCAGAAGACTCTTGAGGGTCAGCGTTCAGGCTGCCTGTGGACGAGTTGGTCGACCTGTCCATGGTGGCAGGGGAGAACCGAAACAAGCAGTAACAACAAAGAGAAGGCCGTAATTTCTCGACCTCTGCCGCATGCCAGATCACACAGCCGTGGGTTTCAGCTTCTAAGGGAGACGAGAGTTATAGGTACGGGACCGGGCAATCATCGCGGAGGACGGACGATGCGTCGGAAGGAGCGAAAGACGAGATGGTGGAACGATGGCTTGAGATCTGATCGACAAGACTGCCCTCCTACAGAACTGTTCCTCGCGATGTTTGGGGCGCCAGCGTTCGTTGCAGTACTGCGAGGGGGTTTCGGGCGTCTGCTTCCAGGGACGTGTGGGGGTGGTGATGTGATAGGAGACAGGGAACTCGCGTGGGCGGGTGGGTGGCCGCAGCTCTTGGTGACCTTTTGACGGGAGATGTGAGCAGTCAACGGTGTGAGAGAAGCGTAAACGTAGTCGTAGGGTACAACAGGAGTTGAGGTCAGATGGTTGCCGTATCCGTTGTTCTAGTCGACAGGTTTGGTTTGTTGGTTGGCAAGTCGTGGTGGGTCGAGGGAACGCGGGGGGGTCTGAGTCTTTCGAGAAATATGGATTGGACGCTTGTTGTACGTTTGTACGTTCGAATAAGAAGAACGATACTGTACGCAAGTACGTTGTACGTGGGATTGGAAAATGGGGGAGAAAGGTACCGGGATAGAGGATACCTCGAGGATATACGATTTGGGGGGAGCGTTGTTGTGGAGTTCTGCAGGTTACGTGCACTGCACTCACTGCACAGCAACGGTGAGATTAGTCGAGCTAATTGGATGTGAGAAAGAACCTTAAACGACAACCGGATGATAGCGAAAGTCTTCTCTTTGAATCTACTTCGCAGTACGAAGTAACTCCTGGAAAGAGAGGGGAAGGAGGGGGGGAGGAGTCTGGCTGTCGAAGTGGTGGAGGTTGTGGCGATGATGATGAATGATGTCGTCGTCTTGCGTCCTGGAGGATGACGGGGGGAAAACAAAAAAGCTGGGATCCCAACTGTCAGGGAAATTTAGAAGCCGGGGGATACAACGTACCTACGACTACAAAGGTCACGGATTCCAGTGAGCGACACAACGGGAAACTCCTGCCCCAACGGTACCCCACAGGCCAGTCCAGTCACTCTAGTCAAGTCTCGGCAGTCTTCAGGGGCGTCATTGTTTTTACGCATATTTCATAAGGTAAGGTAAGGTACTGTTCGGCTCAGGGCGTCGTGGTCAAGCCGTTGTCTTGGTAAGGTAGCTTTGGTACTAAGCATTTGTACTCTATGTATCAGTATTTCAGTGAAAGCTGCCCCCACTCTTAGAAACAGCGTTGCCGGCAGGGGTACGGAGTACATGAGTATCCTAAACCTATAAGAAGTCACTTCTCACACACTTAATGTGGTGAATAACCAAGGTACACTATCGAGCCCCCTCCAGTTTCTTTCGGAACTAGCCACTTCGAATCCAATCCGTCAAATCATCCGTGTTTTTTGTACCCGTACCTCCTGGTACTCTATGAGCTGTCTCATCATACCTTACCTTAGGTATCTAGGTACCTTGCCCCACTGGTACCTGGAAGGATTGAAGGGAACTGCAGCTGTGACGACCAAGGGTCGCACAGGGAATTGGAGAACGGCGTGGTACACGGGGCGTGTAGGAGGGCGAAAATACTTCTCGGCCCACAAACAGGTAGCGGTTGAGAGCCAGTCTCCAAGTATCATAGAGTCCCCAGGTCTATTCGGCCCCCTTGCATTGGACTGTTCGTCACCCATTCTGCTTTCTGCTTCCAAAGGGAGTCTCAATCCATCTTCCGCCCTCTTTGTTTTCTTTCCTTCCTTTCTTCAGACAAGATTCTGACTCTATAGGGTACTTTTCCGACGGACACAGACTGCTTCATTATTACAGACTGCTTTAGTATCCCTATTTGTTTTATCTCGTTCCATCCTCCCAGTTTCATATTGCCGTCCTCTACTACTTATCCGTTTTAATTAATACTTCGTGTGTTCGGATGCTCAGGACCTGAAATTATATTCATCCTTGGCGCCAGATCTGCCGAGCGGTCGATGAGCAAATGCCCAAAGGAGACAGATTCCCTTGCCCCCTTTCGAGGCCCCGAAATTATGACATGTCCTTCCATAGTGTTGTATTGAATGGAAGTGGACCAACCCGGGTGTATGTACATTAGGGTGGCTGCTCTTTTTAATTGTCTTTTTAACATTGATCCGGAGAATAAGACGAGTCAAAGAATACAGGTATTTTACGAAGAAATAGTCACGGATACGCGGACTTCGTGGACAAATGCCACCCAATCCCTCGGTTCCTGCCATTGCTTGGAGTTTGCCGGCCACATTTATTGTTTTCTGTCACGGGCATCTTGTTGGGATCCCCGGCAGGGATATTGCCTGTCAACGCTCAGTAACTTTGCGACTCACTTTCTTTCTTTCGTTCTTGAGAAGACATCGTTGCTGCCAATTGTGCTTAGCGTCTGGGACCGCGGGTCTTCCGGAACAACCTGACAGGTCGGTCCATTGGGCCGTCAACAGGAATTTCCCATCATAGGGCCAAGCCATGTCCTTGACCTCCTCATCTTTCGTTTGTAGAGTAACGTAGAGTAGGTAACGTAGTCAATACGAAATTATATAGTGAAGCACCTTCTGTCCGTCGAGAGGACAGCTAGCTGTGTGGGCCTTGAAAACACAATGGTTTCCTAGAGTTCAGAGTAATCTACACTGTATTTCGTCCACATTTTGCCGTCCTGTTACACCGACAGTTCCAGGGACACACCGAAACTCCATATAGCCATAATTACCTACCTACCTGAATTGACATATGGATATGCTTGGATATATCCGTACACACAAAATAACAAAACAAAATACACTATCCGCATACCTACTTCGTACACACGCACAGTACTCCGTACAGGGCCTCTCTGCGGCCCGCCCTAATTAACTCCCCAACCAGCATCCTACACGTCACTGTCGATGTTACCCTCCAATATTTTGACCGCCAGTCCGGTGAGAGCTGGGTCAGTAATTTCCCCAACTTCCCTGCAACCCCCTGGGGAAATATGCAGCCTCATCTGCCAGCCAGAATCGCGACAACGTGGGTGTTGGCAGCAGGCAGGCATCTAGGTAATTTGATGCACGACGTTGTACGTAGGCATGGTAGCGAATTAATGCCCCATGGTTTCCCTGCTATTACCCCTAGAGCTAGGACACTGGGTTCGCTGAGTTCATGGACACAGCCTAATAATCGGTTGGACGATATGAAGTACGATGACTTGCCCAAGTTGGTCGTCGCCGGGGGGGGGGGGGATAGTGATGACGATAATCACAACAACCTGGAAATCACGCACGTGTTGACACGATGAGCGATATCGGAAAAGGGACCTCGAAAATAATCCGTTTTCTGTACAAATACTTCGTACGGATCTTGATATCGGGTCTTTTATTAGCCGCATTCTATCTCGTTCTGTTTTATATCAGCAACGGTTTTGTCCAACATGTGCACAATGGACCGGTACTGGGCCTACCTTACCGTACACGTACATAGGTACTGAGGAGGTGGGGATTGCTTAATACGAATAAACGTAAATTTGTGTTGAGGTCTCTACATTTCCGTTCCGACCGACGGAGCTGACGGGTTCTTTCGCACACCAGACGGGCGCTTCCTCCCGCTCCCCTTTCATACAATGCCGAGGCTACGTACCGATTCCGCACTCTACGGTGCTCGGTACATTCGTTCCCCCGGCGAAGTCGGCTATGGCAATTTATAATTATTCGACATACGATGTGTCGTGTTGTCTTCTCAATGTTCCACTCCGGATCCAGGCTTCATCTGCTCCGTAATTAGTAGAATCCGTTTCGGTGTTAACGGAGGATCATATTGACCACGTCATGATTTCATAGCCTCCATCCCTTGAGTTAGGGTGACATTGCGCGACAGTGTGACGTGGCGTGTATGTGACATGTCCACCCAGTGCCGCGCCACATGGGTGTGGACCGTTTCTTGATCGTCCTCAGCCATACAAGTGTATTGCGGCAACGCCACAAGTCCCGACGAAAAACGTCTCATCTCGTTTGCCTTCTTGACAGGGCACATGCTCTTCAAATCACCCGTTGTTCTTAAAAAGAAATTAAAAAAAGGTAAAAAAAAAAGAAACCCCCCACTTGTACCAGCAAGATACAAAGTAGTTTCCAATCGTAAGGCCGCAATATTTTTGCCTCGAGAAGGCTTACCAGTGTTTTGTGGCGCAGATGGGAGTTGGTCCCCTGCCCTCTAACGATCCATCACCCCGTCCAACGAACGCCAGACGGCCACGTCGTCAAGTGATCCCCAGTTTTAGGAAGCTGATAAAGTCCTTTGCGACTATTTTGTCGCAGTAAGACAGGAGGGACACAGGGCACAGGACACAGGAACCCCCACCAGAGCTTCGCTCCTACCGTAGATTCCCCCAAAACGACGGTCCGCGTCACGTTTAATTTGGCTCAAATTCCCAAGATAGCCAAAACCATCCAACCATTCGCGCAGGAACCCGCCCCCAGCCTAGTAAGCGGGAAGCCCGCACACGTGTGAGGGTCAAAAGAAGCAAATTTTTGCCTGGTGTACCCCTTAGCTCATCCTAGATAGGCTGCAAAGTGTATGTGCATGTGCGCCTTGGGAGAAAATGACAGCCGAGAATATGGACGTCGTGCCTCACACCAGCACCGACACCCCCCAAATCCAACCGGCCGCCCGCGGGATGGTGGGATGGTGGGATGACGGATTTGATATGTGGTTGAGTTATGTAGCAATAGTAGGTAACCCTTTCTTTTGCTCCTGTCCAATCCTGCTCGTCTGATAGCAAAACGTGATTTCCATGCTCGGTCAGAGGGGCCTCAACTCTGTGGTGTCGGATGAGGAACCTGTTGAGGCCTTCGTGGTGCACACCCGCGCCTAGATTCAGAGTATACTAGTTGTTTGTGATGGCATCACCAGACATACTAAGCACACCGTACAGATGGATCAAAACGACCCGGTGGTGAGTGATATAGTGGACGTTGCAGTGGCAATCCACAACATTCTCTGGCCAGACACTGCCCAGACACTGCTAATACCGCGTATGACTGAGAATAACAGACCGATAGGTGACGATACACCTGTGGTTGGGGGAGGACTGGTCGCAGTAAAGCATGTGGTAAAGTATATTGAAATGGCCCATCTTCGTTGCTGACCAGTGCAATGTCGGCAATGTCGTCGTCATGGGAATCACCCGCGGGTTGCAATCCATTTTGGAGCATGCTCCTGATGTTGGGTCGTCGTGTAACCGGATCTTCGCAAACATGCCGCCCCAAACTCCCTTGAACGCCGTAAGTTGTAACGTCGTGGCCTTTTACCTTTCTCCCCAGGAACAGGAACACCAAGCTTTGTTCCTTAAGCAAAGTGGATGCCTTCGGAGTTGAGGGCATGTAGGAGCTTCAAGAAATCCGTCTCGTCACACTGCCGCGCCCGCTTGTCTGTCAAGCCGGTGGACTCGAGCGCCCTCTCGATCTTTTGCCGCACCAGGGCCGCAACCTTGGTCTTCTTGCGCTTGCTCGGTGTCTTCTCCGGTGCACTTCCGCCGCGCTGCTGACTTCCAAAAAAGTCCGTCACGCCCTCGTTACCATCCTCGTCCACCGCAGCGGTCTCGTCGTCTCCGTTGTTGCTGTCGACTTCCATCATCTCGTCCTCCCCCTCTTCTTCGCCGTCCACTAAGGAATCATCCAGGGGCACATTGTTCATTGCAGCCCAGATACGGTAGTTCTAAAGAATTTGCGCGTCAGCGCGATGGCTTTTTCATCGCAAAATGCACCATGTGTCTAACTTACCTTCTCCAGCATCGCAAGCACATCTTTTGTTCCTAGCCAACTCGCCCGCATGGTCCTGTTTTTGCGGTTGAAGCACTGATCAACGGAACTGTGTTAGCAGTGACAATAAATGCAATTACGATGTTGGGGGGGGGGGGGGGCTCGCATACAATGCGTAATAGGCCGTCAAACTCCTCGAAGCTGATGCTCGGGCGATCGTTGCCCTGTTTCGGTACGATGCGTACCACACAGGAGTCGACTTGAGGGGGAGGTTTGAAGTTCGCCTTTGACACTTTCATCTACTCTTGCAGTCAGCCTCCGAACCGAACTCGCGAGGGCAGCCGTCGCGCCGCCAGCACTCACCACATGTGAGCATGTAGCCCAGAAATTCGCGTTCACGCTCAACCTAGGTAAAGACGTCAGTGACGTCCAAATCACCCAAGTAGATTCCTAGATCCTGATGTCCCCTACCGGCCGTATAGCTTGTCACCCGGCTTGGCAACTAATCTTTGCCCGAACTCGAGCTGGAACATGAGGATGGCCTGTCGTGGGGGCTTCGGCATGGATAGCATCTTGAACACCAGTGGCGAGGAAATCTGGTATGGTGTGTTGGAAATAAGCACATCAAAGGGCGCCCATTCAACCTGCAAAACCCTGTCAGCAAACATGGCTGTACTAGTTTTCCCCGTGCCGGGGCTTCCCCCTTTTGTGGTGCTTGGCAATAGCCAGAACGGATGCGCCGCCAGCTGAAGCGCAGACCATGGCATGACTGACCTTGATGGCATCTCCCAGCATCACATCGAGCTTCTTCTGTTCGGGTTTTCCCTGCACACGCTGTATATTGGAATCAGCCCTCGGACCTGGCCAACATATCCGTCTCCGGTCCCCACGCACCTTGGTCACCTCTGCGGCCATTCTCGGGTCATACTCGATCGCGATAAGTTTCCTTGCCGTCTCGAGGATACGAACTGTCAGATTCCCGGTTCCGGGACCGATTTCGAGAACCGTGTCGGTAGGCTTGAGCTCGGCTTTCTGTCACAGGGGGAGAGCGTATTAGTGAGGGTCCCGTCTTGTTCACGTGGGTAATTGTGTGGCATACGTACGGCGACGATAGCATCGGACACACCCGGGTTCTTCAAGATATGCTGACCGACATTTGTCTGGACCGTGTATTAGCGATACTAACTACTCTGTAGAGGAGACTCAAGTGGTGTCGCACGTTGAACTTGAAAATGGTGTTTGTCTTTTGTGGTTTGGCGTATGGTGACGAAGCAGCAGCATTGTTGCGCTTCGCGCCCTTGGCTTTGCCCATTTTGCGCAATGAGGCAGTATTCCGTCCCGAAACACCGTCTTAACGCACTGATCCTTTTCCGAAAAAGTCAGAAGCGGTGATGGCGTCCTCGAACGTTAGCAGAGTCGAAACCAGAAAAAGTTGCCTCGATGAGGTACGAAGCACGAAGTACTCTCTCTTATCGATAGAGGGGCATTTTTTTCCTCTTCTTTTCGTGAAAACGCACGGTTCACCAGATGGAAATTTGTGGGCCGTCTAGCTCCCACCCAAACTCTTTTCCGGCCCCACATTCAGAGCTTCGTACGTGTACTTCGCTCTCGGTACGTGTACTTCGTACTACAGAGCAAGAGCCACTGTACACACACCACCCACCCCGTAAGGTACGGAAAGGGACGCCTTGCATTTTGGCCCTTCAGCCTTGCGACGCTCTCATCACCATTTCCAACTTCTAACCAGCTACCGGGCAGACCTCTCCCTCTTCTCTACGAAAAAAAGAACATCGCTAGCCTGACGTCGAATCCGATGTGACTTCCAACCTAGCCAACTTCTCACTTCTCGCAACGACGAGTTTGCCGCTCATCATAAGATACACCGACGACACCATGGCTACTACTCGGCGCGACTTCCTAAGCCAGCCTGCCCCGGAGAACTACATAGCGGGTATTGGCCGAGGAGCCACTGGCTTCACCACCCGCTCCGACTTGGGTCCTGCGCGCGAAGGCCCTAGCGAGGATCAAATCAAGGAGGCCGTTGCCAAGCGGGCAGCGCAACTAGGTCTCGGCGGGGACAACAAGAAAGACGACGACGACGATGACGAAAGATTCAAGGATCCGGATAACGAAGTGGGCCTCTTCGCCGGCGGACTTTATGATAAGGACGATGAAGAGGCCGACAGGATATGGCAGGAAGTGGACGAGAAGATGGCGCGGAGGAGGCAAAAGCAGCGCGAGGCCCGCGAACAGGCTGAACGCGAAGAGTACGAGCGCAACAACCCCAAGATCTCCCAGCAGTTTGCCGATCTCAAGAGAGCCCTCAGCACCGTTACCGACGAGGAGTGGGCAAGCCTCCCCGAAGTGGGTGACCTCACGGGCAAGAACAAACGAGCACGCCAGAATCTCAGACAACGGCACTACGCGGTGCCCGACAGCGTTCTGGTTGCCGCCCGCGACTCGACCGAAATGACGACGACTGTCAACGACGACAGCGGAATAGCATCCAGTGCCGACGGGGCCGACGGGACCATGACAAACTTTGCCAAGATCGGCGCCGCGCGCGACAAGGTTTTGAAGTCGAGACTCGAACAGGCCTCGCAAGGTGGCGGCGCCGATAGCGTTCTCGGCAGCGCCACGAGCATCGATCCGAAGGGCTACATCACCAGCCTCGACAAGAGCATGATGAGCGGGGCCCAGGCGCAGGTGGCCGACATCAACCGGGTCCGAGAGCTCCTGACCTCGGTCACAAAGACGAACCCCAACAGCCCCGGAGGCTGGATTGCGGCCGCGCGTTTGGAGGAGCTCGCGGGCAGGACGGTAGCCGCCCGCAACACCATCGCCCGAGGTTGCGAGAAGTGCCCGAAGAACGTGGATGTCTGGCTCGAGAACATCCGGCTGAACGACAAGCGGAACGCCAAGATCATCGCCGCCGAAGCTATCAAGAAGAACGACCGGTCGGTGCCGCTGTGGGTCGAGGCGATGAGGCTAGAGACCGAGCCGCGGGCGAAGAAAAGGGTCATCCGACTGGCACTGGACCACATACCCGACTCGGAGGCGCTGTGGAAGGAAGCGGTCAATCTGGAAGAGGACGAAGCAGACGCCCGGTTGCTGCTCGCCAAAGCCACCGAGCTGATCCCTCTCTCCCTCGACTTGTGGCTGGCGCTGGCCAGGCTCGAGACGCCGGAGAACGCGCAAAAGGTCCTGAACAAGGCGAGAAAGGCCATACCCACCTCGCATGAAATCTGGATTGCCGCCGCTCGCCTGCAGGAGCAACTCGGAGAGGAGGGCAGGGTCAGCACCATGATGAAACGTGCCGTCAACGTGCTAGCGAAAGAGTCGGCCATGCCGAAGCGGGAGGAATGGATCGCGGAGGCCGAGAAGTGCGAAGACGAAGGCGCCATCGTAACGTGCCGGCACATCGTGCGAGAAACCCTCGGCTGGGGTCTGGACGAAGACGACGACCGCAAGGACACCTGGATGGAGGACGCCAGGGGCAGCATCAACCGCGGGAAGTACGAGACGGCGCGGGCGATCTACGCATACGCGCTACGGGTATTCGTCAACAGCAGGACGCTCTGGATGGCGGCCGCCGACCTGGAGAGGAACCACGGCACCAAGGACTCGCTGGCGCAGGTGCTCGAGAAGGCCGTGGAGGCGTGCCCCAAGAGCGAGGTCTTGTGGATGATGCTGGCCAAGGAGAAATGGCAGGCCGGCGAGGTCGACAACGCGAGAAGGGTTCTCGCGCGGGCCTTCAACCAGAACCCGGACAACGAGGACATCTGGCTGGCGGCCGTCAAGCTCGAGGCCGAGAACGACCAGCAAGAACGCGCACGGAAGCTCCTGGCGGACGCACGCGATAAGGCGCCGACCGACCGCGTGTGGATGAAGAGCGTGGTCTTCGAGCGGGTGTTGGGCAACACGGAGGCGGCCTTGGACCTCGTGCAACAGGCCCTGCAGTACTTCCCGGCGGCGCCCAAGCTGTGGATGCTCAAGGGCCAGATCTACGAGGACCTGGGTATGATCCCGCAGGCGCGCGAGGCGTACAGCACAGGCGTCAAGGCGGTGCCCTCCTCGGCGCCCCTGTGGCTCCTGTACTCGCGGCTGGAGGAGAAGGCGGGTCTCGTGGTCAAGGCGCGGTCGGTGCTCGACCGGGCGCGGCTCGCGATGCCCAAGTCGCCGGAGCTGTGGTGCGAATCGGTGCGGGTGGAACGGCGCGCGGGCAACCTGAACCAGGCCAAGTCGCTCATGGCGCGGGCGCTCCAGCAGGTGCCCAAGAGCGGGCTCCTCTGGAGCGAGCAGATCTGGCACCTCGAGTCCCGGACGCAGCGCAAGCCGCGCAGCTTGGAGGCCATCAAGAAGGTGGACAACGACCCGCTCCTCTTCATCGCGGTCGCGCGCATTTTCTGGGGCGAACGCAAGTTGGACAAGGCGCAGAACTGGTTCGAGAAGGCGTTGGTTTTGGACAGTGACAACGGCGACACCTGGGCGTGGTACTACAAGTTTCTTCTCCAGCACGGTACTGACGTGAGTGCACCCGGTGTTTCTATTTCTTTGCTTCCCCCTCCGTTTTCATTTTTTTTCTTTTTTTCTTCTTTTCTTCAGTCCTTTCACTTCTTGGACGAGCTAACTCAGTCATCTTTGCAGGAGAAACGTGAGGAAGTAATTACCAAGTGCGTCCTCAACGAACCCAGACACGGCGAGTACTGGCAGGCAGTGGCCAAGAACCCGAAGAACGCGAGGAAGGGGATAGAAGAGCTGTTGAAGCTTGTAGCCGCGAGCCTCCCTTAGATGTAAAGAGGGCGTCTGCATGTTGTTTTCATGTAACACAACTTTAACACCCTAATCACGCCGTTTATTACAAGTGTATTATTTCTAAAAAACAATAGCGGCTGCGGTGTATCACTAATGGGCAGAATAGAAGGTTTTGAAGAGAGGTGGAATTAATGAAAATTCATTTGAAAGACACAAAAACATTAGCTATAGTTTCCGTCTTCATTCCATCCCGTTCACTTCTCGACCCAGGGCCTCGGGGCCAGATACGAAAAAAAATGCGAAGTTGGGACCATGATGGTTATCCCACTCGGGAAAGTCGCGAATTCATATTCTCCTACACAGGAACAATATTTCCTTAGTTCCAGTTCCAGTTCCAGTTCTGGATATCAGCTTCCTCCAGCCTCAAACGCCCTTATTTGCTGCTGCCAAACCAGCTTGAGAGGCCAGTCTTGGCCTTGGAAGCGGAATCCTCGACCTTGCGATCGAATTCGTTGACGGCCTTGACGGTGTTGGCCTTGGCGTCCTTAGCATAAGATTCGACGTTGCTCTTCGTAACGGAGTACTGCTTGTCCGCTTCGGATGCCTAGGTTCAAAGACGTCCGAGTGAGCTCAACGGTTCTCGTAAAAAAAAAAAAAAAAAAGGAAAAAGGAAAAAGAGAGAGAGAGAGGATAAAGGGGGCCAGCGAGCAATTGCATGGCTTACGATTGAATCGATCTTGGCACCAGCACGACCACCGGCGTCTGCGAGCGTCTTCTCGGCTTCCGGATCCCGACCGGGGAGGTGCTTTTTGATGTCTGCGGAGGCTTTGTGAACGTCGCCTGGACGAAGAGAAGGAAGGGGTGTCAGTAGCGGTCGGTGTAACGAGCAATGCTCGAGGCTTTCCTTCTACTGGAGAAGTCGAAAGAATAAAGCCAAGGACGGACGATCACTCACTCTCGAACTTCTTCTCGGCTGGTCTGGGATGGCCGCCTGCTTGGTAGAGATAGTAGCCAATGCCGCTGGCAGCAGCGAGGCCTGCGTAAATAGGGGCCTTGGACTTGGACATGATTGTGGTTGGTGGATGGAAGTTTTGGGTGAGCGGGATTTCTTGGTTCCTCTTGTTGACGGTTCGAAGGCGGAGGGTGAGGCCGGGATAAGTCGATCGAGCTTTTGTAATTTAAGGTAGTAGGTTGGACGAAGAGAGGTTGGTGAAGATGGGAGAGGAAAAGGAAGGGTTTCACGACGTCAGATGGGATGGTGCGACACAGGTCTACTTAGGCAACAACTTGGCTCCTCTCCCAGCTTGGTACTTTCTCTTTATGTACCGAGCGAAGGGGGAAGGAGGACGCTAGGCGGGGAGTGAGTGTCATTCGCTCAGCCGGAGTTGTCATTTTCGGAGTAAGTCAGGTATTTGTTGCGTAGACATGCATGTCAGAGTTACTTTCCCTCGCCGTTCTTATGGCTTTGGTTCCCTTCCAGGTTGTTGATGACAAGGTACGTGACGTGACGTTGGAGAAATGGCGGGCGGGTAGGAAACGGGGCTGGCAGTTGATGGACGAGGTGAGTATGACGTAGGTACGTATGGGGTACACCGGTAGAATCGTTTCAGGGAGGTTATTATCGGCCGGATGCAAGAAGAGCACGAGCCATCAGTTGGACATTGAGGTTACCGTTCACGTTCAGAGAATGCATGTACTCCGTATCACTGTTTATACGGTTAAGGCTATATCTACCATAGCTATTCAATGAGCAAAGTCTGGTTTCAATATGAATGAGAATAGTTTTTGCTTCTCTTAAATGACCTTGTAACAGTTGCAATGACGAAGGGCGCCCTCGATACTCTGGGTATAGCCTCACTTCGTACTTCGTAACTCTGTGTTAAGTCTACGGATACAGTTGTACTTTCTTTACCTTAGATCCGTAGCTCCCAGCCATACGGAGAGCACGGAGCACAAAGTATTGTGACCCGAAATTCTTACGTCATCGATTTAGCTGAACGATCTAATTATGAGGTGGTAGGAACTTTCAGCTGCATCGTCTCACCGGGTCTTGCCCAGCTCAAACGGAGCTCCGTACAAAGTAATAGGGTAAGGTAGTCAAACTTCGTCGACCCTGTAATTACCTTGGCACAAAACCGATCCAATGGTGGCTCCCCCCAGAATGTAGGAGCCGCTGGCATCATCAGCGAAGAAAAGCAAAGCCACAAGCCAACGCCGGATCCAGCAAAAAAGCGTTTTCCTTTACCCTTGGCATTCCAGGCCCCAGCCGCCCCAAGGTAACCTCCACGAAGGCAGCCAGCCATTTTGTCTTTTATTTTCTTCCTGTTTTTTCCGTCTCCGAACCCCTTTCTCACCCGTCCTGATCTCCCGATCCCTGCGTTTGTCGTCCGCACCTTCGGTTGTGATCTCGGATCTCGAACTCCCCGGAAGGGCTCCTCTCATTGCACGGGCCCTGTTTGCTCAATTCGATGCAGACAGAATAGACACCGAAGCTCAAGTTAGTGTCGAAATCGGGGGGTTTCTAACCTTCCTGTGGCAATTGCATGTAACCTGACAGAAGCGACTCCCCCAAGAAAGTCCGAGTCTCGTGGCACCTGTTGTGCTCTGTCTCAGCTTTCTACCGTCTCTTCTTACCTTTGCTTCCGAACCTGCCGCGCTTCCAGGCGGGAGACGTGGATGTGGTCGCAATCTCACTCTCTGCTCTTCGACTCTTCCATACTGTTGGTTCCTGCCACCACACCACTCGATTGTTCCCAGCCACCTACTTCAGCGACGAGACTTAATACCACGCACCCCACTCCTCCACCCCGCCATGCTTAGCTACGGTTCCTAGCAATGCCGCATCTCTCGCTGAGAACCTCACGACGAGTTGAGGGCTTGAAAGACAGCGACTACGACCATGAGATAAGCCTCCTTGACCAAGAGACTGGCCAAGCCACCAGTCCCGCGCCTTTGAGTACGGATCGTCAGGAGAGCGCTGGGCCAGGTGGAACTCAACAGACGTCAACGGAGGGAACGCCACCTTTCCAGGAAGAGGGAGTAGGAGTTCGAGAAGGACGTGGAGTTTCAGCCGGCTTTCCGTCGTCTCCCGTCGACAATGCCGACGATGCCGTATCGCGGCCAGCAGAAGGCACGGGCCAGACCCGAGACGCACAAGTCGTCCAAGGCCATGATGAACAGCGCCTCGACCCCCAAGAGACGGCACAGAAGGGCCCACCTATCGAAATTCAAGGTACGCGTGGTTCGTTCCATTTTATGTGACCTCGCAAGTGGCGCGGGAGTTGGAATTGGAGTTGGGGCAACTATAGAACCGCGAAACTAATCTTTAGTCTTCTTGACAGGTCCCACCCCTTTGGATCGTACCGAGACGCAGGAGGCCAACGGCACTGTCCAATATCCACGACCGAGGAAACCTGAAGAGCAAGAGTCTGCGATAGATATCCTCTGGGAAAACGAGCGGGGTTGCTTTCTCTGCGGCACCGCCCTCTTCTCCTCGGCGGCGTTGGGCAACTTGGACCCGTCGCCGTGGATGAACCAGTATCACAAGACGAGCCCAACGAACATCAGGACTGCGCAGGTCCCCGACCCGTCGTGGGAATGGGTATGGCCAGAGTGGCGCATCAACCTCGAGGAGGGCGTAGCCGTGGACGAGTTTGGGTGGGAATACTCATTCATGTTCCATAGGAAGTTCTCTTGGCATGGTCCCAAGTGGTGGAACTCGTTCGTGAGGCGGCGAGCATGGATTCGAAAGCGCGTCAAGAAGAAGGCCGAAGACGTGCCGTCCGACCCCCATATGCTTCACACGGACTACTTCGATATCGCGCCGGCTCGCAGCCGCAGCCGCAGTCGTTCTCGCTCCCCTAGTACGGTGACACGCCCGGCAAGCAATGCGAGCTGGCAAAGTCGCGCCAGCGTTTACAGCAAGGCCGGCGGCAGCGCGGTCTCCAAGGGCGAGAGCCAGCCCGAAAAGCGACCTGACATCCAGGACATTGACATGCTCCTGATGGTCCTGCGCGGCGCCAGAATCGACAGGGAGAAGATCGAAGCGGTGGAGAACTACCTGGAGAATGCCCAGGACGGGCTCGAGCGGCTGGAACCCGAGATGCACCACATCATGGGGGTTTTCGTCTTCCAGGCGTCTAGAAGGCTGCTCCTGGGCCGCCTGACTCAGGTGCACGACGAGATGGGCAAACTCGAAGAGCAAGATGAGACGGGCGGGCTGAGGGTGAAGAGGGAACGACTGGACGCTGCTATCAAGCATGCCGACGAAGAAGTCAAGAGGCTATCCTACTGGAGCGATATCAAGGGCATGGCCGAGGGCGGCGAGTCGCAGGGTGCAGTCGAAATGCGCGAAGGCTGGGGGCGAGATTGGGAAGGGTTGGACCAGAGTGGTCCTGGGCACGTTGTTGACTCGGGCAAGCTTCCTTGAATGAGGTACGGCGGGTTTGCCTTTTTTTCTTCTTTTCTTCTTCTTTTTTTTCTTCTCCCTTTTCTTCTCCCTTTTCGTATGAGCCTTGCACTTCTTCATTCTTAATCGTTTTTGTATGGGTGTTTGTTTCTGCTCTTTCGGGTTTCCTTTTCTCTTTTCCTTCTTGAATACCCCAATGTCCTTTTCCCCCTTGAAGTTGCGTTGTACGGATATCTTGAGTTGTAAGAAAGTCTCGATTCGTGAGGTATCTTCCCTTACCAAAGAAACACTCGATGTACCGAGGACGATTGGTGGTGACACCGGAGGCAAAGGCAATGTATTACATAAGCACAATTAGTCGGGACCGGGGATAATCCGAAAGTCCCCCCCAGCAAAGAAAAAAAGAGAAGGGCAAGAAACAAAGCCCATGGTTGATGTCTCGACATCTCGATCTCCCGAACCGCTCTCCGAACCGTACTGGCACATTTGGGTGTCAACTTCACTCGGGCATTAGCAAACCCGTTCATTCGTCTTTTGCGCCCTGCCCCGTAGACTCAACATGGGCCGGAAATAGCCAATGTCGCTGCGAATCAAGCTGTTATGGCGACTCCGGCCTCCGTCCTTCCACCGGCCCGGGTTCTCGCGGGCCTTTGGGCATACCCCCAGATGGTCTCACTCAGCAGCGGCCTTCGAACTCTTGCGTCAGATTCGAGATTCTCTCCCCCTTACTCATGAAGAAACCTCATCGATCTTCGTTCAGCGGGCCAGCTCGAGCCCAACAGATGACCGCCCCCTCTCGAATTCCTCCGACAATACACGAGCAGATACAGACCTCACCCTGCCGAAACCGACCTCCACCCAACCCCAACCCCAACCCTCAATAATCGCCAGAGAAAAGCCCGAGACTGCCCGCCAGGTTCAGCTGAGGGAGCGTTTTGACGCGCTTTTGCGAGACAAGGACGACATCCCTTCGCCGCCCACAGCGAGCAAATTCTTCGATGGGGAGAGAGATCCCGCACCGCGATGGGGCTCCGTCTTGGAGAGGCCCGCCGTTACCTATCCCTCGAAACGAGAGACGATGCACAGCCAGTATCGGCACCTCGGCTCCCAGTACCGGCAGAAGAGGCTCGATTCGTACAGGACAATAACGGGTTCCCCGCCCTCCGACTGGCGCAAGATCCTTCACACGCTCAAACACGAGACGGGCCGGCCGACTTGGAAGACTCCCTCCCACTCGAAGACCCTGCTTGTTACCGACGAAGTGGCCGACAAGCTCTTGTATGACGTGGGCAGAACTATATGGGATGTTGGCGAGAAGACGGAGTGCCATATCGCCATGTGGAAGCCGCCTGCTGGGGCATTGGCACCGTCGCGTTACAGCACGGTCGTGGTCCTGTCTGGTAGCGACAGAGCCATACACTTCGCCGGCGCGGAGATCGCCGCCACTACCAGCAGGACGGAATCATACGTGGTACCGCCGCCCGAGGCCGCGGCGCATACTTCGGTCTCGGGTTCGCTCGCCGTACCCTCGTCTCCCGCCGCCGAGCAACCCAGCGGTGGTCTTGGAGGGCCCATCTGGTCCAGTGACAAGACATTTCAGCGACCCGGTCGCGTACCGCACTTTACTATATACGATAGATACGAGGATTACCCACAACCCAGGCAGTGGACGCCCAGAGCGCTCCTTGCCTACATAGAAGCCCTTACCAGGGTCAAAATGCCGCGCGACACGGCGGTTGCCCTATACGGATCGGTTTGGAACGCCGAAAAGGCCGTTCTCAGACTGATCAAAGACGTCTTTTATTCAGAAGAGGCCCAGTCGTCCCTGTCCACTCGGGCCCTGAAGACGGCGCTGCGGTTCATCCAACCGTTTGGCATGATATATCGCCCTTCCACGCGAGAGCTGCTCAAGCGGGCCGAGGACGTCGGCCTGCCGTTAGACGCGGAAGTCTTCAACATTCTGCAAGAAGGCAACGTCAAAGTCCGAGACCTCCGCAACTTCGGCGTCGTCCTCGACCGGATGCTGGCCGCCCGCTTCCACCCCAACCTGCGCACGTGGGATCTGTTCTTGCGCATCATCGAGGACACGGCCGCCCACCAGCAGATCATCGGGGAAATGGAACGCTGTAACCTCCTCAACGACCCCCGCGCCACCCGGGTCGTCGCGACGCAGCTGGTCTTGCGAGACCTCGCGCGGGCGCGCGGCGATTGGAAAGGCGTCCGCGCCTTCCTGGCCGACCAGGACACGCGGTACGGCCGAGGATGGATGACGAAGACGGCCATGCACACCCTGTTGAACGAGCTGGGCCGCCTGGGCAAGTTCGCCTCCTGCCTCGAGCTGATCGACGAGGTGGTGAGCCAGACTGCTATCAAGCCGAATATCACCACCCTCAACATCATCCTCAACCATGCCCGCGTCCAGCGGGAACCGGCTGTCGCCGTAGCTGCGCTCTACCGGTTCCACAAGCTCGGCGTCCCGCTGGATGAGTCCTCCTATACCCGCCTCTTCGGCCTCGCCGTCCAGCTCCGCAAGCCCAACGCCATGGGTCTCATCTGGCGCCTAGCCTGTCTGGAACACAAGGTGACGTGGCACATGTGGAAGCGGGTCTCCGATATCTATACCAGCTGCCCCTTTCTCCTGTCGGACGAACAAGGCCCTACCTTGGATTCCAGCCGGGGTGGAGGAGCATCCGAGCCGAACCGTCCCAGGATGGCCTACCATGCCCTTCACGCCCTCCCAACGCTACACGAGCCTTGCATGGTCTCCGACCTCCTGGAAGGGATGCTTGGCGAAAAGCGGAGCAGCGGTCCTCCCCCCGGCGTTCGCATCGCGCAGCTTTACCGCAAGTATTTCCCCGGCCAACGGGGCTGGCGGCCCGTCACGCCCCTGCATACGCTCCTCGCGGAAGCCCTGGAGGCGGACCACGCGCTAGAAGCAGATGCGAGGCGGGATAAGGCGCAGTTACGAGAGGTGCCAGAGGCGTCAGTGGCGCCGAGCTCAGACGGCTCAACAACATCGACATTACCGCCTCGCATCGTGGTACCGGGAATCGAATTGAAGATCACCATGCGTCTACCACGTCTACATGATCATCATCAACAACAACAACAACAACTGCTGCTGCAGTTGCAGCAGCAGGAACATCAAACACGCGAGCCGGACGTGGAGACCGCCCCAGCGGCTGCTACAGATGCATACTTGGACATGCGCATCTCGAGACGCAATTTTGTTGCGAACACTTCAGATCCTTCTGCCGACTCGTGATGCAATCGTACCGCGGGACATCCGAGACGAAGAAGAAACATGGAACATTTGTCCATAGTGTATATCAACCCAGGTCAAGCTGAACTTGGGAATCGACCAGGCGGATCAACTTAATCTACCTTACATATTCATCCACCTTTTGTAAAAAAAAACAGAGAGGGCATATTTTGGAACGGACCAACGGATAGACCGGGATGGCTGGATTTGTGTTCCTCATGACGAAACATTACGTACGCCGTTTCTATATATACATATACCACCCCTTCAACTGTATAAATAAGAAGAACGGGATTAGAGCTTGTACAATATATGCCAATTCATTGCCACGGTTCATCCCTATTATCATGAGGACTTGGCACCGACCAAGTGCCCAGCCACCACCTACAGATGTCTCTCAAAGTGCAGTCAGTCATGGAGTAAAAAGGACCGAGCATTGATTTCGACACATTATTTCAGCTTACTGCCCAGCTTACCAGATATCAACAGACAGACGACACGACAATACCAGGAGAGAAGAGGGGCATTGTATGACTGTGAATGCCTGTAAATGAACTGCGCAATAATCAACAAATGCTCCTGCACCAGCAAGAAAGAGCCAGCATCCATCCATGCAGTTAAGGGGAGGGTGTAGAAAGAGTTCCTGTGAGCCGCCACCGCCGATTCCCCTTCCACCTAACCCGGGATCCTCTCTCGTGCTCCTCCGCATCTGCACACGGTATCCAGCTGAGGGAAACGTGGCACAGAAGCTTCGAAATCTCTATTCCAGTCTCCTCTCCATCCTCTTTTTCTCTACGAGTCCCCGTTCCTTTCATGCAAAGTAGGCGAGAGAGGGAACTTTCGGGAGAGGAAAGAGAGCGGAAAAGGAAATCTCAACAGGAAAATCCCCCCAGTTTGGGTCAGCCCTCCCGTCCATCCCAGATCCCTGTACCCTTGTAGGCTGTCCTGCCAGCCCGAAATTCCCATCGTCAAATCGTGTCCATGTCCGTCGTTCCTCGTTGAGCAAGAATTGCTATGCCAACTGCCGCTGTCTCTCCGCCATTCCTCATAGTGTCTCTTCATTGGCAGACAAAGACGCGTGAGTTTAGGCCGACTTCGCTTCCTCCTTCTTTCCGTCTAGTTTTGATTCGGACTGAAATTGGGACGGAGAAGCCGCGGGCTTGGCCTCCTCGTCAGGTTTGGCGTTGCTACCAGCCTGCTCCTCCGTCGACGCTTCCTCCACATGTTTCGATTCAGCTTCGGCGGTTGTGCCCGCGGCTGCCGAGGATGGACTCTTAGAGACTTGACTTTCTAGATCCTTGTCTTCATCCGCATTGTCGAACATTTCAGTGTCATCCGAGTCGGTTTGGACCTCGGTGCCGTCGCCAAGGAATATAATGCGGCCTTTGTAGCCGGAAATGCCGAAGCTCCTGCCGCCTTTTAGGTCAAGGTTTGCTTCATAGTCATCCTCGCGATCATCAAAGTTATGATGGACACCAGGCCCTCGGAATTCCGCTGTAATGAGGCACGCCATCGAATCAGCCCTCTCCCCCTTTAAGAAAGTACGACGACGCATTTGCGAAGGAAGCATAGAAAAAGGGAGAAGAAAAAAGAAAAGAAAAGGGAAAGGGTGGGGAGAAGAAAAAGAAAAAAAGGCCATGACGTTGTAGGGGAGCAGATAAGCCGAGCAGTAAGAATAATGTGGGGCATCCGGGCAGAGCACCCGAAGCCAGGATCCTAAGACGAGCTGGAGGATGACGCCGTACCGTATTCGGGAGGAGCGCATGGTCCATCTCCAGCAGCAACCCGCCTGGCGATCTCCTCGTACCACTCCTCCTTGGTTCTACCGCGCAAAAAGCCAATCACTATCATGGTCATGTTGTCGCAGCCGACACCTCCGGTCTCCGAGTTGGAAGCGAGGCAGTTGTCCATCATGTTCTCGCAGATCTTTTCCAGATCTTGCTTGGCCGCAATGCCACGGCGAACAAACTCGACGACGGCTTGAGAGCTCTGGCAGTCCCAGATGCCTGTGGGCAAAAAAAAAGAAAAAAAACGGGTTAGCCTGTACCGAAAACGCGTAAGAACAGGGTGGTCATCGGCTAGGCCTACCGTCGCACGCGAGGACGAGGAATTCATCGTCGTCGGTGATTTCATGAACCTCGACATCGGGGAAAGCGGTGACAATTTGTGCCTCGGGGGAGAGCTCTGCGCTCTTCTTGAATTCGAAATCGCCAATGGCGCGAGACAGGGCCAAGTTTCCGTTGACGCGACCAAAGTCGACAAAGCCCCCGGCGGCGTTAATACGCGACTTCTCGGCTATTGTCATGTGAATAGACGCTCGGGTTAGCCGCGCCCAATCGGCCCAGAACTTGGTAGGGGCAGAACACCGTACCTTCGAGTTGAGGCTTGTGATCTTGCGACAGGGGTTTCGCGCGGCCCTTGATACCGAGAACACTTCTCGAATCGCCAGCATTCGCCTGTTGTCACATGTATCAGTCCAGATCCCCATCATGTTGGGGTGGGGGCGACGAACTATGTAAATCTTGTCGCCCGTAATCAATCCGACGCAGGCAGTACAGCCGGAAACCTCCTCTTCGTAGCGGGGGTCTGTTTAGAGACGTAGGCAAGGCATCAGTTTGGAGAGCGTTCTATACATGTCCCATGGCTTGCACGGCGATCCGCGGCGATTCGCGAAAAATAAAAGGGAGCGGTAGAAAGACGAAAGGAGGGGGAGGAGAGGCAGGCGTTTCGGGCTTTACCGTTGAGAATAGCGCGATCGGTCGCGAGAAAGCCGTCCTTCAACGCCTGTTCGTAGTTGCCCTTTTTGAAGGTATCCTGTTTCGCAACGATCTCATGGATGTTCTCGCCTGCGAATAAAGCCACCTTGTCGCCGCCGTGACCGTCGAAAACACCGAAGAAGGAAATCCTGGATGGATGGTTCTTTGCTTCTTCGCTACCGGGAGGAAGGAGGTCGAGGACGGTGGTATGGGCATCCTCCATGCTTATCCGCCAACCTTGCATGGCGGAGACGCCATAGATGAGCCTGTCATCTTCGCCACTCTCCGATGTCTAAATACCAAAGAGCAGGGATTAGCAATGAGCCTTCAGATATACGGACTCGAGAAAAGGAGAGAAGGGTAGTGCAGGGTGACCTGAAGCAAGTCAACCAGGTTGTGGGGAAGTTATGACATCCATGTGATGGACACTCCCAGAAACAAGGTGAACCATCAGAGCGCTGCGTGACAACACCATGGCATGTGTGATCATACCAAAGTCTGCCTCGGCACCAGTAAAAAGCGCACAAGATTGAAAGATGGGCTTGAAGTGAAGTGACAGAAGGGACCCAGAAACAACGGGGCAGCACAGCACATACCTTCTCGACAACGGGTTCAGAGAGAGTTTGACCCATGGTGTTGAGCAAAGTCCGGCGGCTCAGCTACCAGGGCAGAGGCCAGAGTCGTGTGGAGGTAGGAGGGAAATCGGTTAGACAGTGGTCAAAGTCGAAGACAAAGGTGGCGCAGGTGCAGAAGGGGCCAGGTGGTCGGATGAACTAAGGAAGCCGGGGATGACGAGTGAGAGAGTGTGCAAAGCCGGTTTAGAGAAGGTGTCGGGTAAGCAGGGGAAAATCGAGAAAACAAGAAGAGGAAAAAAAAAAAGGTAGTCGGGTCCAGCAATAGGGTATGGTTCAAAAGAGGTGCTGGTGGGCAGAAATCTTCGTGCTGGGTAGGTGTAGGTAGTCAAGTTCTAGATCTCGCGCGCAGAATTGGCAGGAGCGGGGTATCCGAGCGGCGGGCAAATTGCCCTAGCGATAAGCACTGTCGGTTACTCTAGACGCCAAAGGACCGTTCTGATCAGGAGAAACTGTGCAAGACGGCTTGGGTGAGTGGGAAGTGAAAGGTTAAGAAGGAGGATAGTAAGAAAATCATAGGCCGTGTAAAGAGTACCGTGTGTGGTGAGGTGAAGAAATAATGGAGAGGAGGAAGAAATTTTCACACCTTAGGAGGTTATGAAAGGAAAGGGGGGGTGATGGATGATCAAGGTACTTTGACCTGGCACAGCTGAGTACCTGAGGAAGAAGTAGTGCAGACATGGTGGGTTATGAGCGACGTAGGAGGGAAGCCTAAGGTAGTAGGACTTATTCAAGGTAGGCAGGTATGTGCCCCCGCACTTTCCCCTGGTGCCACGGAGTATATCCCAGCAGGAAACGCTTCTATTAGTATAGAGTACCTCTAGGGTAACTATTCGTAGGTATCAGTTCCTTTTGTCATATTTGTTAGGTTTGGATGAGTGTGTATCCAAACTTTGTTGCCTACTTCGTACTTTCGTGTGTGAGAAAAGCTTCCATAATTCCCCAATACGGAAATCAGCCACCTTACCGTATACATACACATAGACAAATGCTTCCTTACCCCTGAGGTCAAGAAATGGATCTCATAGCCCATCACATCTTAACTTAAGCACGCCATCCAAGCAATATCCTAGCAGCTTACCGTATAGAATCCTACTAAACAGCCAAGGCGTGTTGTGGATAGTCGTTATAGACCTTTTCTGCCCACTGATTAAGATATGCATGGTGTTCTTATAAGGACGATAAAGCCACGTAACAAATCGTCTTTCTTTTGTGGTTATTTTGGAGGGTTTGTCCGTCTTTATCAGTTCATGAGAGACTCCAGGGAAAATGACGGAGTGAGCACGGGATGCACTAGCCAAGACCAGCCAAACTCCAATAAGCTCTGGTCTCGATCCTGGCTCCTGGCTTCTGCACTCTCGAAATTCCGCATCCCTCCATACGGCCCGAGCTCATCATCCCCCGCAGCCCGCAGCCCACAGCCCACAGCCCACAGACACCACGACACTGACGCAGTGTGTGTGGGTAGCGATGAGGTCCCTCAAGGGTTTTCTCGGGTTTTGCTGGTCATTTCCTACGCACAGACCCACGTATTTCCATCGCAGAACGCGGGGTGAATTGCAATTTCCGTCCGACGCTCCAAGGTACAAGTACCGGTTACGAGTACGAAATACCTTAATTACGCCTACACGATACAGCCAGAAATTGGGTAAACCCGAGGAAGAGGATGTTCTCAACGCCGAGGTACGTTATTCTGACGTACGTTGTACATGGGCCTGTACACGAAGCACGAGTCACTAGTCTCGTCTCATTACTCAGTACAGGGGCGTACAGGTATCAGAGCAAGTTAATAAGGTACCTAGATAACAGTAGATACAACCCCGAGTGGCCTGCAGACAGGCTGGCGGACAGGCAGACTAAGGTACGGTACCTTAGGTAATGCAGTGGCCAGAGAGACGGACTGTGGGTATAAGGAACCGCATAACGCAACACGGAGCATCGGAAACAAAAAGAAGAAAAATCACCATTAAAGAAACACAGCGTAGTCCCCTTCACTGTTTTCCCGCCCCAGCGCGGAGAGGCCCTCGTTCTGGCTGTTCCCCTTCCTCGACAAGCTCCTGCACCGCCTCTTCCCCAGAACACCACTATCCTCCCTGTCCAGTGACGACCATACTTCGGTCACCCAGTCCGATACATCAGACTCGCCCTTTGACGCATGTGAGTGTTTGGGAGAAGACTCGTATGTGCCTCTGTTCTCTCCCTCCCCTCCCCGGCTTCCGCCCGGTAACCCACCGTCCTTCATCCACATCCCCGACGGCTGCACCTGGCGAATAGATGAGACCGGTCGCTCCGCCAACGGCTCCCTGTTGCGGGCCGTCTCCCACTTGCTCGGCGACATCAGGGTGACGCTGGAATCGCTATCTTGGGACCCCTCCCTGCCTTCGCTGCCGTCCCTTCGCTCACGCAGCGACACACCTTTGCCCATCCACGTGCTGTACCGCTTATTCTCCCCATGCCCACCCACCGCGGTCGACGGCCTCCTGCGAGACCTGGCCGGTCGCGACACTCGCGACGACCTGCTCGGATAGAACGGCGACTCGTGCACCAGCTCCCGCTCCTGGTACCGTAGCCCGAGAGATTCAGACGGTATGGTCTGCCAGTTCACCGTCCTGCGGACCACCGCCTTGGGTGGAATCGTCTGCCAGTTTTCGTTTTCATCACCCCGAGGTCCTGAACCTGCCGACACCGATCGCACCGATCCCGACAGCAGCGAGGACGACGTATCCGCCGAAAACTGATATCGACGGGGATGGCGCGGCGGCGCTACCGAGCGGCCGCCGAACCAAGGACTGGCATCCGACCGGCGGCTCACGGGCCGCGTACGTGACATGTCGCTCCACCGAGATTGAGACTCGTGCCGTTGAAGTGACTTGGGATCACCTCGCCATTCGCTGTAGCCCGATAAAGTCTCGAAACTCGGCTGCGATATGGCGTCGCTGTCGCTGTAGACTCTGAAACCCCTTGGACGGCTGCCGAGGGGAAGCTTCCTGGCGTACGTCGGGTGGGATCCTAGCGGGCTTGATCGTTCAGGAATACACGAGAGTGCGTCGGAACTGGCCGCCGCAGACAGGGCCGGAATGTCAACTTCATTGGCTTGTGAAGACCCCTCAGGTTGTTTGCTTTTGTCGACTGCCTGAGCGGTCCCTCCCATCGGCTGGAAGCTCATGCTAAGATCGTCTGCGGAAGGGATGGTGACGTCCAATTTGCCCCGAAAGGAGCTCTCTGTTTGGTTGCGGGAAAAGGGCGGGTTGGATGCAATGTCGCGCATGCTGTCGTACAAGCTCAGGACAGAATAGCGGCTCCGCCGTTGTGACAGGCGGTTCCTACTTGGCTCCCCGGCGATGTCCTCTCCGGTGAGCCACGAGTTTTGTGCGCCAGGCAGGGTATAATAACCAACAGAAGGTAGTTTGGGCAAAGTAGGGGGTTCTTGCGTGATACTGGGCTGGGAGCCGCCGTCTAAGCTCGACGCCACCGAACGTGTCGATCTGAACCTCCGCAAAGCAGCACGCCAATACCCCATTTGACCCGGTCGATTTGCGGCTTCGGGAGGCGGGATGGCTCCGTGAGCCTTCGCGGACCTGGCGTCGTCATACAGGCTGCCGTTTTCGACGAAGCTCCCAGGAACGGGACGGGAGATGTCTTGGCCCTGGATCTTCCGAAACTTGCGTTCCCGTCTTCGTCGGAGACATAAGAGCAACAGCACTAGAGATGCGATGACGATGATTGGGACCAGCACGGCCAGCATGATTTGTTCAGCACTCAAGCCAGGGCCGAGAGTCAATCCAGGCTCGGAGTCGGAGCTCTCGCTCTCTGTTGGAGTTTCGGAGGCCGTAGGAGCGATGGTTGGGGTCGAAGTAGACGTGGTGGAGGACAGATCGGCGGGCGAAAGCACGCCTAGGCGTACGACTTCTGTTTCACTTTCACCAGAGCTTCTCTCGGTCGCACGTAGAGTGAGCTGAATGGTGTCGCCTTGACTAGACGGCACTGGCGGCGTACCCGATATGACAAGTCCGTCGAGTTCGATCCAGTCTTGAGAGGGGTCCGTTTCGATTTCAAGAAAAACATCCTCGGGCCTCCAGAGATACGGTTCTAAATCGAGAGAGAAGTCTTCTGTGGCCGTAGCTTCCAAGTCCGAAACTGTCCTTCGGAAGATATCAGTGGCGATAGTGACGACCATCTGAATGCTGAGGGTATCGGACAAGGAATTTTGGAGGATGATAGTAGAGTTGCTGGATCGGGCATCAGTCGGGGGTCTCCCTCGAATCTCCAATGTAGACTCGTCTACCGACAACCACTCAGGCATATTCTCCGTCAAGACGGTGAGCTCAGCTGGATTGACCGCCTCCCCATCCAACTCGATTTCGTCCCTGAGACCACGGTGGGATATAGATGCTCCTCGTGTAGCGTTCAGTCTCACGACTGGATCGGCCATGGTCAATTTGCGACTGCCGACGACAAGGGAGAAGAGTACATAGGCGGCAGAGAAGCCCTCCACGTCGGAAGCGACAAGATGAAAGCTGAAGGTCTGTGGAGGTTGGATGAGGTTCTCGAACGGCGGTGTCTGGCCGGAGAAGGTCAAGTTGCCGGCATCGAACAGAATCCAGGACGGTAAAGGACTGCTATCGGCGGACGTAGCGTAGTAGTTGAGAGGACCCGGGGGCGAGAACGTGTCTTCGGCGAATGTGAAGGAAAAGGGGGAGGACGGATATGATACCAAGGCGTCTGGAGCTGCGCGGTCGCCAAAGTCCCGTATTTGCTCCGACAGGGGAATGGCGACTTCAGGGGCACGGTTTCGAGATACCACGAAAGTTGCGGTCATGGTCTCCGAACCAGAGTCATCTGTGGCGATAATGTCGACGGGTATCCCGACGACCTCCCCATCGGGTACATCCTCCTCTTCCGGCGTCCCGTACAGATGCCCGGTCTGCTCATCGATAGACAGCCATCGTGGACCGTCGTTCAAGCTGTACGTGATGTTGGATTCCGAGAAGAATGTCTGCGGCGATAGGGTGTAGGAGAAGACTTTGGCTGTCCTAGCAACGGGAGGCAATTGAGAATTGAAGGGGAAATAGACCGACGGTCGACTAGATGCGAGACTGACAAGACTCAAGGTCGTCAAGATCAGTAAGCTCGACGCCATGGTGAGCTCCCAGGACAGAAGCGAAAGCACAGACAGCACTGCTGTAGGTGAGAATATGCAAGGTAAGAGCAAAGCGTTTCCAAAGGAGTACGAATGGAAGAAGCAAAAAGGGGAAGAGAAAGCCGTCTGGCGGCTGTATGAATCTAAGGGTCTCGAGGAGAAAACTAGAAAGCAAGCAGACGAAGACAACCGAGGACAGACGAGAGCATCGTCAGTGTCACCCATGTCGCAGGGACAAGACAGACAACTTGGCTTTGGAAGACAACGACACGTCCGGGAGTGAATATGTCTCCCTACGCGCCGAAGCACAGAAAGTACGAGCAGGCGCGAGCCTCCTTCGACCCGTCATAGCCACCCGTTGCAGAATGAGCGTCAGTTTAGCCCATGCCAGAAATGCAAAGGCATTGTATTCTGCGGCGGCTGTTAGGGAATCTGACACGGTGAGGGTTGGGATCCGTGTCGAGAGCATTCCAGTGGTGTCTCCTCTCGGCTCGGAGGGACTCGAGGGAGGTCGGGTCAGACATGGCCACTTTTTGCAGCGGCTGCTGGGTATGAGCGACAAGAATGAATACAATATGGTTTCTCTGGGTGGAATTTGCCAGCCCGTGAATAATTTTTAGTTGCAATGGATGCAATGGATGCAATGGAAGCGCTTGGTTGTAGACAACATGGAGGTGACAGCGACGTTATTGGAGTCCGACGTCGATCGAGGAAGATATTCGAACTGGAAGAGAGACAGGCACAGGCACGGATACAGGGAGTAAGTACTTTGGTACGAGATAAGATGTACAGACCGCTGCAGAATCCACGTGCATTTTTGCGTTATCGCCCGGGCCCAAAATCGCAACGTAGTAACTAGGTATCGGGGTCCCAAAACCCCCTCTGAAAACTATCTCTTTTCACATACCGCTAAAAGTCTCCCTTCTTCTGGGAGGGGGCCAACAAAAGCCCTCGAATCTTCCATAGGGGGTACGAGGAAGATAATGGCCTATCGTGACGTGAGTCATAGAGGACGGGAGGGAGCTGTCGCCCCCTTTGATTGAAATCGGCTCATCCGTCACTTTTGACCCCTTTGGCCTTCAGTCAAAAATTCTCTCACAAAAGAACAACCTCAACTCATGTCCATTACCGGTCAATTACTCGCCCGCCTTTCACTCTGTGTTTCTCGTTTTTTCACATAGTTACCGAATGTAGACACAAAACCAACAGGAAACTAACAAAAGTAAGACTTAAAAAAAAAAAGAGAAAAAAAAAAAAAGAGATAAACAGCAGCAGCGTCGACGCCGTGAATTCGTCCCTAGTCGTCCCCAACGAAACCCGATAGGCCAACAACAGCGTGATGAAGATCCCTGAGAGCCCCTTGATAATTGCGGAGGCCATGGACTCCAACGGACTCAAAACCTCTCCCTCCCCCGAATTTTCACCCTTGGCGTTGGCCGACGATCTCGCGCCGTTGCCCGAGTACAAGGCAGCCCAGACGTCCAGCTTTGACATGTCGGGTCTTCTGTCCAGTCCCCTCCGGCTGCACGAGGACCTCTCGTCAGGTTGCGGAGGGCAGACTTGGCCGGCGGGGATGGTCTTGGCCAAGCACATGCTACGGTATCACAGGTGTGATCTGCGTGACGCGAGGATGTGAGTTTTTACACTTACATATCCCTCCTTCCTCCCTGTCCTGTCCTGCCGATGCCCTTGAAAACGAACATATAAGCATCCAAGCCCTTTCCGTTTCGTAGTACTGATGCGGTGAATGGACGAACAGATTAGAACTCGGCGCGGGTGGTGGCCTTGTTGGTCTCGCCGTCGCCAGCGGTTGTCAGCTACAGAACCAGTCGACGTTTCTGCTCACCGACCAAGAGGAGATGTTCTCGCTTATGAAGTACAACATCGCCTTGAACAACCTCCAGGATAGAATCAAGCCAATGATATTGAATTGGTACGTTTGATGCCCCGCAAAAAGCCTTTGCCGAGACGCTGTGCTCACGCATGGGAAACTCGCAAGATTGGTGCTGGCCTGGTGCCGCGAGTACATCTGTTCTATCCATCTCCCTACCTCAAGTGTCTGCTAACCGCTCGCCACGTGGCTACCTTAGGGGAGAACCTCTTCCGCAGGACGTCGTGGACATGAAACCCAATGTCATACTGGCGGCTGACTGCGTCTACTTCGAGCCGGCTTTCCCGCTCCTGCTCGATACTCTGTCCGCTCTGTTCGCGCTCAACGCGGATGCCGTGGTCTATTTTTGCTTCAAGAAGAGAAGGCGCGCCGATATGCGCTTCCTCAGCAAAGCCCAGAAGATGTTCCGGGTAGACCAGGTCTTCGACGAGGACCGGCCCGTATTCAGCAGGGAGAGTCTTTTCCTGTTCACGTTTCGAAGTAAAAAGGCCACCCAGCTGCAGTGAATTGGTGATTACCGAATAGAAAACGGACATTGCGTGGTCTGTCTGTCGTCTCTCGCTGGGGTTTTTGAAGGAAACGTGATGCTGAAACTGGTTCTCATGGGTGCATGTCTGACAGCTGACCGACCAACGACCTCCGACCTTCACCCCATCTTCATGCGACAGTGGTTGGTTGCACAGCGACTATTGAATTCCTTTGAAACAAGTTTGCCTGACCGCAAGAGATATGCTTCAAATGATGAACAGGACTCCCGACTGGAGCGGCTTTCTTTGGGGTCGGTACCACTGCTCAGACCCAGGTATCACAGATGTCGGTCGGGTTTGTCACACACGCTCGAGCCCCAGTGTCTTTTCTTCATAAAAATAGGTAAGAAAAGATAAGACAAAGGCTCATGGCGGCGGCGGGTATTGTATTCCTTCAACTGGCCAATGCAATAAATGGATGTTTCTTTGCGTTTGTTCATGGTAATCAAGTCGTCCAGACGCTTCGCTTTGATTTACAGTTCCAGTGAGTAAGGTGCCTAGTACGAACTGATTACCGCGTATATTTTGTACTCCGTACTCCATATGTCCGACAAGTCGACGTGTTCGTCAGCTAATATTCGTAAAAGTATTACTTACTGCAGGACGACGGGGTAAGAGGAAGTTCTGGAAGTGTTGTCGTGGTTGAATTTTAAAAAGCCGGGTTGCGCTAGTCAGGGACAAGTGCAACGTTCGTTGGCGACAGGCGTGGTGCGTGGTGAGTGGTGAATTGTGGGTGGTGGCGGCGGCGGTGACAGGTACCGGTAAGAAAGAGCCTCAGAATTTTCAGCGCAACAGACCGTTGACTGTTGGGAGTTGGTCACTGTAAAATAAGTAACTCCGTACACTGTACGCACTGTGAGTGAGCTGGCAACCCACTGTGCAGAGGAAGCGTGCTAACCCGAATTGACCCAAGGCACGGAGGATATGATTGGGCCGTTCCTGGTGCCTTGCATGGTCGGATGCAAGGAACGAAAACGTCCTCCCGCCCCCACCAACTCAAGATTGTTCAAAAAGAAACGGGCAGTGACATTTTGGTCACCGAGGGATGCTTATAATTAATAATGACTGAGCAACCACCTCTTTCTTCGTCGATTTTTCGCAGTCTCGAGGTTACCCAATACCAGCAGCCGTTGGATGCCACAACTTTGCTTCTGTGTCGTTGTTTCGAAACCGTTAGCAAGATTGAAGCCGGTTCATCCTATCTAGACCCCACGACCTCTGCACTAGCATCCCTCTCCCTCACTACGTCCCAGGTCGCAGATTTTGGTTGGAGGTGAAGGTATCCTCGACGACCTGGAGGAGTTCTCACTCGATCAGTCACGTTGTTTAAGCTGTCCATCTATCTAACCTACCGACTACTGTGATTATTGCCTGGATAGTATCCACATAGAATGCGAAGCAGCTCAATTCATGTTCGTAGGGTTATTCTGGATACCCGAGTCGGCGGACGAACCATTCAAACCATCCACTCCGTTTCGTTGGAATTGACCCCAAGCATCTCGTCTCCTTGCTTTCCTTCATTGCCTTGCGTTCTCCTCCATCTCAAACAGTGTCTTTCGGCGGCAGTTGAGTTGCAAAGGGCGGAGTCCCACCCACCTATTCGCCTTTTTTGTGTGTGTTGCTTTTGTCGGAACGAATCTTGTCGGCATCTTTTGTCCGTACGGTATTGCTTCGTACCTTACGAAGTACCTTACGTTGGATGACACCTAGGTACCTTAGGTACGTACGTTGTGCATACAAATACAATGTAGAACCCCCCAGACCCCTGTCCAGAAGGACTCGAGCCTCAATTCTCTCTTCGCCCATTCGCTGGGGGTCCGTTGTGTTGTTCCCTTCTCCACACACACCTCCTTTACCATCTTTACCATCATCCGTCCATCCATCGGCTTCATCCACATGAATCAATGGGTCTAGGTGCCTTACGTGCGGGCTTTGACCCGCCTGCGCCCCAGCTGTACGAATTGGGTCCTAGCAACTGGGGCTGTTTCCACCTCTCTCACCTGTTTGGGCGCACTTTCGCCATAAAAATTCCCTCCCCATGTCTTCGCTTCGCTCTCTTCCCTCCTTCGCTCCCTCTCTTTCTCATATCAAGACCATCACAATCCGTTCCTTCTTTTCCACAGCTCTTGAGCAGGCTCATTCACTCGCCGGCCGGTCAGAATTCATTCTTTTTACATACGTATCTGCTCAGGCACCCCTGTCATCACTTCGGCCTCTCTCCTTCTGAAACTCCATCCGCCGATTTCACGTTCCCTGAACATTCCCAATATCATCTCGGCTTGAGCCAGCTCAGCCCCAGATTTGCATTGACAACTTGCATTCCTTGACTTGGAACCTGCTCAGACAACCCCCAGTTTACTCCTTCTCTTTGAACCCTTCCTCAGCGAGGAACAGCATACCATCCGAATTTTACACAGTCTCCTTCAGACGACCATCGCAGATCTTCGTATACGCCCCAACCACCTACTACGGGTTACGCCCTACGAACCACAATGAAGACCGCTGCCGCCCTTCTCTGCGCCGCCCTGGCTACCACTGCCATCGCCCAGCCTCACCATCATGACATCGGACGTCGCCATGTCCACGCGAACCACGCAAAAAACGCCAAACGTGCCCTGGTCACCGAATGGGTCACCGAGACGGCCTACGTGACCGAGTACTACGATTCCACCACCACCGTCTGGATCACCCCTGGTGCCGAGCCGTCCAACAGTCGGGACGCTCAGTTCTTCGAGCCGGAGCTGTCCAGCCCTTCCCCCACACCCTCTCCTTCGCCTCAGCCTGAAGCGGAACCCGAGCCCGAGCCCGAGCCCGAGCCTGAACCTGAGCCGGAGCAAGAACCAGTTCACGTACCGGAGGAGCCGGAGTCGGAGCCTGAACCAGAGCCTCAGCCTCAGACGCAACCTCAACCGGAGCCCGAACCCGAACCGGAGCCTGAACCCGAGTCAGAGCCAGAGCCAGAGCCAGAGTCAGAGTCAGAGTCAGAGCCCCAGACCCCGCCGCCTTCCAACGCCAACGGAGGTGGTCATAGTTCCAACAACCACGCCGTCGACAGCGGCAGCGTCCCCGGCAACGCTCACACCGGCGACCTGACCTACTTCGACCTCGCCCTGGGCGCCTGCGGCCTGGACGATTCCGGCAAGGACGAAACCCACAACTTCGTCGCCCTCTCCCACCTCATGATGGGCACGCGGTCCAACGACAACCCCATGTGCGGCGAGACCATCACCATCCGCGCCAACGGCAAGGAGGTCACCGCCGTGGTCCGCGACAAGTGCATGGGCTGCGCGAGGGAGGACATTGACGTCTCCAAGGCCGCCTTCCTCGCGCTCTTTGACGAGCTCACCTCCGGCCGCGTCAAGGTCTCTTGGTGGTTCAACTAGAGCTTTCTCGCTCCTCCCCTCAGACAGACCGCTTCGCAAAAAGAAACTTGGCCTGCCTTGCCTTTTTCTTTTTTTCTTTCTTTCCACGTACACAGAACACACCTCGGATCACAATAAAGGGGGGAACGGGCGCTAAATTGGACAAGTCTATAAGAGACGAACGTCCGCTTTGACGATTGATGACTGGGGTTTTACCATTCGCTTCCTGGGGTTTTGGGTTTCTTTTCTATCTTCTGATACCAAACATTAAGGGGGGGGTTCTTATGGCTTGGGGATTCTTGAGATCTACTTGGCCGGCTTGGTGTCTGACTTTCTACACGGACCAAAGGGGAAAATCGGGAAATATATAGAGTCGTAGACATTCTGTGTACATATACAGATCCACCCGCAACGTAGCCTGTCATAACGACGGGCTTCTGTGCCGGGCACAATTCAAGAAACTTTTTCAAACCACAACGCTGAGCACACATTAAGACGTGGGGGGACTCATGTGGGGGACTTATCAGTCATCTACGACAAGGTAGTGTTGTACGGCTAAAATACCGCTCCGGGCAGTCGGTAACAAATCTGGGTATCATGTTGGAACAAACGCCTCCGGGAAATCATCGACCCATGCCTGTCATTTCCACATCATCCTCATAGCTTTCCTCGTCTTCATAATCATCCTCGTCGTCATCATCATCATCATCGTCGTCGTTGTCGTCGTCCTCATCATCGATGTCCTCAACATCTTCATCCCTGCCAAAGGCCCGACGATGACGTGAATAATTCCGGGCAGTATCTTCTTCCATATGGCCATCGTATTCTGCCTCCACCACCCCCGACTCTTCCAAGTCAGCCCACTTTTCAGGAGTGGGAGTAGAAACGTCCTCGAACCCTTCCTCCAATGTTGCCTCAGCGGGGCCACCCCTCATGGCAGCGATCCAGCCCAGACCTCGGCTCCGTCCCCGTTCAGAGCCCCGCGCCCTCTTGCTTCCCCGACCAACAGCAGCATCGCCAGGCCGCGAATCCGGGAGCGGCCTCCTCCGCTTCCTCTCGTCGCCGCTCAAGCCGGCGTCCCAGCCAAGACCCCTCGTCCGCGGTCTACCGCCCCTCCAAGGCGCCCGCCGCCTCCTGGTAGTCCCCATCTTCCGCTCGTCGTCGACGGGGCCCTGCGCATACACGGTGACGCGGTCCTTCTCGCCCTTCTTGACCTTGACCGCCATGAGGTCCTCGAGGAACCGCGTCTGGCCGGCCCGCTCGCCCGTCTTGTCACTCCAAATGGGGATCCGGATGCCTTGCGCGCGCTTGATTTCGTGGAAGCGGTCGTGTTCGGGCTGCTGCGCCTCGGCGCTCTGCTTCGGCACGAGTTTCTTCTCGGTCGCCACGATGCGGGACCAGCTCGCCGCGAGCAGGTCCACGTCGCCGGGCAGCGTGCGGAGGGACGGGAGACGACGCTTGTCGTAGGGGGAGGTCTGTTCGGTGAATAAGAGCTCGGTGCCTAGGACGCGGGCCCAGGAACCCTCGAAGACGCGGTTGCGGTAGTGAAAGATGGGGTGCTCGGAATGGAGGTCCAGGATCTGGATTTCCTCGTCGTCGGCTTGGAGGTCTTCTTGCGGCCCCTTGGGAGGCTCTTCTTCTTCCGGTTTCTTCCCTGAATTAGGGATGCCAGGCTGCGGCGACTTTCCCTGTTGACCTGGTATTTGCTGGCCTGCCGCTTCCTCGTCCTCCTCGTCTTCGGGCTCGGGCAAATGAACGTCGTCAGCATTGTCCTCGTCGTCGTCCGAGTCGATGCGATGATGTGTCATCTCCGGTACTTTCCGGGATCCCGTGTTCAGCCAATTCTTCATCTGGTGCCCGCCTCTTGAAGATACCGGGACTCGGCGTGGTCGCTGAGAGAATTCGGGAATCGAAAAATCAACTGTTAGGTAGTAGGTCTGGAGCTTGTCAGGATACTGCGAAGGACGGGCGTACGATGACTCGGAAATGGGATACCGGGTGGTTTTGACGTACTTCGGTTTCAGTATTGGAGTATTCGTACACCCATTCGTCTTCATCGTCGCATTCTGTTGGTGGGGGTACGGAGCTTGCTGGCAGTGGTGCTATGTTCGGGGATGTTGTTGAATTGGCACCAGGTACGAGAGACGTTGTTGCAAACAACGATGTGGTGTTGGGAGGGTCGAACTCCATGGGGCCGGATGAAGAAGGCTCGTCCATCCTTATGGTCGTGTGGGTTCTGGAACCAAAATTGGCCCAGAACAACTCGAACCTCTTGGTGGGAGCTTAGGCGGATGACGTCGGGATGGAATGGGATGTTGAAGTTTGACGGAGTATCCGTATAATTAATCGGGAGCTTCAGCGAACTTTGGTTGTACTTCGTAACTCGTATGATGAGAGATAAGATAAGACCAAGGTTCGTTCTAGACGCATGCATAATTCGTGTCTGGAGTTGTGAGAGCATCGCCCCACTGCGTCGTAAGTACACCGTACGAGCCACAAGCATTCGTATGAAGTCTGTGCTCCGTACTCGGTACTATCACGTCGAGGGCCCCCTCGTCCATTGCCCCGCTATCGCGACTATCTCCAGTGTCTGGAGGGGTACCTTAAATTTCCCATCTCGAACATCGACAGCTTCTTTGAGTCACAGAGTAAAAAAGAAGTAGGCGCATACTTATCAAGCACACACAAGACGTACTCATAAACTGGATAACCCGATCTAGAATATTCAGATTCAAGTTACGTCTATTTCCCTTTTTGTTTTTTTTCTCCTTTCAATAATCACACCGACGTTCGACCTCGGACCCATTCACAATGTCGACAGTCCACCTGCTGGACTATGTCGCGGGCAACATCCGCAGCTTGGTGAATGCGATTGAGAAAGTGGGATATAAAGTCGAATGGATTCGATCGCCAGAAGATGTACCATCAGCAGAGGTTTGTCATTGTCCACACTTCCTCTTCCAGTCCTATTCGTGCCTCTGTCCATTGACTGTTTTTTTTCTTTCTTCTTCTTCTTTTTTTCTTGCAGAGATTGATCCTCCCCGGTGTCGGCCACTTTGGCCACTGCCTTAATCAACTCGCCCAGGCTGGCTTCCTCCCTGCAATTCAAAAACATATCGAGTCCGGAAAACCTTTTATGGGAATCTGCGTCGGACTACAAGCCCTTTTCGAAGGCTCCAGTGAGGACCCCGGTATCCCTGGTCTGGGCCTCATCAAGGGCAAACTGAATCGCTTCGACGACACCGCCAAGGCCGTACCACATATCGGATGGAACAGCGCATTCACCAACGGTGCCACCCTCTACGATCTACGACCTGGGTCCAAGTATTATTACGTCCATTCGTTCAAGTATCCCTACAAAGCTGGAGAGCTAGAGAGCCAAGGCTGGACCGTGGCAACGGGCACATACGGCTCTGAAACCTTCGTCGGAGCAGTGGCCAGGGGGAACGTCTTCGCTACGCAATTTCACCCGGAGAAGAGCGGTGTTGCTGGCCTCCGCACTCTCAGGGCATTCCTGACCGGCGAGGGCGCATCTGCCCTGGCCGTGCCACCAGGCAGCGAAGGGACGGCCATCCCACCGGCACCCGGCAACGTGACCTTCGAGGACGGCTTGACACGGCGGGTCATCGCCTGTCTCGACGTCCGCACTAATGATCAGGGAGACCTCGTCGTCACCAAGGGCGACCAGTACGATGTGCGCGACAAGAGCGAGGGTGGCAACGTCCGCAATCTCGGCAAGCCCGTCGAGCTAGCCAAACGCTACTACGAGCAAGGCGCCGACGAAGTGACCTTCCTCAACATCACTTCGTTCCGCGACCTACCCCTCGCCGACCTCCCCATGCTCGAAATCCTCCGCCTCACATCCGAGACGGTCTTCGTACCCCTGACCATCGGGGGCGGCATCCGCGACGCGGTCGACACGGACGGCACCAAGGTCTCGGCCCTCGAGATCGCCACCATGTACTTCAAGTCGGGCGCCGACAAAGTCTCCATCGGCTCCGACGCCGTCCTCGCCGCCGAGGAATACTACGCCGCCGGCGCCCGCCTCTTCGGAAACACAGCCATCGAGCGCATCGCCCGCGCCTACGGCAACCAGGCCGTCGTCGTCTCCGTCGACCCGAAGCGCGTCTACGTGCCCAAACCCGACGCCACCCGCCACGCCACTATCGCCACCAAATTCCCCGGCCCCAAGGGGGAGACCTACTGCTGGTACGCCTGCACGATCAAGGGGGGCCGCGAGACCCGCGACGTCGACGTCGTCGAGCTCGCCCGCGCCGTGGAGGCCATGGGCGCCGGCGAGATCCTGCTCAACTGCATCGACCGCGACGGCACCAACTCCGGGTTCGACCTCGAACTCGTCAACCAGGTCAAGGGTGCCGTCCGCATTCCCGTCATTGCGTCCAGCGGCGCGGGTCACCCCAAACATTTCGCCGAGGTGTTCGAGCAGACCCCGACGGATGCCGCGCTTGGCGCTGGGATGTTCCATCGTGGAGAGTACACCGTGAAGGAAGTGAAGGATTTCCTGGCTGAGAAGGGTCTCAAGGTCCGGCAATTTGAGGGTGAGTTTTGAGGAGTGATACCATTTTCCCTCGAATAATGGATTTTGGGGGTAGTATAAAAAAAAAAAAAGGAAAGAAAGAAAGAAAGAAACCCAAGCAGTTGGGTCTTTACAAAGAACATGCGAAAGGGCAGTCACTTTGCGGGCGGTGACATGGGATTAGAAAAAGGAAGCATGGAGTTTTGCGACGATATCGATTTCTGCGTTTGCCCTAGATCGAACAGAACTTTTCTCCTGCGGGTTCTCCTGTGTCGCATTCTAAAACTACATAATAATGCCTTCCTCCCACAGGGTACTATGATTTTGATCGGGAGGGTGCACCGATTGCACATGAAAAGAAAAGTCAGAGAGAGGCGCTCGTAAGCTTGCTGCCCTCCTGTCCGACACCGAGAAGAAATGGCGGTTGCGAAAAGAAGAAAAATATAAGAGAGAACAGAATAGACAGGTAATCGAGGAAGCAAATCCGTCAACTTAAAACGCCAGGCAGCCGATTTGGGTCTGCTTTGTGCATGTAAAAAAAAGGAGAAGAAATAAAAACTACAATTCCATTGCCATAAACAGCCATTCTTCGCTCGTAACGTCCATGCTGGCCCAAGGACGAAGCGTCGTGAGGTCGAAACCAACCCACTGCAAACTCTTCATGAACCCCTTCGTTTCAGGTTCCGGTATGCGGCGGTCAAGACAGACAACGATACGCTGGCAATCGAGCGCACCGTCGGCCAAATCGATCAAGGCCATGAGGCTGCAATCTGCAAGTTAGTGTATTGCTCCAAATCAGAACAGAATGTAAAAGAATAGATTAAGACATACGCCTGCTTCAAATCGGCATCGACAATGTTCCCATCGAAAAAGACGAACAAAGTCTTGTCATGACCGTCATCGGTTACGAACGCACGGAAACTGGCGCCGGCCTCGAAGTCCCAGATCTCGAGCCAGGCAGTGACGGCAGGAGCGGGAGCACCCTTGTCCGTCAGGATGCCGTCCCTGGCGTCCCTGCCTCCGAAGCGGCGGGCGAGGGACGACTCGTCGTCGACCGGCGGCGTTTGTAAAGTATAAGCACCCATCAGGCCGGGGGCAGTCGAATCCGTGCTCATCTCACCATGGAACACGGCCGACATGCGCTCACAAAAGAATCTCTCACATTCTTCCCTGATCGATAGTGCTGCCCCCCCTCGTCGGGCTATCCTCTTGCCGGGAATCTCGCGGCGTTTGTTACTGCTGCTGCTGCTGCTGCTGCCGCCGCCGGTCTTGGGCAGCAGAGCGAGCTCGTTAGAGGAAGTGAAGGCGACGAGGGGGGGACTTGATGGAGGGGATGGTACGCCTGAGGAAGGGACCTCAGGAATACCACTCTGCCCCTATTCACGGCAAAAACACAAATACCAGATCAGTAAAGCGGTCTTCATACTGATGATAGCATGGTAGCGGTCGCGAATGCCCGGTCTGGGCGAAACTTACCGGCAGCCCCGGTAGTGCAGTAGTGGAGACCCTTCAGAGTGCCGACAGTGTCGACAATGTAGCAGCTGGCAAGGACATTGGCCTGACGGACAATGGCCTCGCCATAATTACTACTCGATTGATTCCTCGTGAATTTCATTGGCGACATTTTTGCTTTGGATTCTCAAAGATTTCGGGTAGGTGAAATGGTCGTCTCAGGTCCGGAATCTGATGGGCGGCGGGGAAGGCGGATGGTGGCGAGAAACCTGGTACGTGAGTTATGCAAAAAGCAACAAGTATGGCTGATTGTCCGGACAAGTCGAAGTACTTTAGATACTGAACTCTAGGGTTCTTTGGTTGTTTACGTCGATTCAACGGAGCTGATGGAGTGGCAGAGGATTGATGGTGATCAGAGTTGGGATGATGAGAAAATTGGCGGAGAGAAAACCGTCACTGGAAAATGGGCGAGAATATAAAGAAGAAGAAAAAAAGAAGGACAAAGAGAAGGTGCGGTCAAGTCGCATACCTTATGGTGAATGGCTACTTGAGGAGTGGGACATGGACCGTGCACCAGGGTATTATTCACCGGCCCAGGTGACCGCTTTCTAGCGGGGATTCGTGTGTGTTGGGCCGACATGGAAAATCCCGCTAATTGGGTGGTCGGTCGTTTGAAAGGTGCCTTTCCCGAGCACGCCGAGGGCATTGGAGTTCTCGATTGGATAGTCGATGAAGAAGACTATTAATGCCAGATCTTCAGGATGGACTTGGATCTCCGTAGAAATCGCCCGTTCATTCTGAAAAGAATATAGAGACCACCTCGGTCGCCTCCCGTCGAACGAGAGACAGTCACTAGTTCAAAGCAGAAATACTGTGTCATTGGCGAGCTGTAGTGTATGTATAATTGCTAAAATATGTAGGATGCTATTTTGAACCTTTTCATCGGTCTATTTATTGCACATGTTAAAGATGTCCGAATTAACCGCTGTTGATGTGTTGGTCCTCTGTTTCACCGTACAGGTACCTCAGTCTTCGCTTCATCCCTGGCACCCCATCCATTTGGGCCTGGTGGTCCCACTCGCTTGCAGATGCGGGGGTGACGGTTTCCTGTCAACCTTGCGATAAGACAAACCGACTTGGCCAAAACTTGCCTACCTCAACTAAGGTAGCTTGACAAACTGGATACCCCGTCTTAACCAGGGTGTCAACGCCGAGCCTACAGATAAGGGTGTTAAAAGGGCCTTCAAAGCTTCAAAGAAGGGGATATATACAATGGTCTTGAATCTCAGTGGTTGTGAATGGGACGAATTCTCGGCGGTAAGATTTCTAGAATCCTGTCAGAAGACGAAGAATGGAAGTGGAAAGGTAAAACAAATAATGTAGCTGATTAATCCGATCACGCAACCCTGGAGACGGGAAAAGCAGTTTCGAGGCTATCCCAGGACGGATCTCATTATTAGGTACCGTGCTCGTACTCCGTACTTAACTTGATATGAAATCGTTCTGGTTGATTGCCTTCCAGGTGCCCATCCACGAACACAATGGAGGTATTAAATACTCAGTAGCACCAGCTCCCCTCGACTGCAAACGATGATGTCAATATGAGTACCGCCAAACCCTAACTGCAATGCTCTTGGGACATTCTCGCCCAGCCAGTCACTCACTTATCGTTTGATCGGTATTGAGCCGTCTGGACACCATCATCTATCCGTCTTTGCTCCGCTGAATTGCATGAGACCGCATCCAACCTCAGACAACCCGAATGCCACAGAATGAACGGAGTAATGTAATGCCATACAATTTACCGCACTCCGTGCCTAGGGATTTGCCATGGCCAGGTTACGATCCAGTTTCCTAACCTCGTCCCAACCTCATCCCCCAATATCTTCTCTCCGCATGGAATTAATGTCACTCACGTTGGACAGCCCGCCGTGTAGTTCTCCGCACCGCGTCCCGTTTTTCTTTGTCCTTTCCCTATCCTGACTTAATACAAAGTAGTGACACCCGGCACTTCCCCCCCTCTCGTGTCGGGCCACTTTAACTGCGGTTTCCGGCCAACATACCTTCGGTACGAAGGAGTACGGATGACACCATCAGTACCTTCCTTACTTATCTTTCGCCCCTGTACCTTTCATAGCGCGCACCTTTTAAGGCTGATAGTTATTGATTCTCTTGAGGTATCAACAACCTGCTTCTGACTCGGGTACATATACCTACTTTGGTGCCTACCTTACCAGGTTGGAGTGCAATGGGACAGTCAGGTCCCCTCCCTAAGGTATCCCTTGCTCGTGCCGGCTTTCTCGGTCATTCACGGCATTGCCCGACTAAGGTAATAGCAACTAAGAGCCAGGCGTGACCTTTTCGACCCTTCACCTGACCACCGGTAGATATCTTACACATCTACTCTATACCTTACCTTACCAGCCCCCTTGATCGCTCGTGATTCAGTATCTCTTGAACATATAGCGTCGCGACTTGGATCAAAAGGGGAAGCGCCCCAGACGTCTCAAGACGTTCCCTGAGACTCGCTATCGTTCATCGTTCCCAACATGGCGTTCAGCGCATTGTCACCAGGTCCTTCGCGCTCGAGTTGGACCTGGAGTTCGACCTCGAGTTCGACCTCGATTTTCTCATCCTACCTCCTCCCCACCTTCAAGCTCCCCTTCCGACGACGCCGTTCGACCAACACATCCTTGAATTCTGATGTGCCGTCCCTGAGCAGCTCGCCAACTCCCTCCGGTACGGGCTCCGCCGGGGACTCCCCGCCTCCCTCGCCACCGTCCTACCTCAACGCCGTCTCGGACGACAAGTGCCGTCCGACCACCCCAGTACCCACCCGGCGTCTATCCCGCGCCGCTCCCGACACCCTCCGCTGCTCCAACTGCTCCCGCGACATCGCCTTCCTCTCGCAGATCATGAGCAAGGGCTTCAACGGCCGCCACGGCCGTGCCTACCTCGTTTCTCCCTCGCCGCCCGCCTCGTCCCCGGGCCACTTCTCCCTCTCTCACGACGACCAGGATCGGGGTACGGCCAGCGGCCACAAATTACTCAACATTTACATCGGCGCTTCCGAGTCGCGCCAGCTCGTGACCGGGTGGCACACCGTGGCCGATATCACCTGCACGGGATGCGGGGTCAAGCTGGGCTGGAAGTATATTGACGCCCAGGACCCTCCGCAGTACTACAAAATCGGCAAGTTCATTCTCGAGGCGCAGCGCGTGTCTGCGTTTCATTCTTGGGAAGATGTCGGTGTCAACGTCGATGGCGCTCACGGCTTTGATCGTTCGGCGAACCGCTCTGGGGAGACGCGTGCCGAAGATAATGTAGTCTTTGACTCGGACGACGAGGATGAGTGCGAGGATATCTTTGCCGGCGTCTGGGACCCTGTGAACGTCGCATACAGGCGGGGTCAGCGAGACCTGCAAATGGGGGACCGACTCTCGACCCTCACACTTCGCGGCCAGGAATGACATGACGTGATGATTTTCCGGCGCAAAACGTGAGCCGGTTGTTCTTCTTCCAGTTTGCGAAGGGTGGTTTGTTCATTTATTTTATGATGGCGTCAGTATTACGTTGGCTGGGTACGGGTTCAACTATGGGCTTCGAATTAGAACGCGATAGCACACATTATACCACGCGGCAATATGCCGCAGACTGATTCTTAAGCAATACGTTTCCTTCAACAGTCCCTCCCACTTCCACTTATTTGGTCCAGATACGGCACGGAGAGCTTCAAATTCGCAAGCTTCCTTACTGAAAGGCATCTTACGATTCTATTGCGGAATTTAATTCCTTTATATTTATCTGTTTGCCGCGGACGGGTGTCTACTCCGCACAAATACCTAGTTACCATTATGTGTCGGCATACCTTTGTTGATGATTATGGTCGTGTTGTACATAAAATGCATCCTGACCCCAGCACTGTTCTTCTACAAGTAAGGTACTTGAGAGTCCCCATTGCTCTGCGCCTACCATTCTACACCTTGGGTTCTTCAGCGACATAGTGCAAGTAGGCACCCAGCAGCTTGATGCCCTCGACGTAGTTCCGTTTGTCCAACTTCTCATTGATCGAGTGAGCACCGTCAGTTGAACTACCCATGGGAAGAAGGAGGACGTTCTTCCCCGTGGCCTGCTCAAAGGTGAGCGTAACGGGGATACTAAAGATCGGGCGAGTCAATACACAACTTATACATGTATACTCAAGGCATCAAATGTCGTCATGACGTACCTGCCACCCTCACGAGTGAAGTCGGGCTGAGTGCCCCAAACCCTCTCGACGGCCTTGGCTGCGGCCGAGAAATTCCAGTGCTTGGGCGACGCGACCCACCACTTGCCCGAGTGCTGCTCGTACACTTTCATGGTGTTCTTGCTGCCGAGCTTGGCAAATTGTTCCTCAATGTACTTGAAGACGGCCTGGTTGGTCTTCTCGATCCCCATGTTGGGAACGGTCCGGACAGAGAACTTGCCGATGACCTTCGCTGGGATCACCGTCTTGGCGCCCGGGGCAGAGAAGGCCCCCTCGATTCCATGGATCGAAAGCGACGGGAACCGCCAGCGGGCCATGAGGGTGGATTTCTTATCATCGAAGATAGTCGTCTTGCTGCCGAGCGATTCGTGGATGTCGTTCATTGTGAAGGAGATGTTGTCATACAGGCTCTCCTCTTCCGGTGTCACGGGAGAGACTTGCTCCATAATACCGGGAATCTGGATTTTGCCGTTCGTGTCGACGAGCGAACCTAGGAGCCGCGTCAAATCGGTCATGGGCTCTTGTGCGGTGCCACCGAAGACACCACTGTGGAGGTCCGCTCCGGGACCCGATACCTCGATGGAGTAATAGTTGCATCCCCGCAGGCCGTAGGTCAAGCAAGGCTTCTCCGTGCCCAGCCAGTAGTTGTCCGAAATGCAGACGGCTTCGGCGTCCGCAAAGTACTTCTTGGCTTCGGCCACGATGAGGTCGTCCAGACCTTCCGAGCCGTACTCCTCCATACCCTCGAAGCACATCAGGAGGTTGACGGGGAAGTCGAGGCCGGCCTTCTGGTGCGCTTCAATGGCGTTCAGCCAACCGAGAACGGGGCCCTTGTCGTCAGTGGCACCTCTGCCGAACATCCTGCCTTTGTCATCCACCGTGAGGTCAAACGGCTCGGTCGCCCAGCCATCGCTCTTCTCTGCAGGCTGGACGTCGTAGTGGCCGTAAACCAAGATGGTTCTCTTGTTCTTGTCATTCCCGTACCGGGCTAGTACGACAGGAGGGAGTTCTAGGCCGGGATGCCCCGGCTGGTCGCCGAGGGGCCGGAGTTCGACAGAGGCTCCCAGGGCCTTCAGCTCGTCAGCGAGAAACTCGCCCATCCGCACGACATCGGGACGGCGAGCTGGCTCGGCAGAGATGGAGGGAATGGCCACGGCCTTCCGGAGGCGTTCGATGTAATGGCCAGCATCGTTGTCGACCTGTTTGAAGAAACCATCTAGTTGGGGCGCCATCTTGCGGGCTTGGTGAGCTTGTATGGTTGCTGTGAGATATGATCGAGCACTTCGGAGAGACGATGGAGGAGCGACTACAAACGGCCGAGCTTTGGAGAGAGGGAGAGTTGGAATCCTCGAAATGGCCTGCAAACACCACGAGGGGCGAGGGAGGGAGATGCGGGGCATTACGCCAACAGATAATACCACCTGCTCATTGGGCAGATGCAGCTGCTGGGACGCAATGGAGAAAGCTCAAGGTTCGTTTATTAGCAAAGCAGCTTTTTGCTAACTGGATGGCGGGGTCGAAGAAGCGGCCAGCGCCGGCATTCACAGGGCAGGCATACAGGCATGCAGGCAGGTTTGTATCGGGAAGCTTTGTAATCAGGTTGAGTGAGTCACATGATTACGGATAAGTTGATTGTTACCCACGTCTGACATATTTATCACTCACGTGACCAAACTCTAAGATTGCCTTCTGCCAACAAATTTCTTGCCAACGTCCCCTTCCCCTCTGCCTCTTCCATTTCTCCCTCCATCACCTCCTCGCCTACTTAACCGTGAGAGAGAGCGACGATTTACACACGACTGCATCGGAACCATCGACCCATCACACCTATCTCATGTTCTTATCTGGGATCTGTGAAGGGCTGCAATTTCTTCCTTAATTCTCCCTTCGCGAAGCCGAAATCACGCACCCCCTCTTTCGGCGGACTTTCGTCATCTGCTATCCTCGACCTCCCCACTCCCCGAGATCGTCCGCGTTGCCAACAGCAGATTAGAGCTTTCTTTGACCGCAACACAGACAATACAAAAACTAACCAGGACTTCATTTACTTTTGGCAGGCTAACTAGGGCTGCTTCGCTGATGGTGCTCGTGGCGCAGAAGTGATTTGGATGTGTGGAGGATCTTCACAAAGGACTGCCTTTTTTCTTCTTCTCTTTGACCTGACGATACTCACCCTTTTGGGCCCTGTACTCTCCTTTCTTTCTTCCGTATTGCACCTAACCCAGCCTTGCATGTTGTTTCCATGACAAAAAAATCATAATTGATTCTCCCTCCTTGAAGGTTCAGCGCGAGAAATCAAGAAACAAACAAGAATAGGGTTCCTCCCGATCGCACGTACTGACGTCCTTGCTCGTGAGCGATCGAGTTGCCAGTACAAAAACCTTTGTCTGCCATTTGACTGCGGAAAGAAGTTGCTATCTATAAAAGAGATATAGGCCGTCCTGTCACCCTGTCGGCATCTCTACGACATCAACTAGGTTATCCAGCACGAACATCACCAAAGCCACCCAGCATGTCGTCGTCCGTCTTTTTCAAGTTCAAGTCGCAGAAGGAGCCCACGCGAGTGGAGTTCGATGGCACTGGGATTTCGGTTTTTGAGCTAAAGCGAGACATCATCTTGAAGAGCGGGTTAGGTGACGGCACTGACTTCGATCTGGCTATCTACACCGAGGACGGTAGTGAGGGTAAGTCGTGCTGTATCCACATTCGAGCAGGACTGATGATGCTAACTATCTGGCAGAGTACGATGATGACACCACCATTATCCCTCGATCGACAACCGTAGTTGCTCGACGTCTTCCTGCGGCGAAGCCGGGCGCTGGTCGCGGCGCACGATATGTATTGGGCAAGATGCCTGTGTCAGCAAAGAACTCCGCGCGGAAGGAGCAGACGATTAAGCCGATAGCTGCGAAGCCGTCTACGAATGCCCTCGCCCAGATGAGCAGTGCTATGACAGAAGACGAGAAGATGGCAGCCATGTTCGCTGCGCAGAGTGAGCAGTGGTCAGCTCAGCAAGAAGAGATGTCACAGTATGTAATCAATCCATGTATCCCGGTTTTTTTTTTTTTTTTTTTTTTTTGCATTCCTTGTCAGCTAACGATAGTCGCAGCCAAACACCGGTCTTCAACAAAGGTGGCGCGAAGAGGCCAGCTAATGTTCCGGACCACGATCCTCCTAATGGCTACATTTGTTATCGCTGTGGAGAGAAGGGCCACTGGATTCAGCTATGTCCCACTAATGATGATCCCGAGTTTGACAACCGGCCACGTGTGAAACGGACAACGGGTATTCCGCGCTCATTTCTGCGGACCGTGGACAAATCCGTTGCCCTTGCACAGAACGGTGATGACGATTCCAAGAGACCTTCGGGAATCATGGTGAATGCCGAGGGAGAGTTCGTCATTGCCGAACCTGATAAGGCGTCTTGGGAGCAGTTTCAGGCCAAGGCCAAGTCGTCAGCCTCGGCGGCAAAGGCCATTGCCATGGGCGACAAAGATGTGCAGGAGAGGGGATTGGCTTGCCCAATTGACAAGAAAATGTTCATAGAGCCAATGAAGACCCCGTGCTGCCAGAAGACGTATTGTAATGATTGCATCACCAATGCTCTCATCGAGTCAGACTTCGTCTGCCCGAACTGCAACACGGATAGCGTCTTGATTGACGATTTGAAGCCAGATGATGAGGCTGTCAAGAAGATGAACGATTACTTGAAGGAGAAGATAGAGCTGGAGAACCCGACTACGACTACGCCCAACGCCGGCGCCTCCTCGCCAACTCCTTTGGTCAAGGATGCACCTCAAGGCAAGACTGAAAAATCCCCGCAAGCCTCGCAACTACTACAGACCGATAAGGAGAAGGCCTCATCCAAGCCCCCGACGCCTGCCGTGGCCAAGGTCTCGCCCAAGGCCACTCCAGCGCACACAACGCCGCCTAAATCGGCAGCGGCGACACCAACGCAGGCGCCGACGGAAGGAGCACCGTCTACCGAAGCCAACGCCAAGAAACGACCAGCCGACGACTTGCTTGAGAATCCAAAGATTCCAAAGGCACCCAAGGCTATGCAGAGGCAACAGGAACAACAACACCAGCAACAGGCCATGCTGAACGGTCCTGGTGCGTTCGGTATGCCCATGAATCCCATGATGGGCTTCGGAGGCTTCGGGGGCATGAATATGAACATGGGCAACTTCCCAATGGGGATGCCCAACATGGGTGGCATGAACATGGGCATGCCCATGATGAATGGAATGAACCCTATGATGGGTATGCCCGGTTTCAATCCCATGCAAGGCGGCTTCCCCCCCGATATGAACGGCAATGCCATGTTCAACGGCAACTTCAACATGAACGGGGGTGGTATGAACGGCATGAACGGGATGCAGGGGTTGCCTGGAGGGCCCATGAATGGTTACGACAATCAACAAAGACACAATTTCACTCAGCCCAGCAATGACGACGATGCCTATTTCCGCAGGCCTGTTAATCCTCACCGTCACCAGAACCGACAGCGACGCGTGCCTCGCCCGAGCGACTACCGGGAACTGTGAGATTCGCTAAATGTTGGACTATCTGAAGTAGCTCACAACCTGGCAGCGAGCAACCAACTGTGCTGCCATATTCTCTCTGATGCCCAGAGAGTGTTCTCGCGGGCCCAGCTAATTCTGTATAATATCGGCATAATCACCACCCAGCGCTGTGCGGCGCCATTCTTTCGGGTCCTCTCAAGGCACGGACTCGTTGGCGTCATTTCACATCATGCAGTTGGATTGGCAAATCGGAAGCTATGGCGTTGAGGAAAGGAATGAATTTGAGTTCTGCATTCTGGCATCATGGCAGCGGAAAGGGGTAGGGGGTAGGGGGTATATGTATGGAACAGGCGGAAATGGAAGGGTTTCCACGGGGAGAAGTTCAGGAGACATGGAATCACTGGAGGAGGGAGTCGCGGAGAACGTAGGAGGCTTGGCCATACCAGCGATAGGTGTGGATTGCACTTCGTGTTTCGATAAAGCGGCAAATTACTATAAATCAATGAATTGAGAGTAGAATCCCTTTCAACCAACATGTTCATGCTCGCCGGGTATCAAATCATCCATTCAGTGCTGTATTCTAATGCTCCCCGTACTCCTATAGCATGAACCTCGTAGTAAGAAACCTCGTAGCTCCGCATGTCCGCGTGTGTATCCGTATCATCCCAGAGTCTTCCCACGCATGTCTTCGACAAGATAAGCAAAACTCCCGGGGCCTTAATGGTTCCTTTTCCTTCCTTTCCCTTCCTTTTTTTTTCTTTTTTTCTTTTTTTCTTCTTTTTTCTCTCTTTCGTATATTTATGTTCATCTTTAATCCATCTCGGGAGGAACGTAGGGCTTGACAAGCATCTCGCTGAATTTCTCAAGCTTCTCCTTCCCCCGGACCTCCTCGACAAGCAAGGGCATCTTGACGACATTGAACTCGTCGTAGAGCTCCTCGATCTGCTCGAGATACTTCTTCTGCATCTTGCGACGAGCGTTACATTGCTCGCATTCGGAGCCCTTCTTGGGGAAGAGGAGCTGGTTGACGACGATGGAGTGGGTGTCGATGCCGTAGCTGGCCAGCTCCTGGATCATGCGCTCCGTCTCGTACAGGCTGAGGAACTCGGGAATGCAGACGCAGACGAAGGTGGTGAGGGTCTCGTCCTTGAACTGGGCGTTCACCTCGGAGATGGTCTCCCGGAGGGAATCGAGTTTGGCCATCATGTCGTTGAGGTTCTGGCCGTTGGGGAGCTGTCCTCCCTGGCCGAGGAAGCCATTCAGGAGGGGCCCGTATTGGGAGGAGAGCTGGGAGATTTTGGCCAGGGCCTTCTCGAGGACGGAAGGGAATTGGAGGAAGCGGAGGGTGTGGCCGGTCGGGGCGGTGTCGAAGATGATGGTCTCGTAGGACATGGACTTGACTTGTTTGAGGATTTCGGCGAAGGACATGGCCTCGTCAATGCCGGGGATCTAGATTCAACACCGTTTGGTCAGGACATGTGTTCTCTCCAGGACAACAACAAGTCTTGGGAAAGGAAAAGGACAGGCAAAGAAAAGTGGTGACTCACGGCAAACGCCAGATCCTGCATCATGCCCCCCAAGCCGCCACCCATAGCGTCGAGGTCGTCAGCGCCCTGGCCGGCGAGGAGGTCCTGCATGCTGCCGTTGGGGTCGATTTCCATGGCGGAGAGGTTGTCGAAGCCCTCGACGAGGCGGGCCTCCTTGCCGAACTTCTGGTTGAAGGCGTCGGACAAGTTGTGCGCCGGGTCGGTGGAGATGAGGAGGACCGACTTGCGGGCCTTGGCGAGCTGGATGGCGAGAGAGCACGATGTGGTCGTCTTGCCAACGCCGCCCTTTCCGCCGACGAAAACCCATCGTAGAGTGCGCTGGTCGAGGAGGGGTTGAAGCGTGGGCTCCATGGCGTCCACGTCGTCGATAACAGCGGTGGACATGGTTGTAATGGGTACCTGGGTAAAGAGGAAGAAGGAGGGGCCGATGGGGGGGGTGGGTTTCGCTTTTTATGTTCTCTGCCCTTGGTTTCTTTCTTAAGGTGATTTTGGTTCGTTTTTCTTCTAGTACGAGACGAGGGTGATCTTAGGAACCAAAAGTCAAGGGAATGGTACCGGTCTCGAGGTAGGGATACAATGGGCATACGAAGCAATTCCACGCGATTCTACAGGGTACCTTAGTGATACATACGGATATGTATCCGTACGGCGGAATAGATTGGTGAATCAGTGAATCGGTGAATCGGTGAACCAAGTGATCAAACCCCGCCATCAGCCATCAGCCATCTGCGTCTCAGAGCCAAGGTAGTACCGTGCCAAGTATGATAATTCACCAATTGACACGGTCTCGTCCCAAATTACCTAAACCTCGACAATGGTGCTCTCGAGCTCCCTGCGCTTGAATTTTACTTCGTTCCAGAGAACTACACCCCAACATAACAGACGCGATAAAACTCGCCTTTGTTTCTTTTCGCCATGTCCAAAGGCTCCAGCATTATTCGAAACCTTTCCAATAAAATCAGCTCTCGGACACTGCAAGTCACGGTCGTCCCGACACCCATCAAATTCTCCGAACGACGAGCTGTCTTGCATGCGTTGCAGAAATACACTCCCATAGAGGTTTTCCGGAAGCTTGATGTGAGAAAACACCCTCCGTTTCACCTACCCGAGCTGTTTCTTGCAAGTTTAGGCAGGGTCACTCACGCACCCACTCCTCGAGTAGAAGCATGAGGCGTCCTTCATTTCCGTCACACGCCATCGCTCCGGCGCCGAATACCTCGTAAAGAAAAGCCCATTCCAGTACCAGCTTGCTCCGGAGGAGAACACCTCTTCGGTCAGGACATTCCTGACGACGACGCCCTCGAGCGATCCGATTTTGGAACAGGAGGCTACCGGTGCGGAGGACGAAAGCGAGGCGCAGCACCTGGGACCCGCCGGCAAGAAAAAGCAGTTTACGGTGCACATCTTCCCAGCAGCTGAATATGTCCACTCGGCTGCCATCCGCGCATCACCTCTCCACGGGCCCTGGCCCGACGGGCGGCGCGACACGGCCATGTTTTGCTCTTTGAAGCGATCGCTCCCTTCCGACATTGCTTCGGACGGGCTGTCGGACTGGGAGTCCGGCGGGCAGAGCGTGGACATGGCGCGGAGCAAGATGGTGGAGGACCTCTTGTTTGGGTCGAAGTCGCTGGACGTGGAAAAGAGGGCAATTGCTGAGCGGCTGCTTCGTCAGAAACGGAAGAAGAGCATGCCCGCTGTGATGGACGGCTTACTTCACCTTCAGGAATCGGCGGCCCAGGACCAACAGCAGTCGCTTCTTGGAAGTCCCAAGACGGACACGTTGGGGACTTGAATCAACCACGACAACTTGGAAAGGGTTTCTATGTTTCTATTCCATTTCGCCATGCAGCAGGTTCTGGAAACAGGCTACATGGGCGTCGACTCTGCAGCGCCCTATTGATCGGTGGCTGTGCAGCTGCTGATGGGCCATCCTCAGTGTCGACTCCCCTGTTACGCGACCTTTCCGCAGATCCAGAACCCTCAGTCTCACAAGTCGACAGGGCTTATGAGAGGCGCCGTCTGGCACGGATCTTCAGCCCAGCTGGGCCGTTCGTTCCGCAAATGCGGCCAACTCAGACTGAGACACGCGGACGCAAGCCCCCGTCTTCTCGAACTCCGAGACACAATAAGAGGTGGACACTGAGACGTCTTGGCGTACAACAAGCCATACCAGCTGCTATGCTACTAAGCATCAGAGTCGAACAAGCTGCACTTTCACGTCCAGTGGGGCTTGGCCGATTCAACTATCGAATGCAAACCCAACAATCTGGACCAGCTACAATTACGCGGGACGGAGCAAAAGTATTGGTTTGGGGTTGGGCTTTTGCATTTGTGCTCATGCTCAGTGCATTTGTGCTCGGTGCAAAGGTGCGGAACCGGCCGGGGTTCAGGTTTACTACACGTACTGTCGATGTGAATGAGTTATGGAGCCTGGGGCGGTTGATAGACTCGGAAGGAGTTCGAATGAGGGGCCTTTGTAGAGCCATGTTGGATGCAAATCAGGCACGACTCTACCGACCCCTTTATTATGCAGATCTATAGGTACAGCTCATTGGAACTAGTGTGCAGTCATGGGGACAAGACGACTGATCCGAGGCGGTCCGGAAGTGAGTCGCTGTTGCGTTGCCGGTACCATGGCGCTCGCTGCCAGCTGTTGACCGGCGCCGCAAAGGCCTACACTGCCCCACATGGTCTCCGTCCCCGAGTCCGAGCTTCTTACGTCATCCATCACACCACCACTCGGGCCGTTCCTGGTTTGCCATCGTCGTCATCGCCGGACTCTCACGCGCGGGCATGCCTTGTGTTCATGAAGTACCTGTAAAAGGTAAGTCAAGTTCAAGTTTCCCTTTACACAGACACCAAGAAGGTACTTATACGTCCATTTCCCGCACCGTCGCCGTGTTCAGCTCTTCTCACATCCATCGTATAGTTCCCCCAAAACAGATTCCGTGAAGAGACATCACCACCTTCCAAAACATACACCACAACCAGAACACATAAGCCACAATGCCGCTCGTCGTACCGGGAGTCACCACCCAGTCAGATGACAAGACGACGGAGTGGTCGAACAAGCTCGTAGGAAAGAAACTAGACGAGCAGAAGTCCGACGAGATCGTGGGACCGCCCCCCCTTGTTCCCCTCGCATGTATATGCATCTACGGAAGCTAACATACTATTCCACAGTCCTTCTGCAAGAGAGATCTCCCCGAAGAGCACCGCATCATCGAACCGGGAATGATGGTCACTAAGGACTTCAAACCCAACCGTCTTAATGTCCACCTGAAGGAGGACGGCACGGTCTCGCATGTTGAGCATGGTTAAGCCGCTCGTCTCTCGACGAATCGTCACCACGAAGATAAGGGGGGTGGAGGTTGATGGGCTCTCAGTGGAACAATTATCTCTTCGCATGCGTACCTTATAGAGGAGAAACTTCTTAGTAGCAGCGACCGACATAACAAATATCTAATACATGATCTCTCCAACTTTCTCTTCTCATCCAAGTACCTTATTGTCTTCATCGGATCTGAGGAAATTTTACCTTACCCCATTATCGCATGTTCGGTGTTTACCCCGCCATCAATCTGGTCACGGTGGACGGTGAGACGGCCAAGGCAGGAGTAGTACTAGTGCGGGGCAATTTTCAGCTGCAACACCGAGCCACCCCACCATCATACTGCACCACAGGCTGCACCTTGCACCTTGCACCTTGCACCGTCAACATTCACCTCCATTCAATCAGCTTTGCCGCTCTCGTGAGAAAACCAGAAACAACACAAAGCCCACCAGGATAAATCCATTGCATTTACAACAGATACCGCTTTGATAGGACGTTCTTCAACACTCGCCAAGATGTTCAAGAAAGAGTAAATTTTCATTACCCCTTCTTCTCTCTCCTGTCCTCTCCGCCCTTCCCCTCTACCCCTGCCATCCCCCATCCCCCATCGTCCAAGACAAAACAAAACGAACGAACGAACGAGAAGACTAACAAAAATTTCCCACACAGAATCCCTCCAGCCCCGAAATCCAAACTCAAATCATCCGTACAACGCGGCATCCGCCAGTCCATCCTGGAAACCTACCCGCTCCTCGCCCGGCACATCGAGGAGATCATCCCCAAGAAGGCCTCACTCGAGCAGATGAAGCTCCCGGACCGCGCCGCCCTGTACATCCTCGACGGGGAGCCCCTCTTCTGGGAACACGACGACTTCGAACCCCTCCTTCCGCACCTCAAGCTCGTCCACCGCTTCCCGGAGGCCTTCCCCTCCATCCGCATCGACCGCGGCGCCATCCGCTTCGTCCTCTCCGGCGCCACCCTCATGGCCCCCGGCCTCACCAGCCCCGGCGGGAGGCTCCCCGCCCCGCGCGACGTGCCGGAGGGCGGGGAAGGGGCCGACGAGGAAGGGAGGTGGAGCCGTGAGTTGAAGAAGGGTGAGCCTGTCGTCGTCATGGCGGAGGGTAAGGTTGAGGCTTGTGCTGTTGGCGTCTTGGTCGAGGGTACGGCTGAGATCAAGGAGAAGGGGAAGGGACCCGTTATGGAGGAGTGCCATTACCTTGGGGATGGCCTTTGGATGCTATCCACTGATTGATGAGAGGCAAGATCGTCTCTCGTCCTTTTTCCTTCTTTCGCATTTTTTCCGGCCTATTTCCCGTCTCTTGTTGTATCATGGTGGGTTGTGGGTGAGTTGGGTGTTGCATATTCCCCATCTATATATCCCTATCACCTGGTCTTACATTGCTATATAGGTTGTATGTTTCCGTCTTTAGATTATGCAAGGGGTATGGGATGGACAGGCGATGAAGCAAAAAAGGGAAGACGCGAAGGCCATGGTCGGCTAAATGGTATGATCACGAGCGGGATGACCACGAAACGAACACGACGCCACGACAAGCATTCACCCATAGACACTGTATTCCCTTTCGTCCTTTTGTAATCGACCTATCTAGGCTCAGTTAAAACTTTCGGAAGAGGGTGTCGTGAAGGTGCTGTGGATTGTGGTCTCCCGTAACTTTCTCCTTCCTAACTTCGTGCCATTAGTGTTGTGCCGTGCCTGGCATATGCTAGTTACTGTCCCAAAGGAAGGCTCTAATAGCCGAAGAAAACTATGCCCATTGGGGTGGATATTGTGGTCAGCGGAGGAAGTCCAAGAGATAGACATGTGTTGTGGGAAAGGGGGTGACTGTCTTCAACATACATCGAGTCTCACTCAGAGTCGACCGAGAGGAAGCAACAGAAGAGGCATCGTCATCTCCTAGTAGATACACCGAGTATTAGACAGGCGACAGGGGCAAGAGAGCAAGTTGGAGTCAGGTCAGCCAAGTAACTTGCCCTACATATGTTAGTGACCATGACCTCGAAAAGTGTACCCATCTTGCATACACTGCTTAAAAGATCTAAACAGCAGGGGAAGGGGTCAGAAAGCAGTCGTGATACGTGACGCTTCATCCTAGAAAACTTACATTATCGAGATGAGAATGGTCGGGAGCAGTACGTGCATGGGCGATACCACGCATGTCCGACCAGTTCTTATGCAGCATCCTGGCGCCGCCCATATCGGCCATGAGCTTGTTGATTTCGACAAGCAGCTCGTGGCAAACCTTGGGCAGGGTGGCATCGTAGTGGCGGCGCGGGATGTTCAGCAGGAAATGCATCGCGAAAAAGTCGCCCTTGACATGCTGGGAAAGGCAGGCCGCCGGGCGACCAATCTCGAAGGCGTTATTGATCTCGGCGGCCCGCCGGACAGACGTGTCGAGCGCGAAACCGGACCTGGCCTCGCCGTCGGGGTTGAAGTCGGGGCCGCCAGTGGCGTACCAGCGGATGTCGAGGGACTTGTTGACGATGTTCAGCGTCGGCCCGATCATGCGGTCCATGGCGAAGCGGTCGAAGACCCGGACCACGGCGAACAGGGTGGGTAGGTCCAGCTTCCGGAGCTCGTCGTCGTGCAGCAGGCCGCGGCGGACGACCATCTCCAGCGCGAGCCCGAAGACGTCGGCGGGGATGCCCTCGATCACGCGCGTGTCGGTGACGCTCTCCTTCCAGTTTCCGTAGAGCAGGCTGCTCCAGTAGGGGTAGTCGCGCAGCAGTCCCGAAGGCACGTTGAAGAATCTGCCGCCGACTTCAACCCTGAAGAAGGGCCTGGTCCCACACGCAACGCGACGCATGTACTAGTCAGCTTCTCTACTCTCTACCGGTTCTGCGTGTATCCTGCAGGGGGGGAGAGGGGGAAAAAAGCGTACTTTTCCATCCAGTCTCCGAAGCTCTCACGCGTTTTCAAGTCATCGTCTTCATACGGTTTCTAAGCCAGAGATTGGTGTGTCAAGACATCTACGTGACGGAGAACCACGGCAGACCAGGATTCCCACTTACTTTACCAGGCAGGTTGAGGAGATCTCCAAAGTCATGGATCACGGGGGGTCCAGAAGTGCAGCCCTCCGGGTAGCAGGTTGCAATAGGGGTGTTGAGGTCGAGCCTAGCCACTTTGCGACGACTCGACGACGTGGACATGGTGCCTGCTGCCTGCTGCCTGCTGCTTGGTGCTTGGTGCTTGGTGCTGTGGTCGTCAGAAGTCCTTGATAGTGTGACGTGGAGGCGAGAAGGCGAAGAGGCGATGGGCGAGAGCAGTGTGTCGCGCAGGATCAGCAAAGCGGGAGGGAAAGGGGCCAAGAAATGCTCCCAGGAGCCTGTTTGCAGAGGAAGGTGGGAAAGATGGCTCACCTCCCTCGTCATGGAAAGAGAATTCCCCTTCAGTTGAAGCCGAAGATGAGTGCTCAACGACTAAGCGGCCAGCGACTTGGATAAGGTAGGAGACAACCACGGGAAGGTTAGTAACAGGCAAGGTGAGCGACTCGGCGGGTCAAAAGAAGGTGGGAAGGAACAAAATATCGGCGTGATATTAACGCCCCGCCACGAACCAGCATATATGCCAGGGCCACAGATAGTTTAAGGCACCTTAGAACGGATATATAGTGAAAACCGACTTGATGAAGTGGATATAGAGGTTCATAGCACGGGTGCATATTCTTCTCTAAGTTCCTCTGTTCAGAAGTGTTAAGGGGGGAAGGAGTTTAAGAATAGCCGCAAGAATTCTGTGATAAGAGCATATACGTCAGTTGTTCAGGGTCTACGTTCAGGAGACAAAGGGTCAATGCCGTGCTGTGACTTTTAGAATAAGGGTTATCATTGCTTTGGTCTCCTGGCTGAGGTAGTAGTGTCTACTCTGGCTAGTCCAAGTTATGCTAGAAGGTGAGAACATCAGTCAAAAGTCTCGTGTAGGCCTGGCAGGGCGGGAGGAGAAAAAGAAAGAAGGTGAGGTTGACAGAAGCAATAGGTGCAAATACCAAGCATAAGCTGATTCTCCAGAGCCGAGTGTAGATTCTGGCTGTTGATGATGTTATGTTTGCTCTGCTAGCTGTGCTAACATGGTCCCTCTAATGTCCAGTGGCATTTTATGCCTCCGCTCTTTGCTCTCTGAGCATCTTGCAATGTCGATCCAGGGCCAGAGATCCCACATATTGATGATGCTTGTTGATGAACTCTTGCACATTCCCCAGTATGTAGAATCCACCGTCATCTTTCAAGGGGAACTCCGGGTCGGGCAGAACGCCAAAGGTCTCATCCCCCTCCAGGATGATCTTCTTGAGCGCCTTGATGAGACATCCGCGGTACTGCGGCACATTGGGCGAATAGGTGGCAGAGGCAGGGAAGGCGTCCTTGATGAGATGATTCCAGATGTGGGTGACCTGCGTTTCTCTCGCATGTTCCCCGAGGCGCCGCTGGTATTCGGCCCCTACGCCGAAGCGATCGAAGGCCTCCTGTCGGACTCTGTCCCTAGAGGTGCGCTCCTCCGAGTACCTACTCTCGAGTCGGCACCGTGGCAGAAAGTCTTCCACCCAGACGCGAAAGGCGGGACGACTGTTCATGCGCCGTCGGTCGTTCGACTTGAGTTTCTGCTTGTCTCCCTCCGCCTTCACCCCCGCCCCGTCCGGGGTTTCTTCCTGTTCACCGGGCTGGTCTTGCGTCGCAGGGGGAACCCAAAACATGCGGCACCGGGCCACGTATTCGTACATGGCGTCGAGAGAGGCAAAGGGGCCGGCCCAGTACTGGTCGGCAGGCAGGCCAAGGAAGTCCAGGACCTCGGCGGGGTCTTGGGTCAACAGCACTTTGGCCTTGTTGCGGTTCGACTTTTCAATCTCGGGGATGCGGAGGCACATGGCGTGCTCGCCAACGGTCAGGCCGTAGGGTCGGATGACAGAACCGAGGATGCTCCAAATGTCGCCGTGGGCGTGCCTGAAGAGAGACCACTGGAACTGCTCCTCGGAGTGGAGGATGGTAACGTCGACCTGGGCATAGCTTTTGGGCTGGTCGGGCGGGTGGGGGACATGGGCATGGTCCAAGTCAGCTGGCCAGGGAACGGCAAAATGGGAGCCACCATTCGTAATGATGGAAAACTCTGCTCCTAAGGCGGCCTGAATGGCGTGTTCGGGGGTGGGGTTGGGGTTGACGAGAGATGGCGAAGTGGGTTCGAATTCGGCCGCTTCGTCGCCTTGTCCCTTGCTCTCGACCGGAGCCTTTTCTTTCCACACGAAGAGGTCGACATCCCCATGGTCGGACTTGCCTGGACCTTCAATGGGACTCGCGACGTTTTCGTATAGATCGAGGAGAGATTGTTGGCATTGTTCCTTGACGGCTTGATAGACGCAGGGAGGCATCCGCGGGGTGTGAAGCGGAGCATCTCCTGAAGTGAATGCAAACCCTCCCATGATGAGTGCCTGAAGGACTTTAAAAGGGTTGAGAAGGCACGAAGCTAAGAGGTAAGAAGCCAAAAAAGTAAAAGGTAAATAGAGGCAAGAGGCAAGAGGCAAAAGGAAAAAGGAAAAAGGAAAAAGGAAAAAGGAAAAAGGAAAAAGGAAAAAGGCAAAAGGAAAAAGGCAAAAGGAAAAAGGCAAAAGGCAAAAGGCCCTCAAATCTTGACCCTTCCAGGTTCAACACATCCAATCGTCTAGTTATGAGAAGATGGATGGAACAAGGGAAGGTGGTTGAAGCGCGCCTTCTTTTCGCATTCCCTTGGCATCATGGTATCATGTCACCATGGCATCGTATCCAGCTCATTTCCACAGGTATTGAATAAGAGTTTTCGCCTTTTAAGCGAGGGTAGTTACACAGAACAAAAAGAGAGAGGATATGAATGAGGTTTGGTGGTTGCACAGCTTGCACTCACTCTGTATCCTGATCACGTGCATGTTAGGGGGTTTATACGTATCTCTTAGCTGTGGTGCCCTTAGTATCTGTCACGACTTACCTAAGGTACCTTAGGTACCATTATATATTGACATTCTCTGGCAACAAGGCCATATCAGTATTCTGGTATCTTTATAGTGCCTCACCAAACCACCCTGCGCTGCTTTTATACTCCCGGGGACAGCTAAAGACTCGGCAGTCCGGCAATGCCAAATCCCAGGGAGGTTATGACAAGCAAGCATGGTCTTTTTCTTGACTTGGGTCGGTAAAAAAGGAATAACAAACATAAATCAAGTTCGGGACCGATCCTAATAAAGCCGGAGAATCCCATCTCAAGACACGGCGAGTCGCTACGGGTGTTGGTTGTTGACCTTCTTGTCCCTCTTCACCGCAAAGTGTGAGTGACCGCCTACCTCTGTACTTCGTAGTCTTGTCTAGTCTCGAGTTTGCTAAGAACATCCCTAAACGAACTCCCATCCAAGCAGCCAGGTAGCCCCGGCTCACTTTGCCTGTCCCCTATCTTCAAAGAATGGACGCCCCGCGGTGGAGAAACCTGCTCAAACACACGCAAAGCCCGCCTATGTGGCGTGACCCTCTTACGTACTGATTCATCCGCCTTTTACGAAGTACTCCGTATGCCTTCTTCGTGTATCTATCGAGGAGGCTTTTGCGGCGTTTTGATGGGGGTGTCTCATTGTTATGAAGTACTCCGTACTCGTTGTAAAGTATATAAGGTAAGGTAGTAATGGGTTCAACCAACACTTACCGTTGTTTCGTCCTTTCTCGGCGCGGTTTGTTGAAGGGAACACACCAAACACAAAGTACACGACAGGTCCGAATAATATCAACACGAAACACGACGGGTATCGGACCAAGATGGATCACCTCGACCACGATCACACGGACATGACCGCAACCATGACCTCTGAGACCGCTGCACCAACGGCGGCTCACAGCATGTCCAGCAGCGGTGGCCATGGCCACGGTAGTATGGGAGGAGGGTGCAAGATTTCGGTAAGTACACCATTCCCTACACCATCCATCCCAAATTTCGAGACTCACATCTCCGGGCCGTTCGTTCGTTGTCCCCTTTCTTCCTTGACGCTGATTTTCCCTTCTCTCTCGTTCCTCGCAGATGCTGTGGAATTGGAACACGATCGACTCTTGCTTCATCGCGCGGTCCTGGCGCATCACCTCGGCCGGCATGTTCGCCGGCTCCTGCATCGGCGTCATCCTCCTCGTCATGTGTCTCGAGTTACTCCGTCGCTCCGGCAAGGAATATGACCGCTACCTCATCCGATCCCACGCCGCGAAGTATGCTGCGGCGCGGCCCGGGAGTCCCGGCGCAGACGACGGTGGCAAGGTGTCATCTGCCGAAGGCGGTCGTCCTGTGTCGTGCGCCATGCAACCTGTTCCTGGGTTCCGGCCCAGCGTAATGCAGCAGGCGATCCGGGCGTTGCTGCACATGCTGCAGTTTGCGGTTGCGTATTTTGTCATGTTGTGAGTGTTCGCCCCGAGCCGAGGATGCCCTACGCCACGCATTCATCTTTTTTTTTT